TTTGGTCCACGACCTTTCTCAATACGTCGTCCATCTGGGCGAGCTTGGTGCCCATAGTTTGACTGAAAGGTCCCACCCTGTGACCTGCGTGGTCCACACCCAAGAAATGGCCTATGAGGACGTCCCAGCTAGACTGGTTGTCCGGGTGGAGATACGGGAAGATGTTTTCAATAACACCGTTGTCTACAGTGTGGAGGTCTTCGACATTGAACGAATCGTAGGGATGCGACATGTCGGGGTGGAAGGACGAAGGGAAGAGGTTCATCCACGTATCGTCGCCCATGAAGCCCACAGTCTTGTTTGCAGCCACCAGCTGGTGAATGAAAGAGTCCTCATCGATAGCAGTGGAAGCAAAGTTGGAGCTGATATCGATAAAAGTCGGCAAGGAGCCTGTCGTGATGCCCTTGATCCTCTGCATAGTGGACGTGGGAGGGTCCGAGTACGCGTTGAAGATCAAAGAGTGTTCCGGCTGGCTCTGTGTGAGCTCGGCAGCCACCGTGAGGACGCCATGGTGGTGGGGGGAGAATGGCTCTGGGTAGTGGGGCGATATAAAGTCGGTACGGAGGGCGTCTATCACGATGACGACTGCCTTGGAGTGGGTGGGGGCGATGGTCTCTTCGTAGGCGGGAGAGGTGTGGGGGATGGTGACCCGGTTCAACAAGAAGCCCTGTGTGAAGAGGTAGAGGCCTATGAGATGGAGGGCTGCGATGTAGAGGACGATGATGCCTGCGAGGTTTTGGCGGGAGATGCTCCTGAGCCAGGCAGTCGAGCGGGCCATCTGCGGGTTGTTAGCAAGAAGGGGGAGTGGGAGTGTACTTACTGTGGTACTCTCCTGCTATCTATGCTGGGGCGGGTTCTATTTTGTATCCTGTCGTCGAGAGCCGTTGTATCCGAAATTTCAGCGCGAATGCGACCAAAGGAATGGAGGCGTGATGCCAGGCACGGGCTGATCGGTCAAAGCCATCTCCGCATTCCTCTTTTCTCTCAACAGCAGCACGATGGCAGAACAGGCAGCCCAACAGGAGGAGCAGCCAAACAGGATCAATGGCATCGTCCGCTCCGTCGTCATGTTCTTTGGTGTTCAAATGGGTAAGCCCTCCCCCTCCCTCTCGGAAAGCCGCTCACTCCCAGATAGCCATGAAGTACGGCATGAGCTATGTGTGTACAGTCACTACTAACACCTTCAATCATACTTACTCCTTATAGTTTGGTATCGGATCAACCTCTGCCGCCCCCAAGGCCCCAATCAACCCCTCCGACCCAGCGTCAACTCCGCTTACCAACGCGCCCCGCCCCCAAGCCACCGCTACCCCTCCAGCTCTCCCCGCCTGGGACCTCGGGTCCCCCCTCTCCATCGTCTTCTACACTAGTACTTCTCCCGCTGCTGATGATATTGACCTTTCCAGCCCCTTGTTGCAGTGGGACGACTTGACCTATGGTAACTGGGCGGACGAGCGGGAAGCCGATCTGTTGCTGGATGTGCCCGAGAGCGTGCAGCACAATGGTAGTTGGTGGTTGCACACTGTCCTCGTCAAGGACGGTGGTCTTCCCACCCAGGCCAGGGCACCCGGCTCCGTCTTTAGCCAGAGCAAGCGTCAGTATCGCCCAAAAATACATGCTCTGTGCTGACATCTCGCAGTCCTTACTCGATTCCACACCAAGCGACGTATCAGAAAGGAGAAAAAGCTCATCGGCGGTAGCGATGAAGACGAAAAGGAGGAAGAGGAAGAGCCCGTCGAGGTTCCTCACCAGATCGGCTCCCACTGGGCCAACAACCTCACCGTCTCAATCGTCTCTGGCGGTGGAGAGGTCGTCCCTTCAGGCCTCGCTCCCCCTGTCCTCCCCGCCTATACTTTCGTCGACTCGCCCTCTGGCAGGAAATACTATCCCCCAGTTTTCTTTAACGATTTCTGGTTGATGAAGGAGAGTCTCTACCCCATCAACGAGACCACCAAGACTCTTCCTCTCCACCTCAACTATGCGCCCATCTCCAACATGAAGCACCAGCTATTCTCGGCCATGACCCAGTCTTTCGACCAAGCTTCTGCTCAGGGTACCGGTGGTGGTGCCGAGTTTGACGAGATCAAGCGAACACTGTTGGAGACTAGCCCTTGGCTGTTGATCACCACTGCCATCGTTACGCTTCTCCACACCCTCTTTGAATTCCTCGCGTTCTCTAGCGACGTCAGTCACTGGAGGAAGAAGGACAAGGATCTCGTTGGCGTGTCTCTCAACACTATCTTGACCAACTGCTTTGTGCAGCTTGTCATTCTGTTGTACTTGCATGACAGCTCTGAGGAGACCAGTTTCATGATCTTGTTTGGGCAGGGAATGTAAGTGGCATCTATCGTCTCATCAATCAAGCTGACGTGGTCATAGCGGGCTTGTTATTGAAGCTTGGAAGATCACCAAGGGTAGGCTCTTCTACATGTGAGACGACCAAAGACTGACTTTGACAGTCACCAATGTCCGCATCCGACCTTCTACCAATCTCATCGGCTACTCTCTCAACTTTGAGGGTGCGCATCTTTTCTGCATTCATGAGATCTCGGCTGACGCTCGCACCAGACAAGCGCGTGCTTACGGAGGACGAGAAGAAGACTCAAGAGTACGATGCGCTCGCGTTCAAGCTCGTTTCTTACGCTGCTATCCCCATGTTGGCCGTCTACACCGGTTACTCTTGTAAGTAACATCAGTATCTCACCCGGGGTCCTGCTAACGTGTCAATCTTAGTGATGTACCAGTAAGCAACTTCAACCGGCTTCTCCGATCACCACTGACAAGCTATAGCACTCATCGAGGATGGTACTCTTTCATCGTCTCTACTCTCGCCCAAGCAATCTACATGTTTGGTTTCGTCCAGCTTGTGCCTCAGCTCATCATCAACTACAAGCTCAAGTCTGTTGCCCACATGCCGTGAGTCCCCCGTAACGCTGTTGCAGGTGGGAAAGAGCTGACTGGGACGATAGTATGAAGGCCATGATGTACAAGACCTGTAAGTATCTCGCCATGTCTCGCGCGCGCAAGTATCTGACATCTCCTAGTGTCTACCGTCGTCGACGACTTTTTCGCCTTCTGCATCCGCATGCCCTGGCTCCACCGCCTCGCCTGCTTCCGAGACGACGTCGTTTTCCTCATCCTCCTCTATCAACGCTGGATCTACCGTGTCGACTACTCTCGAGTCAACGAGTATGGTCAGGTGAACGAGGGCATGGTCGAAGATGTTGGTGGGGATGTCAAGGAGGGTGCCAAGGCCGAGACGAAAAAGACCAAGTAAAGGGGCTCAATGGGCGATGAGATGAGCGGGATATCTTGAATCATACAACAGTTGTTATAGATGCATTATATGTGGAAAGAAAGCTCTACTGTGCCGCATCTCGCGCCTTCTTGAATTCTTCTATCCATGCCTTCTCTTGCGCACCCTTGATGAGGATCACAAAGCTCAGCAATCCATCTCTCAGCACCACACCGTCCTTCTTGACGCTCCCCTTGGCGTCCCTCTTGGCCTTTAGCAGCACCTCCCTCAGCGTCAACTCCTTCCCGACCTTCAACAGTCGCCTCTCTGATGTCTCCACATAGAGAACAAGGTTGGGCACATAGTACTCGTGCTTTTCATCCCAATCTGCCCAAGGGACTTGTGGGTTGGAGAAAGAGGTGGGGAACATGACTGCGAGCTGATCCTCAAACGCCGAGTTTTCGTGAAAGTGCGTGATGAAATCGGATTGGCTGTACGAAGGGTACAGCAAGAAGACGGGGAACACCACAGGTGTATGCGGTGGGGGCGGGGCCCAGCCGGACTCGGCGTCTGTAGGAGGGATGGAGTCTGGGTCAAAGTGGGGCGGGTTGGGGTTATCAGGCGGGGAAGGAGTGTCGAGGATAATCAATCCCCTGTCCGATACCGCCTGTTTCAAAGCAAGTTTGGTCATGGTCTCGCGCCGGAGACGCTCAGCTTGCTCTTCAACCTGCTTGATCCCCTTCTCCACCTGCACGCGGAGTTTGTCCCAGCCCTCGGTATCTTCTCCGACCTCTTTCGCCAGGTCGGCACCACGGGGAATGACATCTCCTGCCTCCTGCCATCTTCTGAGCGCTACCAGCGCCTGTGCCGACCTCCACAACGCCTTTACGAGCCCCTTATCCTGATCAAGCCCCGACTTTTTCCCAGCAGAGTAGATGGCAATGGTACTGCTCGTGTCTTCGAGGACACTGCTGTACTTTTTGAGCATGAGGTGGCAGGCGGCGCGGTTGTTGTAGAGGGTGATGCGGAGACGGTGGTCGGCGGGTTTGGCATCGATGGCTTGAGTGTAGGCTACGATAGCGTCGGCGTAGGACTTTTGGCCGTAGAGCTCGTTGCCGTGGTTTTTGAGATTGAGAGCGACCTCTGTGACGAGTCAGCTCCTTCATACATTCCGTGGATGCGAGCGACATACCATCTCCTTCACCATCAAACACTAGGGTTTTGAGGGCATCCAAAATGGGATGATTACCGTCGGGCCCTTCTTCGGGCGTCTCCCTCATGAACAAGGGTGTAGAGTCGAGCACTTTTTGAAAGTCTTCATAGGTGACTTCTTTTTGCGAAGGGTTGGGGTTGGCTTCGTGGGCTGCTATGAGCTGGTCAAGAAAGTCGGGCTCTTCGGCGGACATGGTGGTGGGTGGGGTGGTTGGTGATAAGAGAGGAGATGAATAATTGAACAACAGGAAGATGCGACCGAGTGCCGAAATGCCAGAGTCGGCCTTGTTCTATGCTGTATGCGGCAGTGGCATGAACGTGTGGCTCTGTACTCTACTCTACATATCTCCAGTGCATATTCCCAGCATCTCCACTGCATGCATACCCCTCTCCCATACCCCCTCAGCCCCTCGCGCTGTGCCAAAATTTCCGCGTTCTCGACCGCCCCGGGCATCGTCATCGGTGCCACTTGGGATAACGCCGGTGGACCCTGAAAGATCAATGTCGACAAGAAGACAGGCGCGAGAATCGGTAACCACGAGATCACTCAACAACAACAACAATCCATTAAATATCCCATCTGCCCATTCACCACACCATACACCATGTCTCCCACTGCCACCCCCGTCAAGGACAACAACGCCCCCTCCCCCACCATCACCCCGCTTCACGACCCCAGTCACCAGGCCAAGGTCATCCCTCAGACAAAGCCTCTGGGCGCTTCTAATCGTGAGTCATTGTGAGCACAGAGAGTAGGGGGCGAGTGGGAAGAGTGGCTGGGAGTATTGGAGGAGTCAGAGTATCAGTGCGATGGGTGGCAAATCTCGGCCAATGAGGATGTCTGCAATGTTTGCCGCCCACAGACTATCCCCGTCACCGCTCTTGTGTGCCAGATGTTACCTATGCTAACATGTTACTCTGCAGCCAACATTGTCCCAGGAATGGCGACTGATGGTGCTGCTCCCGGTCTTGGACACAAGGCGTTGCTGTCGAGGAAGTTTGCCAAGGCCAAGTACGTCTCTTTGCCCTTTCGTCCGTGTTGAAAGTGAACGTACTGACATCTCGTCTCTGTAGCAAGCCTACCATCTCCCCCACCGACCAAATACAGAGCCCCTGCACGGCCAAGCTCACAAGCGCCAAGCAACGTCACTTTACCAAGTATGTCCCCTTCTCTCCCTTTACAAGGGCTCTGAGCTGACAGCGTCGATAGGGGAAAGCCCGCCTCGCTCGCGCAATCATTCGTTGCCATCCGTGAAAGCTCTAGTGCATCATCTCCAGCTCCAGCCGGCCGCAAGACCGACCTGTGATGACTCTTGACCTTTTTGGAAACGTTTGATACGTCTTGTTTGCGCCCGTCGTTGGGAATTTTCCTTGTTGTTTGTATGTGCCCTCATAGGCATTTGCGTGGCAGTCAGCTGATCATGAGTCCAGTTTTAGCTTTGATTCTATCAGTATCCTTGATCAGAAATCCTTTCTTGCGGTGACTTTCTGCACCTGTCTTCGCCATTTGAATGGTCGAGTCTTCTGGCAAAGATCCATCTTGTCGCCCACTGTTTCTATATACCGCAATGCAACTTGTACAATGCTCTAGCGATGGAGACAAACATCTCAACTTGACTTCTAGAATATTCAAGGACCCAAACTACAAAGATGGATGTATGTTAAAGGGCAGGTGTATCATATGATGAAAACCGTTGTGATGAATGTGCTATGCCAGATATCCTATAGTGATCATCATTCCCGCAAGAACGTAAACCCATGAAGTAAGAATCAACTTCCAGGACCCTTTCCATTCTCCACGCTCTGCTTCTTCCTCTCTTCTCTTTGAAGCCTTGCCTCCCTCCATCCCTTCCCATTTCGGATGACCGCAATGGGAAAAGGTAGAAAGACCACCACGAGACCCGTGAGGAGGACGAATGTCCAGCCGGCGCCGAAAGTCTTGTACATCTTTTGGCTGTTCTAGTGTCAGTGAGGGCACACAGAGAGAACGGAGAGGCTTACATGGTGGCTGTGCCTATGGCGCCGAAAGCGCAGCGTACGAGATTGTACTGAGACATGGTATTAGCAAGTACAGGTCACGCAAGAGCTGTAAAACTTACAGAGGCCGAGACGGCACCTCCTTTACCTGGACTAATATCTTGTGCGTAGATAGTAGCTGTGGCCATCAGCACTCGCTCTCAAAGCTCCCAAAACGTAATTTACCAGTAGCAATCACCCCCGACCCCAAGCCTACCAAAAAGTTCATGACCAGCGTCGCTGCCAACGGCGCCTTGACCTCCAAACACCATCCCTGTGCCGTCATCGAGGCCACTGCTAGTATCGTGAACGGGATCAAGCAGTAGATTCTGGTGCGCTCGATATTGAATTGTTCAGGTTTTTGACGGTAGTCGCCTCCGACACGGCGTTCTTCGCGTCGAAAGTAATAGTCGAGGAGTCTGCCGTTCAATTGGGAAGATACTATGGTGCCAACGCCACAAGGTCTGGGATGGGTCAGCAAGGTGGGGTGTAATGGTGGGAGGGGACGTACAGGTAGCAGAGACCGATCTTGATTTCGGAAAGACCATACTTGTCTTTGAGAGCCGTGGAGAATAGTGTGAGACTTGCGTAAAACTCCAAGTATATTAAAGACGTCCAGAAGAAGATCAAGATGATTTCGGGGACGAATAGTAGCATGAAGGAGGAGAGTGGTTGGTACTAGCATGTAGTGTTAGGAGATTTCAAGCGTGGTACAATGGACACTTGCCGGCTTGCGAGGTGGTCTCTCGACCTTTTCAACTTGAATCCCATCGGCTGCCTGTTTATTTGACACTTTACTATTGTGGTACAGCTCCATGGGAGAGCTGTTCAGCTTTGGAGGTGGTATCGATCCGTTGCCCACAAGTGATCGCAGCGTCTCTGGTAGGAATCTATGTGACGGATAAGCCCATGTCCGAGGGGTGATATGCGATACAGGACGTACAGTGTCAGAGGGACGAGGATGACGCCCGTGGCAATGACCAGGAACCAAAAAATACTCCTCCAACCCAAAGTCTGTGTCAATATACCGCCTATCAGTCTAGACACCTCATGAGCTTTACTTGAATACTTTATCATCGCACACTCACGGTCCCAAAGCAGGTCCAAGAAGCGCCCCCGACTGAAACAGCGCGGCATAGGTGCCCCTCTCCCTCGGCTCTGCCACATCAGCCACACAGCCATACCCTATCGCAATGACAGCACTGCCCCCCGTCGACTGTAAAGCTCGCAGGACGAGAAGCAGTGCGTACGTGCTGGTCGGCGTCAGGGCCAAACCGATGTTGGCGCACAAGTAGATTACGAGGGTGGCGAGATACAACGGCCGTCTGCCAAACGAATCCGACATGGCTCCGAATATGGAAGGAGTGATGGCCTGGAAGACGAGGTAGATGGTGACTGCTTGGGAGATGTCGGACTCGCTCCGGTGGAATTGGTCGGCGAGGGTGGGGATGGCGGGGACGAATATGTTGGAGGAGATGGGGGAGAAGATGGCTGCTATGGCGCCGAGGCCGACGATGAGGTACTTTGTGGGTTTGGAGAAGGCAGAGTAGGGAGTCGGTTCATGGTCTTCGATATCCAGGGAGGCGGCATGTTGAGAGTTGGTGGACTTGTGCTCGACGGGAATCGGTCGAGTAACGCTCTCTGGGGTTCTTTCCGGGGCAGTTTGTTGCTTATCAAGAGCGCTATTGTCCAAGCTAATACTTGGTGATGAGGAGGACATGAATACCCTCAGCTGTGACTGATATAAGTCTTCACTCATTGGACTCTGTAAGTGAGCTTACAGGCAAGAAAGATGAGATGCGAGGCGGTAGCAGCTGGAAAAGCGAGAGCAAGATACATCTGCAAGCATGATCTACCAAAGGCGAGTGGCCCACGCGGTGCAGCGGCGAACATATGGAAATGACTCGAGCTCGGCCCAGTTGACCATCTCCGAGTGCCCACGGACAAGGCCGGCCTTCGACCGTCGGCGCGTCGGTCCCCTCCGCATGTCCAGGGCCGCCGCATTGATGCAGCTCGGGGTGTATATTTCAAACCACTACATATAACGCTGTATCGCACCTATGCATATCAGATTTGATGAGGACAACAATGAGCATCTCCTGCATTGGGAATTCATAGCTAGAAGCTGTTTAATCAATACTTGGTATGCCCGCCTCGCCTCTTTATCACCTCCTTCATTCTGGTCGGCAGTTGCAGACTTCCAGAGGTTTTTGAGGTGTCTAATGCAGCTATCACTCAATCACGTCCTTCGATTCAATCCTCATCATCGTCGGCATCATCCTCGTCATCCTCCAAGTCCCTCAGCCGCTCCGGCTCCTCCCACCCCCCCTCCGAGTCATCATCGTCGGTACTGTCTTCTCCCGCAGCTATGTGCACCGGTCAGCAACTTGATTGCTCAACTGTAGAACACATCACTCAGTGGCACTCACGATCTGCGCTCGCCGACGACGAGGTGGCCCAGATACTCCGGGGCGCCCTTGAGGAGCGTTTCGATTCGGGCGAAGTGCTAGAGGGGAAGGCCAATTCAGCTTCTCGGTCTGACTTGAAGCATCATACCTGACGAGACCTTCACTCACCTCCAGACGGTCGGGCTGCTGATTGTTGGGCTCCATGCTTTGACTCTGGGTGGTTGTGGAATGGAGTAGTGGGTGGTTGCGGGTCCCTGAGACCTGAGGGCTTTGAGCCGTTGGATCGCGACTTGTTTGCGATCAACGGAAACATACGCAAGTTGGAGCTGCTCCTTGAGCTTTGCCCAGGAGTCAACGAGATCCGGGGCGCTTTGTCTGATTCCCTGAAACCAGATGACAGCCTCCTTCTTAAGGTACGTCGTTGCAAGGGGAAGCTGCATGCGGGTTTGTCGATACATGGGTATGCAGCTTTCAAGCATTCAAAGAACTTTCTCCAGTCACGGCCGTTTTCAGAACCGGAAGCGAAGGCCCACGCCAAGGGGAAGAGGCTTGAGTTGGCATCATACGAGGATGCGATGATGATATGATGATCGACGCAAGTCTTCGTAAACGCGGCGTCAACTCCTAGCATCGGGCGGATGTGCTTCGAGAATTGCTTCTTGAAGAAGCTTGGAGCAAAGAAGGCAAATGGACGCATGTTACTGTCCAAACGGGACACATAAGTGCCCTCCGGATCGACCGACTGGCAATGCCTGGTAAAATCGGGCAAACATGCCCATTCATGAGCATGAGTTCTAAAGTCATCATCTATCTTTTACATCAGTAACAACACTAAGCAAAGGAACAGCCTACACACCGCTGAGACCGTTTAGGGTACGGTTGGTCGACCTTTGGGTCGTCTGCACGCCGGTTTGCTGCTCGACCAACGAGATAGCAGTCTTGCTTTTGGTCTCCGACTCGACTCCAGAAGAGCGAAGCTACGAGGCTTGTCAGTTATGCTATCGACTCAAGCGTGAAGATCACAACATACCTGATGCTCTCGGAACTGGAATCTGAGCGCTCCAACTCGAGGGGCTAGTACTCCAGGGTGACAACTGTGCTTTAGTTGCAGCCCAGTGATAACCCACGCATCGGGCACACCTGAGGCGCGCGCTCTGACAAGATAGTCACACCCAGTTGTTTTCTCATGGGGACAAATGCAGCTACGATAGTTCTTCTTGCGAAGACCCCACCTACTAGACGCCATGTCCTGTTGCGCTGATTGATGTACAACCTGTCCATACAGCGCATCCTTGTTGGCGAAGACTTGGCCCACATACAGTTGGACGGGTGGATGAGGATCACGAAGTGTTTCTCCTTGGGTGGCAGGCACACTGCAACGAACACGTCAATATAAGTAAGGATGTGACGGGAGGGTGCACATACGATCTATAGAAGTTGCAGATGACCTCGCGCTGCGTGTCAGTCATCTCCTGGTAGTATCCAGCATGAGGAGATGACGCCTCTCCAGGTCAGTCAGTGGGAATGCCAGCCAGCGCAGAATACGTTGGTGAGGTAGATAGGAGGCTCAAGTGGGTAAGGGAGCGTGGAGCTTGTCCCAGATGCTGAGTGGAGGGGGCGGTTCTAGCCTCTCGAGAGAAGTAGGAGGATGAGGGCGAAGCATGTAGGATCGATAGAAAGTGAGGATCTACGCCAGGTAGATATTGACGAGCCTCCAGGGGGCCATAGCCGCGGGTTTCCAGGTGAGAGGCGGGTTATGATTGCATCTGCAGAGTTCAGCGTGTATCAGGCAGTGAGATGACGCCGGAAGACTCACCGAGTACATGCCACCAACAAAGAAAGGGTCCGGTGCCAGGTAGAGATTTCTGGATTGCCCCAATTCCCGCCAAATCCAGACCATCAGGGAGGTCAAGGGAGCACTCAGAGAGCCTTGGGGAGCTTTGAGGTGAAAGGGCAATGTTGGAGCCATCTTGACTGGTAGAGTAGTTGCTCATATTGCTAGACCAGAGTGTCAGCAGAAATCCATTTGATATTCAAAGATCAGAAAGAGATCTGAAAAGAGATGTAACAAACAAGTGAGTACTTGGGGTGCTTGGAAATTTTAGGAGAGAAGCTATAGCGTTCATGGATATTCTTCAAGAACGCACTGAGAGCTGTCATTCGCTGTTGAGCGCCTGTTAGTGAAATCAGACTGGAGTCGGAACCGATCAGACCCACAGCATTATCCTCGATGGCCACCTTTGTGTCTAGAAACATGAACTGTTCGAAGAGGGACCGCAGGCAGTGTGACGGATGGCGGCGAGTGCTTCGGTGGCGGCGAACGACCAATCGGGGGGCGGGTGATGCTAGAAGTCCGACACCAGTGCCCGCTCAGCAGGGAGAAGGTCGTTTTCGGACTTGCGGTAGGCCGCGCGAGTTGGGTCGTTTACGCCGTGCTCAACGTCGAGCATAATGACATAGAGCTCGAGGTTCGACGTGTTGGTACCAACTATCACACAGTCCCAGGTTAGCTTGTCACTGCAGGCAGTGGGTCGCGGAACTCACCAGTCGCATCCATGAAAGCTTCCTCGACTGTCAACTGACGTCTTCTGATCTCGTCCAAGATAGGAAGAACAGCCCAAGCTATCGCCGTTACCCCAGGGACGTCTGTCCCACTGAACCGTTCTCTGCCGCTTGTGCAAGGCCTGACGCTCAGGACAGTCAGGGGACCAATGAGTCGGACTCTGACAAATGTGTAAGGACCACGCGGGCAATCCTTCACAAGTCGATGTTGTACTTGTCTTGAGAAGTGTGCAAGACCCCTTGTGCATGTAAACTGGACAATGTCCGTCAATATACGTAAGGAGCAGCCCACTGCTTACAAAATGTCACAGGGGAAGGCGGTAGACGGGACCTGGTATCAGGAATGTCGGTAGAATGACAGATGTCGTGGTAGCTGCAGTGAAATACATGGCGTCAGCTTTGGCTACCTGCAAAGAAAGGCTCGGACATACGTGGATTTGTAAGGGGAGTCAGTATCCACACCCGCTATCGTTGGACCTATACGTTGCAGGAATGTCACTGCCTCTCCAGAATTCACTGGTCTCTCTTCTGGTGGAACTTCCAAGCTGCTTGTATCGTCACTGGTGACTGGAACGAGCCCCTTATATTTATCACATCATCTGACGGTTCATCAGCATGTCCAGCGGCGTGAATTTGCCTTTGGACAAGCATGATAGGCGCTTAGAAGACTCATGGCCGCTGTCTGTAGGTCGACCTTGGTGCTGAACACCTGCAAAAACGCGTCAGCAAGCACCATCAACATCATTGCAAGTAAGACTGGACTACGCACAGGATATGCGTTCAACCCAGACGATCTTCTGGCCACTTTGGCCTCCTGGCGCCCCTCACGCCCTTTGGTCGCCTGTCGCTTGTACTTTGACGCGCAGTACTTGCAAGGTGCTCCCGGCTGTGGTCGCACACGCTTGCGACAGCTGGCTCGACACAAGCTGGTGCATGCGCGTGTTCAAGTTGATTACATATTGTCCGGGAAGTGACTGGACATGCGGAGGGGACCGAGAAAGGTAGTCAGGGCCGTGGACAGTGCCGGCCTTTGACCGTCGGCGCGTCACTGATATTACGCGATCCAGAATTCACTTCAAACGAACTCGACAGCATTTTATCAGCAACTCGTTTCCACGCACAACCTCGCAGTATACGTGAGCACATCTCCTGCTTTCCAGTGTAAGCTTGACAGTACAAGACCTCCTAGCACTGACTCTTTCCCCAGCAACAGCCCATCTACTTTCATCTGATCAACCAGATATATTCACCATGTGTAAGTCTTCCTGTGTCTCCCACAGCCCAGGCCAAGCTCATATCCCACATAAGCTTGCTGCAGCGACCTCCCTCCCGTCCAGGCTGAATACACCCCCAAGGGTACCTACACTACCTTCTCTGGCCTCAAGACCTATGTCGTTGGTCCTGAAGACGCCAAGGCTGCCGTCCTCTACACCTACGATGTCTTTGGCTTCTCCCCCCAGATCCTCCAGGGTACGGTCAAAACTCCTTTTATCATCATGTATCTAGCTGACAGCCGCACAGGTGCCGACCTCATTGCCTCCCAAGGCTACCGCGTCGTCATGCCCGACTTCCTCGTCGGCAAGTACGCTACTCCCGAACTCTTTGGCCCCGACGCCGAAGCCAAGAGGAACGAATACTTTTCCCAGTTCCCCGGTGCTATCCCCACCCAGTCTAAACCTTTGGCCGACTCTATCGCTGCTTTGAAGGCTGCTGGCCACAGCAGGGTCGCTATTCTTGGTGCTTGCTGGGGTTACAAGGCTGCTGTGATTACTGAGGGTCTTGCTGGTGTTGATGTGTTCCTTGCTATCCACCCTACGTGAGTGATTGTGGTGATCACAGTGAGCGTTGTTGACAATTTGCGCAGTTTCCCTGCCCCCGAGGACGCCGAGAAGATCAACGTCCCTGCCCTCATCCTCTCTACCGGTGGCGAAGACAAGTCTGTTGTAAGTACCGCCCAGAATACTTTCGTGTCAGTGCTCATGTCTATGAGATCGACGCCATCGAGAAGGGTGTCGAGGCCAAGAACCCCGGCAAGAACTTCTTCAAGCACTACGCCGACCAGGTGCACGGTTTCGCTGCTGCCCGTGCTGATGTAAGTGCCCCTTCCTCATTCAAAGTCGCTGCTAATGTATACATCTAGCTCTCTGGTGGTGACACCCTCGCGGCCTACGTGGAGGCTTACCAGCTCATTGTCAAGTTCTTGAAGGAGCACCTCTAAGAGAACGGTGACTTGTTAGAAGTAATAGATAGTGTCATGCATGCACTGTCATAGAGCTTTGAATAGTCTGGTATCTGTCCATTGCCATCTCTGCCCCAGTGGATGCCCTCGAGCCTCGAGGACTGTAATGCAGCGTAAGCGACAGGTCGAGGCATTGCCTCTTCGGGTGACCGCCGAGTTGCCGGAATCAGAAATTTACCTGGAGACTCGGCGGGTCCTGAAATTTTTGCCACCTTTTTCGGGGAGCGGCTGTGAATGATGTACGCAGGCGACGCGTCTGGCGGGGCGCTCTCTAAACAGCAATCTCCTCCAAATCACATCCTATCTCCATCCCATCCCCCTACGCGTCCGTGTCGAGCTGCAACGCGCCCCCCGCCCCCCTCCTCCTGCAGACCCCCCCAGAACCAAACACACGCACACGCTCCCTGCCGCACACACAACTCGACGCGTCCCGGCCTCCTTCCACCCCCACCGCCCATCCCATCCACGTCAACCATCAACCATGGCATCCCCGCTCAATGCACCTCCACATCCTCCACATACACCCCCAGCACAGTCCACCAGCCCACTGCCCGTGCACGAATCCCAGGAATCGCAGGAGCATAGAGATACCAGGCAGACATCGCGGGACGCTACTTCCTCGTCGCCTTCCGCATCCATGTCCACCGGCGCCAGTGCGAGCGCCTCGTCTCCGCGCTCTGCCATGGAAGGGATTGTAGAGGAGAATGCGCAGGCTGGAGAGGACGAAGGGGACGTGGAGAAGCTGCTGAAGAAGGTGGAACTGGAAAAGGTGAATAGTGCGGAGCGGAGTGCGGACTGGGCTGACTCGTGGTCTTAGAAAATCCATCAACTGCAGAGACGTCTGGAGCTGGCCTCTGTCAAAGCCAACAATGGTTGGACAGACATGTCTATCAAGGACATTGAGCACGTAAGTCGTGCAACCTCTGTATAAACATCCTGCTTATGCGCTCTCAGAAACAACTTCCCGCAACTCCGTCGAGGCGTAAAGCCCCACTTAGCGTGCACACTTCTTCCCCAATGGGAAATAGCCAAGTGACAGCCAGCCCAGCTATCCCATACGAACCACCATCTCCTTCTCGGCCATGGCAGCTCATCGATGTGCTGTGGCAACCTCTACCGCCGCCTTCTCACGGCAACTATCCACCCTCGCCTTCGAGCCCTATGAAGCGTTCGCGTGAAGACGATCACCCCGAGGCCCCGCGGCCAAGTGGGCATGGATTCACGTATCCCATGTCTCTTGCTAGTCCGGGAGCAAAGAGGGTGAATGGACACCGTCGTGCTTCCAGTTCCTTGTCTGGGCACACGCTCGATAGGCGTATGATGGCCGGACCGTCTTCACCTTTGAGAACCAAGTTTGAAGGCCATGAAAAGAAGAGACGATCGCATTCGCATTCCACCCACGACAGGTCGCGGCGAGAAGGGACGACGAGTCAGGATGTCGACGCTGCCAAGGCTCTCACTTTTATGCTGGGTAGCGGCTCTGAAGACGGCGGCGGTTCCATGTCGCGCCAATCCTCATCCGAGGCCATCTTGCCTGTACCCGACTCGTTTGCGAGCCCCATCCCCACCTCGCCAAGCGCCAACCCGCGTCGTCTCGGTATGCAGTCCAACCAGACTACGCCGCGTGCCGGCGACCTGCGCACCCCCAGCTCTCACGCTCGCTCGCGTGTCCCGCCCGGCTCTGGCTCTTCTGCCGAACGCGACAGGCCAGAGGAGGACAAGACGGCAGCAGAGTTGATGATGTTTTTGGCGCACTCGCCGTCGCCGATGAAGTCTGCAAAGAGGGGCGGGCCTCCCGACTCGCCCAACCGGCCCAGTCTTGGGGCCGCTGCGAGGGTGCTGTTTGCCGATGAAGACCGGTCAAAGCAGACCCCGTCTTCGTCGTCGTCGACTTCTGCTCTGCCATCTGCGTCGTCCTCGTTCAGTGCCGGTTCCAGCTTGCCTTCTTCTATAGGGCACAAGAAGACGCATTCCAGGGGTGGCTCGTACTCGCAGTCCAACCTGGCGTTGGCGCCTCCCATAACGCCCGACTCGACGGATGGGTCAACCCTTGTCCAGATCTAGACTGTTTTCTTGTCTGCGTTTCTTGTTTCTTGTTCAAATTATAATCATCGTTCGCTGTCTTGGGTTTTTGTATCACTCTTGTATCAAATCGAGTCGCGTTTTTGTCTACCTAGAGATCAAATGGGTGTAATAAAGAAGGAATACAGATATACATGCAATATGCCGCGTACTAGAAGAACATCTGAGGCCCGGGAGTCGCTAACCAGCTTGAACGTTGATTACGTTATTGGGTGAACTGTTGGGTGAATGATGGGAATCTCCGATGCCGCGCGCGGCTGGTGAGTCACCAGGACATCCCAGGCCTGGCCATTGGGCACCATGCAGGCTCTGCAGCAGCGCCGGAGCAGGCAGCATGCATGTCTTCAAGGCTATCTGGGCAGGGAGGGTACATCTGCGGGGGATACTCACCATGGGAGTATTGGGAGATGCAAGATGCACAACAGCCAGGGAGTCGACTGCGCGGGAGTACGACGCCCAATGACATTGTTACGTTCGCGATGATTTTGTTTCGGCATCACTGCATCAAGTGAATTTGGCCTTTTTAGTCAATTCTTCGACCTTATTCTTGTACATATATTCACCCCATATTCGGTCCCCATTCTGTAGCGACACTCGGCAGCCCATCGACACCATCGCTCCCCAGCCCAGGCCCGCACGCTCTATCAGCTTTCCGCCTTTCTCCCTCCGTCTTCGGCTTCAAACTCCTCGCCCGTTCTCTATCATCACTCTGGCGAGACGGGTCACAATAGAAGACAAAAACGCTCGAAATGTCTGTGGGCAGCACGATTGATCTCTCGTCTGTACCCATAGCGTTCCTCGAGGTATGTGGAGGTGCTCCTCACTCGCCAACTGGGCAATTTTGCTAATGCCACTCTTGCCCCCCTCACCTGCATTTCGGCTTCTCCCAAAAACAGGCGTATCCCTTTCCTGCCCTGGCACTTCTTATAGAATCACCCCTGCGCACTCGACCCCGTCTCGTATCAAGAGATACAGACTCCACCGTTCGACAGCTCGACGAAGATGAAGACTATCCCGATGGCAGCTCTTCCACACCATACCGCGCGGGCAGAATAGTGTGGGGAAATGCGCAATGGAAAAGGCTCGCCCCGGGAGAGATCATTGGCGATTGTCTAAGTCCGCTGGATCAGAACAGGTTGCAGGCTTGGATTGAGAGCGCGGAACTTGGGGAAAAGGCAGAGACGCTGGCGGTGGACATCAAGACTGCCAAGGGGACGACACTTTACTTGACAAAGACGATACTGCCTCCATCGCCGAGCAACGATCGACGTTCGCTCTGTATCCTGACCTCTCACATCCACGACCCTCCCGGAGTTGTGGCTCCGTCAGTGTCTTCTTCAATCGATAGAGCTTCGCCTGGCCTACTGGAGCCATCGTCCCCGTTTCCAAGGTCTCTATCGTTCTCATCGAGCGGATCGAGACCGGTCGATGCTCCTATTGTTGACACGAGGTCTTCGACGACATCCGCCACCAACCTTCGCTCTTCGGTCGACTCGACATCCCCAGATGCGCAGTCTCCTTCCCAAACCCCTATACGCACCCACACGCCATTCGGCAAGACCCTTTCTATCCAAGATGATCGCAAGTCACGAAAACGCTCTCCGCGGGGGACGACGCCCTCCATAAAATCTGGGACCATGGAGAGTCAGGCAGCAGAGAGATGGCGGTTGGTGGAGAGTTTCGATTGGGCAAAGACGCCTATGGGGCCGAGGGAGCAGTGGATGGATGCGCTGGATCCGGTGTTGGCGATCACGTTCGAGTCTAGAACGCAGGATTGTGCGTGGTTGGGCCCAGATTTGCGGCTTGTATAGTAGGTGTCTGTCTTGTCTGAAGGTCCTTGTTTGACGTGTCGTAGCAACCTTCCATACCAGGAGCTCATCAATCACCCGGCGGCTTGGGGTCAGCCGGCGAGCGAAGTTTGGGCTGGGAATTGGGATTACCTCGAGCCTCTGGCGAAAAAGTGTCTCAGCGGTACCCCGATCTATAAAGACAACGACGCTATCTTCTGGAGGCGGTATGGCAATGGTGTGTTGTTGGAACACTACCACACTTGGCGATACGTCCCCATCACTGGCAAAGACGGCTCGATAATGGGTATCTTTAACCAATCCATGGAAACGACAGATACGATTTTGATGGAGCGACGGCTCAATACCACGCGAGAATTGTCTGAGCAAATGACTTTTGCTCGGACTCTCGAAGACTACTTTGACACCGTTGCCGACGTCCTCGGGCAAAATCCTGCCGATATGCCTTTTGCTCTGTGCTACCGTGTCCATCAAAAAGACGCAGATGCTCTCACTATCACCCTCGAGTGCGATCTCCAGGTGACTGTGGGGGTCCCCGACGATCACCCGTCAGCTCCCCAGTCCGTCCCAGTCAATATACGCAGCCAAACCACGTATGGGGTGAGCCCCTCGCGTCCGGCATCGCCTACAGCTTCCATGATGTCTGCCCAATCAGCCAACAACAACCGCGTCTGTCATATTGCAGACCAGTCCCAGAGTTGGCCATTGGAAAAGGCCATCAGCACCCGACAGTGTGTCTTCGTAGAAGACTGTTCTAGGATGATTACGGGCTTCCCAATCCGCCAATGGAATGAGCCGCCCACCTCTGCTATTGTCGTCCCCATCTGCAGCGAGGGTTCTCATGACGTCCCAGGCTCAGTCATGATCTTTGGTATCAACATCCGACGACCATTTGATCCCGAGTACGAGCTCTGGATGAACTCTCTGCGCGCGCTGCTTGCTTCTTCATTCATTGCTGTCAAATCACATGAGGCAGAGGCAAAGATGGCGGAAGACTCGGCAAAGATGGAGGCTGCCAAGGTTGCGTGGTTCCGGGGAGCGGCGCATGATCTGCGAAGCCCTCTGACTCTGATCGCTGGTCCGCTGTCGGACGTGCTCGAGTCCAAGCTCGAGCCGAAGCAGCGCACTGCCCTTACCATGGCACAGCGCAATCTCGAGAGACTTATGCGGTTGATCAATTCCCTCATGGATTTTTCCAGGGTGGAAGCGGGGCGGATGGAGGGGCGTTTCGTACCCACCAACTTGAGCGAGTATGTCGCCGACTTGGCGGCCTTGTTCAAGCCCGCGGCAGAGCGTTTGGGCCTGCAATTTATTGTGGAAATCGAGCCTCGAGAAGAGCTCGTCCTTCTCGACCCTCTCTTATTCGAGACCATCGTCTCCAATCTCATCGGCAATGCTCTCAAGTATACTGAATCGGGTAGCATCGCCGTGCGCGTAACGTATACGTCAGGGCAAGGCGAGATCTCTGTCACCGATACTGGCGTGGGTATACCCAAAGACGAGCTCGCGCTGGTGACGGAATGGTTCCATCGTTCGAGTACTGCCCTTCACTCTGGTACGCAGGGTACCGGCCTTGGCTTGGCGCTTGCAAAAGAGCTGGTAAAGTTGCATGGCGGTGAATTGCATGTGTGGTCACAGACCGCTGGCGAAGCAGAGGGCACCCACGGCTCCGTCTTTTCGGCCACCATACCCCTTGATTTCAAACCTCAATCCTCCTCCCAAACCCAATCGCCGTATTCTGTCGAGGAATTCGGCAAGTACGGTCAGATCGTTGCCGACGAAGCTATGCGCTGGGTTGCGGATGCGGACGAGGCCAGTGAAGTGTCTGACAAGGAGACTGGTAGTGGAGGGTCAGCTGCTTCGTCTGGCAATCGGTTCGCAGAAGCGTTTTTGTTTGACAAGAAAGATGTCGTACTTGTCGTCGAGGACAATGTCGATATGCGCAAATATATCGCCCAGCTCTTTGCTCCTCACTGTACGGTCCTACAGGCGTCAGACGGCAAGCAAGCCTTCGATATGGCCGTCAAGAAGCCGCCAAACCTCATCCTGGCGGATGTCTTGATGCCCAAGATGTCGGGCATGGAGCTTTTACAAGCTATACGTTCCCATCCCGACACTCGCATAGTTCCGATCGTCCTCATATCGGCTGTCGCTGGTGACGAGCCTCGTATGGAAGCTCTGCTTAATGGAGCTGAAGACTACATGGCGAAACCGTTCAAGCCCAAGGAGCTGCTTGCCCGAGTTCACCTTCACCTCCAAGTCGGCAAGAAGCGCGCCAAGCTCGAAGCGCTCTATGCACAGAGAGAGACTGAGCTCGCTGTATTGTCTGATTATTGTCCGACAGGTATCTTCCGCGCCGACACAAAGGGCCATATTGTGTATAGCAATAATGCATGGCGGACGCAAAGCGGCGTCAATGACTCGGATCCCGACAGTTGGCCAATGTACCTGAGCCAGGAAAGTCAACATTCGATCCTGGAGCTATGGAGGGCATGGGTACTTGGTGATGAAAAGAGTCTGAAGACTAGTTGGCGGTGGGCTAACGACACGCCCGTTAGGGCTATCCTGGTGAGACTCGAACATGCTAAGCATGGGTTCTCGGGATTCCTTGGTTGTGTGGTTGATATATCGCATGAGGAGCGGCGTTTGGTCGAGGCAGAGGAAAGAAGGCGGGAGGCGGAGGAAAGCAAGCATCAGCAAGAGTTGTTGATTGACTTGACCAGCCATGAAATCAGGAATCCCCTGAACGCCATCTTGAGCTGCTCGGACCTGGTCAAACAGAACCTCATTACTCTACAGGAGCAGTTGAGGGCTTCCGGGTTGAAGGGATTCATACCGTCACCGGAGCTGTTATCAGACTTGGAGCAAGACGTCGAGGCTTTAGAGAGTAAGATGATCTATACGATGAGGAGAAATGAGCTCACCACATTCCTAGGCATTCACCAGTGCGGTCTTGTTCAAGAACGCATTGCAGGAGATATTCTTTCGCTTGCCCGCATCCAGCTTGAGATGCTCAGTCTGCATTATATCGAAGTCAATCTTCGAAGAGAGGCTCGAAAGGTGTCTTCTATCTTTGCGTCGGAAGCCAAGATGAAGCAGGTCGACCTCACCCTCACATTTGGTCCGACCATCGAACAGTCACAGGTTCTCTTGATCAAAACAGATCCTGTAAGGTTGGGCCAGGTGGTTACAAACTTGATATCGAATGCCATGCGCTTTACGGCGGGCGGTGGTATGTGTCTCCATACATTGTGTACCCATGCTGATATCTCCCAGTGGACGACAAGAAGATCACAATCCAATATGATGTCTCTTTCGTACCTCCCGCAGAAGGCTCTTGCGCACTACCTTCAAATATCGGTCTTCCTACAACTCTGCCGGCCCCCGAAAACACCCCAGTATGGTTGTTTGTCAGCGTCACCGATACAGGCCCTGGTATGAGCCCTAGCGAACTTGCCGTCTTGTTCCAGAGATTTGCTCGTGAGTACTTATCTTGCCGTTGACGTTAGCTTACACCGTGTTCTAGAGGGGAACAAGATGATACATACCAAATATGGAGGCAGTGGCCTGGGTTTATACATTTGCCGAAGTGAGTCGCGCATCAAATGAGTGAAAGTATGCTGATGTTTTGCGACAGAAATCACCGAGCTTCTCGGAGGTCGTATTGAAGTCTTGAGTGAGCTTGGCAAGGGCAGCGGTATGTGGCTCCAGTCGAGTATTTGGTGTATCGACTGACCCTCAATGATTCAGTCTTCCGGTTCTTCATCAAGACGCGTGCCGTCTCGCCACCGACAGCCATGGCTGCTTTCGTCGAGCCGACGGCCTTGACACCCATCAGTGCCTCTACGCCTTCATCGTCCTTTTCTATGAGCCGGACTTCGTCCAATCAGACGCCCAAAAAGCTCGTGTCTCGGGAAGAAGGCGACCGTATCTTGGTCGTGGAAGACAACCTCATAAATCAAACTGTCCTGAAGAGGCAGCTTGTGAAGGCCGGTCTCTCTTGCGACGGTGAGTCTTGTTGCATCCTTCCTGCTAGACATGTCTGATGGAATATAGTCGTCAATAATGGTCTTGAGGCCCTCAACACCATCCGCGAAGCCAACAGGCAATACAGGCTCGGGGGCGTGGATCGAACGAGATTGTACGACGTGGTCTTGATGGACCTTGAGATGCCCGTAATGGACGGCCTTACTGCTATCAAAGAGATTAGATCAGCCGAAGCCGCTGGTCATCTTGAAAGAAACATGGTGATTGCCTTGACTGGAAACGCGAGGCAGGGTCAGATCGACCAAGCCTTGGCGGAAGGGATGGATGACGGTGAGTCTCAGCCGTTTTTTGACACGGTTCATCGTCCTGACACATCGCAGTGGTGATCAAACCTTACAGGATTGACAAGCTCCTGGTGAAGATTAAAGGCATGAAGGCGAAGCGATCAGAGTTGGAGTTGAACGTGATTGAAGACTCCTAGAATATGAGTCTTCCGAATGGTCTTCCTCATAATTATAGATTTTGGGCGTCTTTTGTTGTTTTTGCTGCGAGCGTGAGCGGTTGGCTCTACGCATCTTGTATCGATCTTAGATAATTCCATAGAATATAATACTGTATGATGTCCATTCACATATTTCACATAAACTCGAAAGTTGAACACATGTAACAACAGATGATGACTATGGTGGTTGTGATTATACATGGCCAGGTTGAATGACAGTGGCGAATTATCGGCCGATAATTATAGATGCTCGGTATGTACAAAAGTAAACGTAAGGTCCATTGGCGAGATGAATAGTATACAAGATTTTAATTGTCCGTTCTTAGGGTCATACACGATCACTGAGCTTCTCTGATTCTAACACCCATTCAGTCAGCTTCGATATGCCTCTGAACACAGAGCAGTACTTACATATCAGCAGCATTCTCAGCCAGGCCATACAACGTGGCACTCAGATGGGCGGAAAACTGAATAGGCAGCACACTAGCATCGACGATCCTCAGATTCTCGGTGCCGTAGACTTTCAGGTCGGAGCCGACGACACCGCCAAGATCTTGAGACATCATGGAACAGGTCGCGATGGGGTGATGGACAGAGGCGACTGGATGGGTCTGTTAGGCTTTGTCTCTGGGAGGGGATGGAGCGCTTACAGCCATCTTCGATCCAGTTCTTCCAGTCCTCGTCAGAACCGCCATTACCATCCTCGGGAACGGAGTCATACCCAGGCGCGTTCTCTTCAGTCACGATGCTCTTCAAGGGCGCAGTCTGGAAGATCTTTCTAGCCATTCTCACGCCAGCAATCTGGATATCCATGTCGACTTCAGCAGCAAAGTATCGCGGGTCAATATCTGGATAGTCGAACGGGTTGGTCGAGGCAATCTTGACATGGCCTCTGGAGAATGGGAGCAGACTCCACATGTCAACGCCGAGGCCTCCGTTGGGAAATCCAGTGTCGAAGAAGAGCTCGACGAGCCCGACAGAAGAATTGAGCATGAGGCCTTTTTGGATGTTGAAGTAGTCGCTTGCGGCGTCGACGGAGATGAAGGCGCCGTTGTCGTATGCGTCTTGGGCGTAGGAGTCGAGCTGGTCGGTGATTTTTTGGGCAATGTCGACGTTGCTTGAGGAGGTGATCTATATCGCGTATTAGCACGGGTTCAGAGAGATGATACTGACCAAGACTCACACCGAGAAAAGAAGGATAGGCGATGACGTTACTGGGACCTTGACCGTCGGCGTCAAAGTCATCTACAGGAGTCCATCCAACAGAGTCCATAGTCTAAACAACGTCAGCATGGATCAGCCACATAGAGTATCGCGACGCACCTGCTCCTGAAGGTTCTTCCCAACCCCATTGCTCTCCACAACCGTGTCAATACCCAAACCCTCCAAGAGCGACTTTTCTCCGATCCCACTCAATTGCAACAAAGCAGGCGTTTGGATAGCACCGGCAGATACAATGACCTCCTTGTTGGCATTGACCGTCCATCGGTCAGAGTTTTCGTCCCCGCTGGAGGAAGCGAATTCGACACCGGTAGCTTTGACTGAAGAGTTGGTGGAGGAGAGGACGATCTTGGTGGCAAGGTGGGCGGTGAGGATGGCGAGGTTGGAGCGGGAGGACACTGGGGAAAAGTAGGCGGTGGCTGAAGAGGAACGGTGGTCGTTGTCGCTCCAGTCCATGGTCTACATACGGCGTCAATTCAGGAGTGGAGCCGAGAGTGGATAAACTCACGTTCGGGTGGAAAGCGACTACGTTGGCAGAGCCTCCATCGGCATCGGGCGAAGAAGCGACTGAAAAGTTGGTCGAGACGACTTCTTTGAAATACTTTTGCTGGGGACCGTGGTAGATGCCATCGCTACGCAAGGGTCAGCTTCTTTGCGAGTGTGGTCAATGCAATATGTATGTACGGGTACGTGACCTGAACAGGGCCAGAGGTGTTGTGGTATGCTCCATTGGAGCTGGCACCAGCATCCTGTTGCTGAGGTACCATGTCAGCGACTGCCCTTCAGCTAGTGATAGTGAGCTTACCTGACTGTTAGGAGCACTGAAGCCTTCACTCTTCACCGCGACAATCAGCCACGGACGTTGAGGGGGGTTTACCGGAGCTTGACCTACCTTAAGCATACCAAGGTACATCCCGTTCCAGTTCCATCGACCGTTGTTGTCGTCGCCACCCAAGAAAGTCGCCAGCGCGTCATACTGAGCCTTGTGACCTCGAGTCTGCGCCAGTCCATTGATAGAAGTTGAACCGCCGAGTGTCTTTCCTCTGCGAAAGAAAGGGGTCAGCTTCGGCTCTCCTGAGAGTCGTGCTACTTGCCCGTGAATGTATCTACCCTGACTACTGGGCCAGTTCCAATCGAGCTCCGTGCCGAATGCCACCGAGTACTGGTAGGGGTCGTAGACCCTCTCGTCGTCGCGGTTGTCCTCACCGGCTTCGATCACACTGCAAGTCTTGGTCAGCTACATACCAGGAACAAGGACAAGGACACTCGAGGGAACACAAAGGAACCAAATACTGACAGTACAGAAATGTTCGGGTCCTCCGAGAGTCTATTGGCAACGACGAGACCTCCGAGGCCGCCGCCGACGATCACATAGTCGAAAGACTGATTAGATACAGTGGAGGGATCGTTGGTGATGCCAGAAACCGCCAGAGTTGAAGGAAGGGCCACAAGAGCAGCGAGAACGGGGAAGAGGCGTAGCATGGCGAGAACCTAGACGGACTTTGGTATTGATGCGGTTGGTGAGGAATGACGAGAGTCGAGTACTGGTGGGGGTGAGTGATTATAACTGTAGCTATATACGAAGCCAAAAGGAAAGTGTGGGGCCTGTGGCAAGTAGCAGGCGAGGACCACGTTTATACTTGATGATGGGAATGATGGGATTCGAAGAGCTGGTGAAAAAACGAGGAAGAGCACGATGCACTCCTTTAAATACCTACTCGCACGCCGGCATGAAAGGTGCTGTGATCCTGTCAGCGTCAGAAAGCGCCCCGACGAGGCCGACCAGATACCCGCACTCGTAATACATGCCCGCATCTCCCCTGAAGGCAGATTGCACGCCGGCATCAAGCCCACAGCGACCAAAGTCAGTGGATGTTTAAGCTCAGAAGCGGTACGGGAAGAGAATGCATCGCCCCTCTTGGGATTGACTCTTCGGTGACGAGAAGCATTCTGGCGCCGGCCTGGAGCTGTCTCAAGCACCCCCACTCATCTACCAGGCACGACTGTTTACTTGATGGTCGGCGAACCAAATATGAGGGAGAGCAGGGGGAGACGCGCGGCGACATGAGGATTTCAGGGCACTTGCATCGCCCGATGACGCTGATCCCCTGGCGGGAGAGGCAGGCGATGCAGGACAGCATATGCAAACAGTGCTTCCAGGATTTGGCTCAAGAAGCAAAAAGCGTCATCGGGTCGGAGTGTATGTAGCCACATGGGCCCACGCTGTGTGCATCGAAGGTCAAAGGATGTAGCACCGCACAGACCACCAACAATCGCGCCGGCAGCGGACCCCTCCACCCAGCCCAGGCACGTGCGGTGGCCGCCGCCCCAAGTTTTGGATCTCGCCCTCCAAGCCGCCTCCAAGTTGAACATTCTGCACCACAAACCCCTCCCAGCACACCAAAATGGACCGCCAACTTGAACCCCGCCTCCTGATAGAGTCCATCACCAAACCCACAAAACTTTCCTCGAAAGACACCTACTCCCACCTGCAAAACTTCCTCCACTCCCTCCCCGTCTCCCCACAACGCACTCAGCTGGAGCGTCTCACCGATGCTCTCGGTGTCGAAGTCGGCCAGATTGACATCAGTGAAGGGGAGAGACGAGAGGCTGAGCGAGAGGCGAGGAGATTAGAGGCTAGGCAAGAGAGGAGGAAAAAGAGGGAAGAAGAGGAGGAGGCTCGAAAGCAGGCCGAATTGGAAGGAGCTGTTGAAGGCCTTGAAGAGGAAGAAGAGGGTGACATGGAGAATGGCGCTGTCGGTCAGGAAGGGGAGGAGGGTATGGAGGACAGGGGTGATGTCGAATACGGTGATGTCCCAAACGAGGACGGTGACGATGAGCCCGACAACGAGGACCAGGCTGAGCAGATGGACGAAGACTCTGATTAAATGTGGGTCAATCTTTCTTGGACCCGACCATCCAGATACTGACTGGTGTCAGGATTGCATAAATTGTACAATATCATACCCAGCATATAATGATACCTCCTACGCACGATTTGGAACGGAGTCTTCCATGTCAGCGGCAGGTTTGCAAAGTCATGGCCAAAAGCGATGGACAAAGCACGACGAGCTGTACAGATTAGCGATCTTGATCGCCCGAGATGTACCGCGTCTACGATATTGTGTGATCGAGCATGCCGGAACCACTCAGTAGCCGAAACTTGCATATCAATATATCCAACGTTCCCATTGCCCGGCTAAGAGTACAAGGCCCTCTCCCGCTAAAAAGTACAAAGTATCAGAGAGCAAGAACTACAAACTTCGATCCCACACAACAAACTATCAAATCAGGGGTATACAAGAGGGGGTGGAATTTCGTGGATAAACATTTTCGTGCGTTCTCGCTCATACAAATGAAGACGTTCAGTTACACAGGAATCTCCTGTTCAAGCAATACTGTTGATCCCATCAGCAAACTGGTCGATCGCGGTTATTAGACAAACGGCTCACCAAATCGCGACAGAAGCTCGGCCAGGAATGTACAATTTTCCTAGGTTCACCTTCAATCAACTTGAGCGCATCGGGATCTCTCACACCCTTCTGTTCCGCTTCGTAACGGCGCTTCTTGCCAGCTTCCGCCTCGCGTTTGGCCAGCTCAACCTCCCACCCGAAGAGTTCGTGGAAGAATCGGAGATTGGGTTGGATAAGGACTGCAAGAGGTCAGCGCCAAAAAGCTAGAGATGGCGATCAATTCACCATTCAATCTTCGGGCTCGGCAGGTCATATATGCGTCCATGAGGCCCAGCTTTTCGTGCTGCATCATATAGGCGATCACGATGCTCGCGCTCCTGCTCACACCAACGCGCTTCAAAGGCAAACACATCAGCGATGCCCACACTTCTCGATAAGTTTGGACTCACACAATGCACAAGGATCTTGCCACCGCTCTGCCTCGCCGATTCAATCCACTCGCAAGCATGAGCAATGACAGGACGCAAAGGATCATTACCGTCATCTCGCACATCCATCAGATCTAGCACCTTGATTTTGCCCGCCCGGGCAGCCGCGGCGAGCGTATTGTCGGGCGAGCTACCGTAAGGGTTTGGAGGACCTCCCAAGAGACTTTCGCCCACGCTGACTACGTGATCGATGCCCAAAGCTGCGAGCATATAGGCGTTCCCAGCATGTTCCCTGGTACAGCTTCAGTCACGGTGCGTCATTCTCAGCAAACTGCACTTACAGATTACCGAGATATAGGAAAGGCAGAATTCTCGACGGGAACCCATCAAACCTCCTATCATCAAACCATACCCTCGCCTGCCTCGCTGCCAAGCTCCCGCCCTCCTCATACTCTGCCAACATCTCTTTCGCCGCATCTACCGTCAACTTTGCCCTGCCCCCGTCTTTCTCCTTGATAGACGCGATTTTACCGTTCGCAGGCTCTTTCTTGTTGCCAAAGGTCATACCCCAAGAGCGCCAGCGGGGACTCGAGCTAGGGTGCCGTTCTTCCGCTTCGCGTAGGCTGCTGGAAGAGATACTGGTAGCACTCAAGAACTTGACAGCCTTCGCTTTCCTGTCGCTTGCCAAGCGAGCGTCAATCTTTCGCAAAAGGGGCTTGTCGGCGGGATAGACGAAAAAGGACCTGTTGCCAGTTGTCTGCAGATGCAAGAACGCCTCGGGAAGTGAGATGGACAAGCTCGACATGATGTAAGACAGAACGACGATGCTCGACTCTGTATACCCATCTTGGCAGTGCACAAGCACCTTGCGTTTCCTGCCATTATCCCTACCTTCGATAATCTTGCGCAAAAAGTAGACGAGTTCAACGACACGGTCTGTCATGGTGTTGAGATTGCGCGTCTGACCGGTGATGGTACGACAGCTGCCCGAGCACCCCAAAGCGACAAACTGGTACTCTATAGGAAGCGCTCTAGCTTTGGAACTACGATCTTCGGCTGAGGGCGAGGCCGTCCTTTTGGCGGGAACCTCGTTGCTCACTGGACCTGCCGTCAACAAGTTCCGCAAAGCTAGCGTGGCCGGCGAGGCTGTCCAATTGAAAGTCGTGTGTGCTTGAGTGGCTTCTTCGGTGGGTCCTCTGTTCTGGTCGAGCTCGAGGAGTTTGCGCTGTGCCATCGAAAGGGTCGATGCAGAAGGCATCTCGGCACATTCCGAAGCTTTGAGGCAAAGGTCGAAACGGACGAAAGCGCCGACACCGTCAGGCGCGTGGCCTGGCATGTCACAATCATTGCCCACCCAGAAGCCTTCAACGACCTCGGAGCCTCTCGTCATCGCCCTGCTTTCTTTGGCTTCTCGATCAAAGAGATCAGTTTGGAGATGAGAAGCAGCCTGTCGGCCCTGAGAGTCAATCAAGACGAGTTCGGGGCACTTCTTTTCCAACTTGTGGAATGGTTCTGATTGATTTGTCAGCACCTGTACGATCGTGGAGCCTGGTGACATACCGACTACGACCCAAACACCGTAACGTATAGGCTCGCTACTACCTTCACCAGGTTTTCGAGAGTCTTTGACATGCGAGTAGAATTCTTCCAACCTTTGCTGATACAGATCTTCTTGCGCTTGCGCGATCCTGCCGAAATGTTAGCTTCTCTCAAATACGCCCCTACCATACTCACTCTTCGGCGGTCTGGAGCACACCGGGTCCCAGACCAGATTTGCAATACAGCACGATATCAGACACTGACGAATACTTGATCTGCTGTATATTGAGATTCCTCAAATTGATCTGTTCCGGCAACCTCGCTGGTCTGAATCGCGGCCTCTTGTCAGGGTGATCATGATGCCTACGCAGCTCAAACACGTCATGGACATGAAGAGCGTTGAACAAGATGCACGAGGGGCGATCTTCGAGGGTCAACAGCATTTCCGAGCTTGCGTCGGACGCGGCGGAAGAAGGCACGTCTTGCTCTGCTGCCGCAGTATCGGTGCTCTCACAAGGAAGAGGATGGTGCTCCTGGTCAAAGCCTTTGGAGACTGCCATCGGAGAGAGACGTTTCGTGTTGCAGGGGTGCATGGAGACGTCGACGGTCACGTCACTCTCACCAGTGTTCTTTTCGTCCTGCCTGTCTTCGACTTCGGGAAGCGATTTGAGGGGCGACTTAATTGGTGAAGGCAAAGAGTTACCCAGGCTCGGAGCGGAAGTGGCTATAGTGGTGCCGGTAGAGTAGTAAGACGACGAAGAAGACGAATCGGTCTCTGAACCTTTACGATTAGGGATCTCGTAAGGCGCGGTGTGGTCGCGGGAAGTGCTGTTCGGCAAGGGTTTCACTTGATGGTCGAGATGGTGAGGCGGGCAGAACATGACACTCAGTCCACGGTAAGGAGGTGGCTCAAACGGCGGAGAATGGCTGGAGTGTAGTGTGAGATGATTATGACTCATACGGACGATGGCTCTTACCCAAAGAAGCTGGCCATATCCCGACCCTTCTGTCCGTCGTCACTGATACCATGCAGCCAAGGAAACATGACTGAGCTAGGCGTATCAATCAATGAATGAGCCTCCATCAACCGAGGCAGCTGTCAAGTGTCAGCTTATTTGAACGCGGGTAATTATGCCGGCACCTACCTCTTCCACACCCAGAAGCCTGACGCCTTGGGCGACTTCCTTCCGCTCGGGCTCCCTGCCCCATTTTGGCATGCCCCATACCAAAGGGTGCAGCTCTACTTCCTTCTCTACAGCTGGCGAGTCCATAGACGCGATCGCCTCTTCCCTCTGCGCTTGTTCCTCTTTGTAAGTGCTCACGGGCTCTCCAAGATCGGCGCCCTGGTAGCCGGAAGGTTCAGCTACATCCTCGTCCACATCCATCCGATCCGAGTCCTTCTTATCATTATCACCTTGAGTATCGGAGGGAGTCGAGGCAGAGCTCTCGAGGTGCTCCCATTCGTATTTTAGCCGAGTAGCTTTCGGCTCCCGTGGCTGTTTGCTTTCTTGAGTATCGCTTTGGGCCTGATTGGCGCCAGAGACGACACCCTCGGTACTCCTCGCTCGTTCCATAGCAGCAGGGAGTAAGTGAGTCGGAGTTATGGGCGTCGGGGGCGCCGAGAGGGGCGCGGACGGCCGAGGGGTGGAGGGACGAGAGAGGGGGTAGGGAGGCTGTTGTGGGTAGGGCATGACCATAGACGACATGGTGCTCAATGTGTGGAGGGAGATAAGACTGCGAGGCACACGAGGGTGATTATGGGAAGGAAAGAATGGAGTACGGAGTCATGTGCCCGCTAGGATGTCGAGGATGGTAGCTTACAGCGGCTGGCACCTAAGCGGGGGGGGGGTGTTGTGTACAAGTGTAATGGGGATGGAAAGAAGGATGAGGATGGTGCTGGGAGGGGCGGAGGGACTCGCACGAGATGACAGAATGGATACGGTATGGGAGCAGTGTACGTAAGAGATGTGAACGTAAAACAGGATCTGTTCGGACACCCCATTACCGCTAACTCTGAACCAAAGTCACGCGCAGCCGTCCTGACTCCCTGCGCTACTCGCCGTCGATCACCACCCAAGGATCAGGTCTGGTGAGCAGAGCCACAGCGTATGCTGCAGCATCCAGAAAGACGCAGGGGGTGTCGAGCACCCCGTTTTCCCAGGATCTGATCGCAGCTGTCAACAATCAATCCGCATGTGTTGCGGAACGGAAGCGTTCGGAAAGGATCTGCTACTTGTGTGGGCGCACATTATTGTCATTATCCTGACAGGCCTGATACATACGTATACCTGATACCTGTGTTGGCACTCGAGTCCAGCCCAACGAGAGGCACTACAGCGACGAGGTTCGACGGTCGACAAGAGTGCTGTTGTCCACCGTCTGTTTCTCCCGGTTGCTCCAGTATCAGGCCTGTTATCAGGCATGCTGCATGGCGCCGCACTTGAAGACCGCCTTGGCATCTTTCACCATGACCAGCCTCGCCCTCGTCGCAAGTGCGGGTCATTATTATGATTAGCGTTGTCACCAGCGGCCCCTGAATCGCGGGGAGAATCTTGGAGACCCCGTACCTGGATAACTCTTTGGTTCTTGTATTCTTCGCGTTATCAGCAATCAGCCAACGTCAGCGATCAGGCGAGCTGCTGTCATCGCTATACATGTCTCGCAAACCGGGCCGCCACTTTGAAACACCGAAGGCGATGGACATGTACAGTGGATGTGAGGGACGGGGATGATTCTGATGCATGGTCTGCCAGCTGGGCCAGAGCAAAGTCTGGTATGACGTTGTCGCTGCAACGCGACATGCATGGCTGCAATTGCCGCTACCTCCTTAAACCCCCCCTAACCCCCCTCACCGTAATCTCCTTCTTGTCCCAATCTCATAAACAGTTCACCACGGATTCAATTACGGTGGCTGATATGGATAAGGGTGCTGTATAGGGGTCCGACGAGGGAGCAAAGTGTGATCAGAAATTGAACGTAAAGGCGGCAGCTGCGGCAACTCCTTCGATGAATACCTTGATGGGTCCAAGACAGGTCGCGACAAATCTGGTCCCAGACAAGACTCAACAACATCATCGTATTCGACCTCTCCAGTGTCCTCGGCATCGACACCCGCTTTGACTTGGATATCCGGCTTGGCAGGAGGCTCAGATATCCGGCGGGCGGTGGCCGCGATGCGGAAACCTTGGGGAACGACTCGGTGATGGTATTTGCGCTGGATCTCGTGTCCTTCCATGATCATGAAATCCTACAGGCATCGCTCAGTATCCTCTCCAGACACAAAATAGAGTAGACACTTACCCCATGAGAAAGAGTGATGTTCAAAGCTACATCGGTGTTTCCGCGCTGTTTCTCCCCAGGCTTGGGACGGAATGACATGATTGCCGAGCTGCCCAGACTGAGTGAGGCTACAACCGGTCCTAAACCTGGTCACGACATCAGTTCCAGCCCAGGATGGTAAGGACAGCGCATACCGGGCTCTCCGTCATCATGATACCCCATCTTCTGTCCCTCTCGATAACACACAGACAGGATCTCGTTGAACTGATACTCCTCGCCCAACACCGTAGCCACTGAGGATGTTATGCTGCTCGGCATATAAGCTACAAGTCGAATCGCACGTTGCACAACAGAACTCACCGCTCCACAGCTTTGGTAACACAGGCAGGAGACTCGTCAAACGGAGTAGACAGAGTGTCTACTATATACTTGTAGGGTACGCCGCTGTTGAACGCGAAGTGCTGAGCTAGGAGAGAGCCCTTTACTATGACGAGGGCTATGGGTATACTTTTCCTCAACGGCGTGTTAGAATCTTACCGGTAGTCTGAATAATCGTCAGCTCACGTATCGAAACCATCATCGGCCAATTACTGATTTCAAAGACCGCCGCTGAAACCAAGGTTTTGAGGTAGCTTCCCGCTGATACTCATAGAAGAGTTCCGTAGCATACTCTTTGTCGAATGGCATGATATGATAGATTTTGCCGCTGACGATACGTTAGCCATCTCCTCGCACTGTTTGCGAGTATTGTTTACGCTTCGGGAAGCTCATAGATGGCGACTACAGCCCCCAGCTCTCTCGAAACCGTCAAGCTCGCACTCAGCCCTGTTGAGTGCCTCATCGCTGCATCTCCCAAGAAGGTATCTCTGAGATCCGTGAGACGACACAGTGGTACTTGATGACTAGCATTCAGTTGTGCCGTACTATTACCACATGCTTGACATTCCTACACTCGATCAGCAAAGGTTATCTGGCCGGGAAGAAGACGTACCCAGACTTCCCACCGATAGCGGCAATTCGCTCTTCCACACTCCGAACAAACCCACCCCCTCCAAAGCGTCTTCTCCCCCGCCCCTCCCAGCCCACCTTCATCAGCTTCTGGCCAATCCTCCACCGGCCCTGGTGGGCCTACCTCATACGGCAGTCTATTCACTCCTTCAGGCGTTTTCTGCGGCAGTAGAAAGGAAGGACAAAGGGTGAGCGTGAACGTCGGCGGAATGGGGAGGAGCCCTAGAGGGGTGAGAAGGAGGAAGAAGGCGGGGCATGAGGGATGGACGCAGATGGGGCCTTCGATGTAGATTCTGGGGCTTTGCGAGTCGCAAGTGGGGCAGGTAAAGCCATCGAAGGTGGCTCTAAGGGAGAGTCAGGAAAGTGGGTTCATGGATGATGTTGACTTGCGCAGAAGGTACATGGTCCTCGCCTTGCAAATCTGGGCTTGATATTGGAAGCTCGGACGCACCCGGCCATGAGGGCGTGCTCTCCGTATACGACTCGAAATCATGGGTGGATGTCTTCGGTGACGGTTGTTCAAAAGACAACATCATCTCGGCCGCTTCTTTGCTTGACGAGATGCGGCAAGGTCGCCGGGGTGTCGAGGACAGTTGATTCACAGGTAGAGGAGAAACGGGTATCTCCGAGTCCCACCACGGATCTCCTTGGCTCCCAACCCAGTCGAATCGGATCTTGATCCGATGGAAATAGTCTCTTCCTGATGGAGGCTTGGTACCCTTATACGCAGGCTCAGCCTCCACCCACGTGTACGATATCCAATACCACCCCAGCACCACATACGCGCAATCAAGATTCCAGGGCAGCTCCTTGTACCCTTCTCCAGCTATCAGAACGATGGGCGTCCGTCTCTCTGCGGCGGTGAGGAGAGCGTCTACACGAGCATCGGAACGGGATTGGTCGGCTTGGAGGACTGGGGGGCCTTGCTTGCCATTTGGGAGCTTGGGACATATGCACTGGCCTCCTCTGCTAGAGTCAGATCACCTTCGATGATTGTCAGATTGCTCACCCATGCGAGATGATGACTCGTCCATTACTTGCCCAGGCGTCTCGACTAAGTCCAAGAGTCAGCAAGTCATTATCTCCCATGATGTAGAGGACTAACGGAGCGGGAAAAGCTTCAAGGAGGTACCCAAAGGTGACCTTGGAGTGCATATACAAGCCTGACTGGAAGGAGCGGTAATATGGAAGAGCTTCGCAGAGCTCTTGTCGACTCTGAAGCCAAACGATCAGCATTTCGGTCCTGTTTGGCATGAGCACGTACCTCAGCCCATACCGGCGGCCGTTCCCTTGGCTTCTCCCTTCTCTCGGCCTGCCGAGCAGCTCTTGAAGCTACAGGTAGCCCGCTCATCACTCTAAGAGCTCGATTGAAAGTCGACGCCTTGACTGGCAGGAGCAGAACGTCACTCTTCTTGCAGGTTTCCTTTTCGTACGAGCTCTCCTCTGAAGCCGTAGACGGAGAAGGTAATGGCGAGGGCGATGGACTGTAGTCAAACCTATGCCGTCTTGAGGGGGTTGGGGTTGGGATAGGCGATGACGGCAAGATGTCCTCAAGTTCTTCTGTGACTGATCTAGTCGGCCTCTTTCTTTTGCGGCTGCTCTTCTGACTCAGAACCGACTCGATCAAGGTTTCGACGGCTTCTGTGGTTCTTACATTCAATTGTGAGCGCTTGCTCACGCGGGAAAATGAGGACTGACGAGAACGAGGACATCGCTGATGATGGCTGCCAGACGGTGGCCTCGTGTACCGGGGTCCGAAGAGCTTCGTTCATGCCGTGGGATGGAAGTGGCGAGCCATTGGCTTGTTGAAAAAGAGCCATCCAATTGTGCACCTGGTGCGCTCATTACTTTGCAAAGATGCAGATGGAAGAGGACATCTATGTTTTGCGGGCTGGAACAGGACAAGCTTTCGGGGGCGGCCGACGGGCACCCGAACGACCGTCACGTCGCGGTGAATTACCCCGCGTTCTTCTCTTGTTTCTTTCATGGGGCATCTCTCGAAGGTCGTCTCGAATGCACCGGGACACTCCTGGCCTGCTCCTGACACAGCGGATAGCAATCTTACACCACAGCGGCCCTCGCCGCTGCAGGGAAGAGCAGATGGTCGCAGTGCGCACGGACTGTCTGCACGACAACAATCAGCAGCTATTAGCCCGCACGGGCCCAGTAAAAGTTTGACTTATGATATCACCATCAGACAACAGTCCTTTCACGTTCAAATCCCGCAATTTGCAGAGACCTCTCTTGTTGACACATCTTGACAACAGTAATATAATCGCCCGCACCACTATCACCTGACATCCACAGGCATACCAATCACGCCACGCATACATCATGAGGATCTTTCAGGTGGGCTCTTTGCTCAGGGCATGATCACGAGCTAATAGGAGTGATCGTAGTGCGCTGTCATGGGCTCGGGAGTGAGTAAAGCATGATATGAAAGCCATAGAAGGGCCACGCTGAATGTATCCACAGGGAGTAGGAAAGAGCGCTTGTGAGCACCAGAATCACGGGCAAGGTCGATATCGCTGATCCAGTCGCTTTAGGTACAGTCCGGTTCATCAATGGCTCGTATCTAGAGTGGTATGACCCTACCAGTGAGTACTCTGTGATACCGTACAGCGACGAAAGACGCTCATCAATGACCATGATCAGTCGAAGACTCGTGTACGCGGTCTCCCGAGATTTTCCCTCCGAGTGCCAGCTGAAGGGACCGCAGACAGAAAGCAATTTACAGTCGACAACCAGCCTTGCCTGCTAGAGATCCTGGATACAGGTAAGTGTTCCCACCCTTTTCGGTGCCCAAGACTCATTCAGGATGGTGTATAGCCGGTATCGACCAATACTTGACGCTCAATGATCTTTTCATCCGTGAATCAGAAGGTTTCGTCCTCGTCTTTTCGTGAGCTGCCCAAGTCCTTGGCCCAGAGCTTCCCACTGACAGAGGGTAGAATAACCCAACGCGATACATTCGAAGAAGTCATACGTACTCGAGAAACTATATCCCGCATCAAATCACCTTCAGAAACGGGAACCAAAGTATCCATGGTCATTGTCGGAAGTGAGTGGTCTACAGCTGGATCGGTCAAGACGCCACTAACCATCCTTGGTAGATAAATGCGATCTGGAGGACGAGCGACAAGTGTCAACAGCAGAGGGAGAGAAACTGGCAGAATCATGGGGCTGTAAATACTTTGAAGCTTCTGCAGTGGGTTCCATCCATCCCGAGTTGTCATATAGCTGACAGAAGTCCATAGCGTACTTCTAGCAACATCTCTCCAGCATTCGAAGAGATAGTCCGAGTCATGAGGCGTAATACAAGACCAAAGCAACGCGAGTTGAGAGGGAAAAGAGGAGGAAAGAAGTGTGTCATACTCTGATGTGTATTGACTTTGCAGGCCAGAGGCTGTAATCGATGACGACGTATAATGCATATAACATTTTCTATTTTGTGATGGAAAAGACTACTACACCCTTTCAATTACACCATGATGCCAAGATGACGACAATTCACAAAGAGAACAAACGACCTTTTGCGTCTATTTCTTCTTCTCCTTCAACGCGCGCTGCTCGCTCTTGGCGAGCCTCATCGAGATGAATTTCAACACCTCGTCAATCACGATGACAGGGAAAGAGATCACAATGACTGCAATCCATTCCTCCTTGTTGAGCGGGGTGATCTTGAACATGTCATTGAAGAAGGGCACGTAGAGGATCATAAAGTGCAAAGCCATGGAAAGCACGATACTTCCCACCAGGTAGGGGTTGGCCCAGATGGGGAGCACAAAGAGGGACTCGTTCTCGGAAAGAGAGTTGCAAGCGTTGAACATTTCAATGACGACGAGGATGGAGAGCGAGACGGTGGTGGCACGCTGGGCGGGGAGGCCGTTGAACATGGAGCAGTCGAGTTGGGAGAAGATGGAGGAGCACTGGTGGAAGTGGGTCTACAGCGGATTAGCATCAAATATCGAACGTGACGAGAAAGACTCACAAGCTCGTGGAAGGAGATCTGGGGACCGCCAGTGTAGAACATGAACCACCAAGCATAACCAAACACAGTGGCGCACCCGACATAGATACCGATAACCATGTACCTGAAGAACAACCAGCCACCGACCAAAGGCTCTCGGCCAGACCTGGGAGGAGTCTTCATGATCTGGTGATCAGGAGGGTTGAATCCAAGAGCAGTGGCGGGAAGACCATCGGTAATGAGGTTGACCCAGAGAAGCTGGACAGGGATCAAAGCCTCGGGCATACCGAGAAGGACAGTCAAGAAGATGGAGACGACCTCGCCAATGTTGGAGGAAATGAGGTATCGGATGAACTGCTTGGTGTTGTTGTAGATCGCTCGGCCTTCCTCGACGGCCTTCTCGATGGTAGCAAAATTGTCATTGGCAAGCACCATGTCGGCAGCGAGCTTGGCAACGTCGGTACCAGTACCCATGGCGATACCAATGTCGGCCTTCTTCAAGGCAGGAGCATCGTTGACACCGTCACCAGTCATGGCAACCACGAGACCAAGACCCTGGAGGAGGTCGACCAGCTGAGACTTGTGGGTGGGCTCGGTACGGGAGAAGAGGCTAGCACGCTGGACAGCGGCAACCTTCTCCTCGTGGCTCAAAGCATCAAGCTCCCTTCCAGTGTAACTCTTGCCAGTGAGGTCCTCGTCAATGCCAAACACGCCGATTTCTCGGCAGATGGTCTCGGCAGTATTCTTGTTGTCACCAGTGATAACGATAGTCCTGATACCAGCAGTCTTGCACTTGGCGATAGCGCCGCGCACCTCGGGCCTGGGAGGGTCAAGCATACCAACAAGTCCGACAAAAGTCATGTCCTGCTCAAACTTGATGTAGTCGTCGGCGCTGTTGGACTTGTAGTGCGAGACGTCATTGTCAGACTCTTCGACGTAGGCCAAGGCGAGGGTTCGGAGACCCTTGTAGCCGTAGTCGAGCTGCTTCTGGGCGAGCTCCTGCTTAAGCTCGGGGGTGAGGGCCTGAACACCAGTGGGGAGCAGAATCTTGGAGCATCGCTCAATGACAGACTCGGGAGCACCTTTGACCAAGAGAGAAGTACCAGTGGGAGAAGAAGCAAGGACAGACATGGACTTTCGGTCTCGGGTAAACTCGAAAGTGAGAAGACGCTTGAGGCTGGACTCGTAGTAGTCGTTGACGGCGGAAGCTCTGGCAAGGGGGTCGAGAGTGGCGAGGGAGAGGTTGAAGGCATCGTTGTCGGAGCCGAGCTTCTCGACGAGGACCTTGAGGGCGGCCTCGGTAGGCTCGCCGACGTTGCTGTAAGACTGGCTTTCCTGCAGAAGAATCAGTATAGCTCTTAATGTCATAGAGTGCGCTTACATGGTGATAGGTGACCTTGGCATCGTTGCAGATGGCACAGACCTCGGCGAGCTTCCTCACGTTGGCGCTGACCAAGACATCCTTGCTGATGGTGCTACCGTTGGCGCCAGTGACGACACCGTGGGGGGCAAAGGTAGTGCCATCGACCACGTACTCGGTCAAGCCAGCTTCGCCAGAAACGACAAAGCGCGAGACACTCATTTGGTTGGTGGTGAGGGTACCAGTCTTGTCCGAGCAGATAACGTTGGTGCAACCAAGAGTCTCGACACTGGGCAAGTTTCGCACGATGGCACCACGCTTGGCCATCTTCTTGGTACCTAAAGCGAGACAAGCGGTGATGACTGCAGCGAGACCTTCAGGGATGGCAGCGACGGCCAAAGCGACAGCGATCTTGAGATAATAGATGGCGCCCTTCAACCAACCGTGGTGGCTGGGGTCATTAAAGTGACGGATGTTGACGAGCCAGACAAGGATACAGATGACAGAGATGACCTTGGCGAGCTGGTCTCCAAAGTCGTCAAGCTTCCTCTTCAAGGGAGTCTTTTCTTCCTCTTCATCATCCTTGGAGATACTGGAGTGGATAGCGCCGATGGCGGTCTTGCTTCCGGTAAGAACAACGATGGCCTTGGCAGCGCCGTTGACCACGGTAGTACCAGAGAAGAGAATGTTGAGCATGTCTTGCTTGACAGCCGCCGCGTCCTTGATGGTGCCGTCGATCTTGCCAACAGACATGGACTCGCCAGTGAGCATGGCTTGGTCGACTCGGAAAGAGGAGGAAGAGAAGGACAAGATTCGGCAGTCGGCAGGAACGCGGTCACCGACGTGGACAGAGACGATATCACCGGGGACAAGCTGGGAGGCAGGAACACGAGCGGGGTGGCCGTCACGGAGGACAAGGGCTTCGTCAGGGGAGTATTCTTTCAGGGCCTGGAACGCCATCAGCCGCACGTTTGCGTAAGATCGAGGCATACTCACATCGATGGCTTTTTCAGCGTTTGTTTCCTGGACAACTCCGACTGTCGCGTTCGCTATCAGAATGAGGAGAATGACGGCCGGTTCCACAAAGGCAGTCAACCATGACCCTCCCGGTTCCGCGGCGTCCTCAAAGAGCGCCAAGATGAAAGACACGATAGCAGAACCCAGCAAGATCAAAACAAGCTGATCTTGGAATTGTGCGAGGATGAGCTTGAAAAGACTCGTGGGGGCTGATTCCGGAAGGACTACGATCGCGCGGTCAGCATGACGGCAAGAAGCAAGATGTGATTGCAGCTCACCATTCTCTCCGTACGCCTCTCTATTTCTCTTGACCTGTTCTTCGGTCAGACCGGTCTCTGGGTTTGTGCCGTAGTGCGCGAGAGCGTCCTCGGGCGTGAAAGTCCACGCGTTGGCGAGCATGGTAATGACGATGTTCGGCCTATCTGGGCTCCGGTACTGTGTCTGTCGAGGTAACGATCCGTCTATACAGTCTGTGGACAGGCGATGACTCGAGCCTGCGAGTGTTTCCGAGCGAGAGGGAGAGAAAAGACTGCTGTGAGAGATGGACGTTCTGGGAGTGGGCGATACAGAATCACTGCAGCCTCCACGTCGCGCACAGAACTCGGTGGACGACCGTGGAAATGTATGGACAAAGCCGTCGGTTATCGCCGCCTATCAGCGTTGAGACTTGAGAGCCCACCGGCCGCCGAGTCGCGATCGGAGGTGGCCGCAGTGGCTATGACGACCGGGAGGGTCGGGAAGTCAAAAGCGGGCTCACTCTTTCTGAACTGCATCTCCACAATCTGCCATGCCCCCTCCAGCCCTCTCCCCAGTCACAGGCAACCCCGTACCCCCTTACTACATCCACTCAAACACCCTTCACTTCCAGGACACCCACGGCCGATCTCTCTTGCTGCGCGGCGTCAACCTCTCTGGCTCCGTCAAGCACCCCAATGGCCAGCCCAGCCACCAGCTTGAAGGCTTCTGGGAGACCGCCGAGGCGGGAGAGGGAGACTTTATCAATAGGCCGCTCAACCTAGATGATGGCAGCGCAGAGGTCCATCTCGCGAGGCTCAGAGCATGGGGCTACAACATGCTGCGCTACGTCTTTACGTGGGAGAGTCTTGAACACGAGGGACCCAAAAAGTACGACTATGCGTACATGGACTACATTATTGCCGTCTTGCGCAGATGCCAAGAGTGGGGGTTTAGGGTGTTTATGGACCCTCATCAGGATGTCGTACGTGCGCCTATGACCTCCGAGATGCGTGCTGACTTGGCTAGTGGTCGCGATTCAATGGTGGATCGGGAGCTCCTTTATGGACGGTATACGCTTGTGGAATTGACCCACGCAATCAGACGGTTACCGCTGCCGCTTATCTGCATAGTGAATGGCCGAGCCCCGAGGCGCCCAAACCTGGAGAGTTCCCCGCCATGATCTGGGGCACCAACTATACCCATATGGCAAACCAGACTATTTGGACACTGTTCTTTGCGGGCAAGACGTTTGCGCCCAAGTGCATTATTGACGGGAAGAATATCCAGGATTATCTGCAAGACCATTACATTGATGCTGTAGGCGAGCTTGCCAAGCGCATCGCCGATAACGCCCCCGAGCTGTACGACCGATGCATCATCGGGTGGGATACTATGAACGAGCCTGGAGATGGCCTCATTGCCTATGAAAACCTCGCAGTCATTCCCTCGGACCAGCAGCTCAAAAAGGGTCCCACACCGACTCCAATCGAGGGAATGCAGCTGGGTATGGGTCAGGCTCTTGACGTGCAGACTTGGAACTTTGGCCCGATCGGACCCTACAGGGGTAAGAAGGAGCGGATAGACCCCAAGGGAAAGAAGCTGTGGCTCAGCAAGGAAGATGAAAAGACGAGGGGTGGCGGAAAGTGGGGGTGGACCAGAGGTGAAGAGTGGGAGATGGGCACTTGTAGTAAGTCAAGATGACTCGTCCTCGGATCCCGGCTGACATTGTCTAGTCTGGGCACAGCACGGCGTCTGGGACCCAGCGACAAACACCCTCCTCCGACCCGACTACTTTAAAACTCTCCCCTCCGATCCTTCCCACCATGTCGATTTCGTAGCCGACTTTTGGTCCCTCCACTGGCTCGCCTACTCTTCTCGCGTACGGATCCACCACCCGGAGGCGATCCACTTTATCCAAGCGCCCGTCATGAAGCAGCCCCCAAAGCTGCCTGCCTCTTTCCTCGGAGGCCGGGCATGCTCGTCGCCGCATTTCTATGATGGGTTGACGCTCATGACGAAACACTGGAATTGGTTCAATGCCGATGCTATCGGGGTCATCAGGAAAAAGTATTGGTCCATTGTCCAAGCTGTGCGAGTGGGCGAGGCAAACATCAGAAAGATGATGCAGGGCGAGCTGTCGGTCTTGAGGGAAGATACTGTGGAGGTGCTGGGCAAGTATCCTACTCTGATCGGTGAGATTGGCATCCCGTATGACATGGTGAGTCGGTCACGTATGGATATGGTGGACCCCGGGGCTGACATGGGGAACAGGATGACAAGCAGGCGTACGGATATGTGAATGGTGGTCGAGGCGAAGGCGACTTTTCCAGCCAGCAAAAGGCCATGGACTGTTCTATGAACGCTTGCGATGGTCCCAACAACTTTAATTACACCATTTGGAACTATGTCCCAGACAATGTGCACGAGTGGGGCGATAACTGGTACGTTACCATCCTCCTTGGGTGGACTGGCGCTGATTATGGTACAGGAACGGAGAAGACCTCTCGCTTTGGAGCCCAGATAATGTAGAGAAGCGAGGCTATCAGGACTCGCCTCGTCCTGGGACACCCCTTCCCACTCAAGGGTCTTCTGACTTTACAGCTTCCTCAGCTACATTAGCCGTCTCTTCGAGCGACAACAACAAATCACTCGCTTCTCGAGTCAACCTCCAGACCGGCGACATTCCGCCTTCTCTCATCCTGAGTGGTGCCAGAGCCTCTGCCGCTTTCTGCAGGCCTTTCCCTGTAGCATCTGTCGGTACGCCAGAGAAGATCGACTTTGACATTGCCTCGACCAGATTCACATACTCTGTCCGAGTCCGGGCAGACGATCTGGCCAATGACCAAATCTACACGGAGCTCTACATCCCCTTTATCCATTACGCTGCCAATCTGGACAGCGTCGGTAAGGGTGTAAACAACGTGCAGACGTCGAGCTTGGACAGTAGTAACGCGAGCACGCTCACTTCTCGCAACACCTCCAAAGCCAACCTTATCGAAGACGAGCGTGCGGTAAAGAACCTCGATCCCTCGTCCATCTCTGACCGGTCTGCATCACCTGCGACTGCCCCCTTGGCGCTCCAGATCAACATCAAGGTCTCTCACGGCCGGACAGAGATCGAAGGCCAGACGCTTAAATGGTTCTACCCCGTTCCCGAGAGCGGGGAGGCAGTGTATACCATCGAGGTAGAGAGGAAGGGGGGCGCGCTGAGAAAGGATGAGGGATATGTGCAGGAGGGAAGCTGGTTTGATGTATGTCCTGGTGAATGTGTTGTAGCATAAGGTCGATAGGGTAGGGATAGGTACTGATTGTTGCTTTTGCCAGGTAATGCGTGAGATCTCGCGGATCAAGGATAGCTTGGTATGATTGTCTTGTAGATTGATATCGTTTAGTTTATTTTGTATGCGATTTTGACATGGTTGTATGATCATCGGGAGGGAGGTGGTATGCATGGAACATTACGAGTAAATCATGCCGATGCAGGAGAGAAGGGTGACATGCACAGACTATGAAAAGATGGTAGCCTCGAAGATGCGAAAGAGTCGAGAATGCGTGTGTACAGATGGTAGGTCATAAATAGGAGATGAGATCGTTTTCTCGTTACACATATCAGAGTGGCACATTACATGAGCAAGCCAGCACCGAGGGCGACAGCGCCCAAAGCCAAGCCGGCAAGGTTCCCGGGCACAATACCCTGGAGAGCACCAGAACTGGAGCTGGAGCTGCTGCTGGCAGAAGCGCTCGCGCTCGAAGAGCCGGAAGCAGCAGATCCAGTGGCAGAGCTGGAAGCAGACTCGCTACCACTGCCGCTAGCAGAAGCGGAAGAAGAAGAAGAGTTGCTGCTGCTCGAGACGGTACCGCCAGTACCAGAGAGCGTATAGTCGAGCTTGGACCAAGACGCACTGGAAGAGACGGTGTAGTCGCTGTTGATGGGGTTGGAGAGGTAGTAGATCTCGCCGGCAGCGTTGATCTGCACGATGGCGCCGGGGGAGGCAGCGTACGAGGCAGTCTCGTCCTGGGAGGTAGGAGCAGCAAGGGTCTGGGTAGAGTTGATCAAGTCGGTGGAGAAGGGGACGTCATCCATGGACGAGTAGTCGCCGAGGTTGGTCCAGTGCGTGGCAATGTAGGTGTTGGAGAAATCGTTGGGGATGAACACCATGGAGTAAGGGACATCGTTGGAGGAGCTAGGGACGGAGATGGCCTGACCAGCAGTATCGGGGAACGCGGTACCGTTGAACGCCTGGGCGTCCGGCTGGAAGTACGCATAGTGGACGACGAAGACGTTGGCTGAGCCAGCAGCCGTGTCGGGAACGCCAAAGTAGAAGATGTGGTTGGCAGCGGCGGCAGCCGTGACGGTATAACCGTCGACGCTGAAGCTAGAGTTCTCGACGGCTTCCCATGCGACGGCATCGCTGGAGGCGGAGGTGGTGACGCTGCTCAGATCGAGCTGGTAGAGGCCGGACCCGGTGGTCAAGGTGTAGATGACGCTGGTGTCGTGGTCATACACGGAGGACGACCTGGAGTTGCCAATGTCTGACGGGGCGCTCGATGTGGTTTGTGTCGACCACGAGTCGCCAGAAAAGTCGTAAATATAAACAGACTGAAATAGCATAGCATTAGCACTGATCAGGGACGCCACTAAAAGCTTGAGCCACTTACGCTCAAATCACTGCTGTCGGCGCCGAGCACGACCATGGCATTGTTGGTCTGCGAGAGGATACACTGGGTGTTGTTGCCCGTCCATGGCCTGGTCGAAACGTCAGCTTGTGTCTGGAACAAAGGTGGGTCGTGACTTACGGTCGACCAGAGGTAGTCAAGGTGGTCGTGCTAGGGGCTACGCGGTTTAGTGTCAGCACATGATCCATCGCGCCGTCTGTGGGGCATATGGGGCTACCACACATCTACTCACAGCTCCAGGTGGTGTTGTCTCCGATTTTGACGTCCGAGTCTCCGCCAAAGGCGTACAGATTCCAGGACGCGTCGAACTGGACACAGGGGACTGCGTTGGCTGCGGCGGCCGAGAGAAGGGATGCGATTGCGAGGGATGCGAGCATGTTTGTTTTATGAATGAATGTAGTAGTTGGAGTATAAGGCGGGTACTAGAGACAAGCAAGGAAGAAGAAAGGATCAATTGGTAACTCGTTACGGTAACTGCTGCCGCGTCTACAGCAGGAACAGGCTCGAAGTCACAACCGGGCGGGACCAAATCCCACGCGAGGCGGTAAACGCCGACCGGGCGGTGTGGCGCATCTCCCTTCAGCGTGTTGTTGATCCCTCGATTACGCTTACAGACACCACCAGCCATGGCCGACCCCACCTCCATTGCCCAGCAGTTCACCCGTACGTCCCCCCTCATCCCACCAGCCCCGCTCACCCCCCGCAGAGTTCTACTACCAGCAGTTCGACTCGGACCGCAATGGCCTTGCCTCCCTCTACGTATGGCGTCACAACGTGCTTCCGGGACCGCTTGCTAACCACGCCGCTGCAGAGGGACAACTCTATGATGACCTGGGAGTCTACCCAGATCCAGGGTGTCGCTGCTATTGTCGAGAAGCTTGTCGTAAGCAGCTCACTCGATATCGGCACGCATATACCAGATGGCTAATCAATTCATCTTCTCTGCGTGCATCGTCTGTCTTGTCCTACTCTCAATTTTGCCACTCATAGGGTCTTCCCTTTGCCAAGGTCCAGCACAAGGTCGTCACCATCGACGCCCAGCCCTCCTCCCTCTCCGTCGCTTCCCTCATCGTCCTCGTCACCGGTCAATTGCTTGTCGATGATGGACAGAATGCTCTCCAGTTCACCCAGGTCTTCCACGTGAGTCTTTGTGAGAGTAACAGCGGCTTTGAACAGGACGAAGTCCAAGTTTGGAGGGTGGCGAAACCGGCATTGCGGGCAGGCGATCCAGTGCTGACAGGTGTATAGTTGCAACCCGAGGGTGGAAGCTACTACGTCTTCAACGACGTCTTCCGACTGTAAGCCATCCCCCAATGAACGTATTCGATCCGGCACTAATGTGAATACAGCAACTACGGATAAACGACTTTAACGACGAGCTACGAGGAGAAAGCCGGTGGATGAGGAGACCCGATATCTTGCTCAGATCAGGCTAATGCACATAATAATGATACATAATCCAACCTTTCCCGCTTGCTCTTGTACTGAATCGTAAAAGCGCAAACGTCTAAATTACAAGCCTTCCAACACCGTGAAAGTCTCTATTCCTGTCCTTCTCAAACCGCAAAAGCACCTATTCCTGCTGGTCCTTCCAGTTCACAGCCCACTGCGCTATCCTCCCCACATTCTCATCCACCTCCCCATCCGACTGGCCCTCGCTTTTCAGCTCGACGACAATCTCTTCAGCATAAGACTCGCGCGTCTCGTTGATGCAGGTCATCATGATTTCGGCAGTGACGTTTTCGGTAACCTTCTTCTCGGGGTAGTTTCTAGATTGGCGATTAGCTTGGAACGGACGGGGGCAGAGTGGGAGGAAGATGATACCTTGAAGTCAGTCGGTCATGCAGAATGGAATTGTCGCATGTGAGGACGACGGCCAAGTCCACCCATCTTTCAGGGAACAGAGACGGGTCGTGGTGGTCAATGACGAAACCTGATACGCCTGTCACCCTCTATCCCGATCATGTTTCACAAGGCGAACACATACCAGTCTGCGCAGGCCCATCTCTCGGGTTAATAACCTCCTCCATCCAATCCAACAACCTCTCTTCATCCACCACCCAGCAATTCCACTCTTCATCCCACCCCTCATGGAACCCGTGCTCCTTGACGATATCGCCGATGTTCAAGTGCTTCATCGGCGTACCGTCTTCTGTCAGTTCGTTGACGACGAGCTGGGAGTGGAGGGTTTTGCCGGTACCGGGGGTGCCGGTGATGAGGATCACGGGCAGGGTGCGGGGGTGGTGGGTAGTCATTCTTGTTGGTCCTTTGGGAATTGATTTTCGGGACGGTTTGGGACGGGTATAGAGGATGGTACGTTTCCGGGATGGTATTCGACAAGCCCGGCGTTTTGGAATACAGTGGATGCTGCTGGGACAAGAAAGAGCTCATGCGTCACGGCCGCCTTGAACTTTTTTCGATGTGCGGCGACCTCCACCTCTTCATTTCCCACGGCAGAACCAAACAACCTCAAGTAGGAAAAGAATAGTTGCATGTGAATAGGATGCAAGAGAACGAGCAGTTTCCAGAACTCCCATAAAGGTATTAAAGCTGTATTAAACAAGCCAAGTATAAACGTCACAAATTTTGTCGTGTCATGGTGTGATGGAGAATCGTATCGTTCTCCTCTCGTAAATCCCCCTTCCAAAATCAATCCCACCTCGTTACCTAAGCCCCCAGTGCTCGCTATACGTCCCCGCCTGTTTACTATTCTTCACAAAGTCGTCGCTCCTCTTGAGCATCACCGGCAGATTCTCATCATCCGCATAATTCTGCTTTGCCACCTGGATCCACTCCTTCAACGTCTGCGGCAACCCCTGCTTGCCATCCGGCATACCCAAAAAGGCCCTTCTCAGCGCATTGAGCGTGGTGAGGGTGACGCATTCGTGGAAGAGGACGTTGAAAAGACGGTGGAATTTGCGGCCGGTGCGGACGAGCTCGGCGAGGTCGTTTCGGTCGAGTTCGCGGTAGGCTTCGATGAGGGCGAGTTCGCGCACGCCGAGAGCGTTGACGCCTTCCGAGTACTTGTCGTCGGGGAAGCAGAAGGGGGCGGCAAAGGCGGCGCCTTTGCTCGTGAGAGTTGCCCTGATATATGATTAGGACATGTCGCAATCGGCCATGTAGACCCACTTACCACTTCCAATCGATGACTCCAGTGATAGACCCCTCCGAAGTGACCCTCACGAAATTGGTATCATCATCGTTATGCCGGATATACCACGGTCCCACGTCCAGCTCTGGACAACAATTTTGCACCAGATGGCGCACCTCCAGCAACACCAAATAGTGCAGCAGCTCCCGACTCGGCTTGTATCGCGCGCGATTCAAAGTCTGCTCCAGGCGGACATCGATAATGGCGAGGTAGCCCTCTTTGGCAGTATTGAACGGACCGAGAAAGTAGGGCGCGACGTCGATGGTCGTTCGGCGTTCGATGAAAGGACCGACAGTGACGTCGCCGTTCTCTGTCAGGGTAAGAGAACCCATCTTGTCGAAATGGACCTTTTCGATGCTAATCATCCATTTGGCGAAATTGCGGATGAATGTCTTGGTTTGCTGGGTGTAGACTTCGGTCCAGAGGGTGTACATTGTACAGTCGCCGACGGGGACAAACTCTTGGTAAAAGTAGGTCAGATTGCGAGATACTACTGTCCACCATCAGTTTTTTTGCCACAGCATTGACAAAGGTGACTGACGGAGGCTGTCTTTTGGTCTTTCCCATGTACGTGGCACCGCACACCCTGCACTCTCTAGCGCCCTCGCTGTAGCAATCTCACTGTCTATGCTCGCCTCCAGCGCCAAGTCGGGCAGGTATTTCCTCTGTTTCAGGCGTATCCGCATAGCCCATCGCTGGCCGTCTGCAAACCCGAGGACAATGCTATGGTTGTACTGTCCGCACAGACGAGCGAGTTCGTGCCATATCTGTGGTTTACCGACATAGTTGCAGATATGCCCCGGCCAGATCGACTCGACTTCTGCTTTGATGGCGTGCATATCGAGGTATCGCAGGATTTCAGAAGCCTACGTCGCCGCCTGTCAGCGTTTTCCCATCCGACCTCTCTTGGCGTGTCACAAAAGCTTACCTCGGGCTCCTTTTCAAACTCGAAACCGTCCCTGTTCATCTCGGGGTGGGGCGCAGTGACACACGGATGACTCGTCTCGTTCTCAAAGTGGGCCCAGCAAAAGTTGAGCTTGCAGAATCGGCAGCGAGAGTTGACTCTGATGGCGTTGTCGGTACAGCCGGCCTCGTCGCATTTGGGGACGACCGACATGCCGATGATGTAGTTTGTGGGTGTAATGCTCATACGGTTGTTGGAGGAGTGTTGGTATCTACCGGTCGAGATAGAAGAGAGTTGTAAGTGTTTGGGAGGGTTATCTATATTCGTCCTTTGACTGCCTCGTTACGGATAGTCGCAAGCACACAGCTGCTAGGGCGGTTGCCGGTGTGTGCCGCTCGGTGCTGACGTAAGGGCGGAGGGGTATGGCTGTGGGTTGTCGAGGGGTCTCGCTGGGAACGCTCTGTTGTTGGATTTAAGAGTTGGATTTGTGCCAGCTGCAACCCAAAACCAGGCGCAAAACAGGAACATCGCGTCTCGGCTCAGGGGCGATTAGTCGCAAAAAAGACTCTTTGTCCGAGTGCCCCTTACGTCACACCCTGCACACGTGGCTGCACGTGGCATCTCTGCCTCTTACTGCAGTACTTCTTGAGGGGCTCAGGCTCAGCGCGAGTCCAGCTGGGGGTGCACGAAGAGATGGGGGGCATCTTGGTGGGAAAATAGTTTGGTAGCACTCGGAGGCCCCCCCGTGGGGTTCGGGCCACTGCCGCTCCGCTGCCGACGGCCTTCAGTCAACGGTCCTCGACGGCTTCCTGTGGCACTCGCGATGGGGCCAGCGAGATGGATCACATCGCCCATCCGCTTCCTCAAACACTTTCACATGAGAATACTCTTTCCCCAAAGACTCCGTAGAGGCAGAAATGCAGAGAACGGAATTCGGATTTGTTCGGGGGTCGGGTGAAACATCCCGGCCATACTCGAGTAACCGGGTCGCTCACCTTTACGTACGTACCAGTCATCTACTTAAAGCATCACCTTGCCATGGACACGTTGCTCATCCACCTCATCATCAAGACACCATGCCCCAGCCACCTTTCGAGATTCAGAAATACCTGTCTAAAGCCCTCCCGACGTTGAGGGAGCAGTATCCTCCAGGGACGGGAGGGACTGGTCCTCGCGCAGAGTGGGATGGACCTCTAAAGGGAATCGAGGTGATTGACGAATTTAACCAGAAAGTCTTGGACTGTGAGTGTTGTCGTGATGCACGTGTATCGAGCTGATGACGAGGAAGACTGGAAGACCATCCCCCAAGAGCCTGTCCAGCCTCATCCCAACTTCAAATACCCCAAGATTGCTCAGGTCATCAGTAGCTTCCCAGACCGTCTAAAGTCGCCTAGAGATCTTCAGAGCAGTAAGTCAGTCTAGTCCTTTGGGGGATAGTACTCACCCCAAAGGTAGCCCTTGCCGCTCTTCCACTCGCTGCCAACTCGGCCATCCTCACTGCCCTCGATGCCGACCCGGAAGACTTGAAGGCGGGTGCCAAAGCCCTCGATGCCGCCGGCTATGAAAGCGATGGCGGTGAAGAGCCCGAGGTGCTTCCGCAGAAGGATGTCAAGACGAAGGGATGGGTCTACAAGTTTAACAAGTCGCCCTTGGGTAAGCCTTGCTCCATCTCTCGAATGGCTGATGCTGATGCAATGATCCAGGCTCAGGAGAGTTCCTTCTAACGAGGGAAGGCTCCGATAAAGTCTACCTCGTGGTCCGAACCATCAACTCGTCCGCCTTTACTCCCCACGACTGGGACGAATACATTGCCACCGGCCCATACCACTACGAAACCAAATCCAAAGCCTCCTGGTACTGGTCCCGCTCCTACGGCGCCACCAAGCGTCTCGGCTGTCAGTACTATGTCTTGACGGACTGGCAGCGCTGGACGTTTGGGTATTTCAACAAGGATGGGACGCGGGGGTGGACGAGTCCGGTACTGCATTATAATGAGCAGGATCCTACTATCGGACATGCGCTGTTCTACTGGGCGAGGTCGGCGATCGGCAAGGAGAATGGGTTTGCGAATCCCAAGGAGAAGGATCTCTCGGGCGCACCGGAGCTGTTCCCTGCCAACCCCTCGAGAAGGATCTCGCAATCTGGGGACAGGAGGCCCAAGCCTCCTGCTGGTTCCAGGACCGTCAAAAAGGCCAATGAAAGTGATGTAGGTCTTGAAAGTCTAGGCAAAGGGGTCAAGCTGACGCGCTACGCAGATTGAAGAGAGTGATGCCGAGGGCGATGCTTGAAGCATAAAAGATGTATGAAGAAGACATGTGAAAAAAGACCGAGTATTGTATCGTTTGCAATTTATGAATATCTGGCATCCCAAGAATAGTCCATCACAATTTGTAGCTCATCCAACAGCACGTTGACTCCTCAAACTCCTCCCTACCCTATCCAATGCTCTCTCCACCCACACTTCTTCCGCCTCTCCGTTTTGACCCACCAAACCCGCTACAAGCCCTCCGACGAGTGTATCACCAGCCCCAGTAGTGCTGACGATCTCTTCAGGCTTGATCGTGGGAGGCGAATAGACAGTCAACGCGAGGTAGGAGCCTTCATGCTGCTGCCCCAGCTTGTGCACTATGCTGTCGGCTGACGAAGACGGGGGCGTCGAGGTGAGGCGCAAGTGCAAAAGTCCTCGATGCCCGGCCTTGACCCAAAAGTTCTGCACATACGGCAAACACGCCACCATCTTCTGCACCACTCCTTCTTGTCGGATCCACTCTCGCCCCTTCTTGTTGGTGAATGTCTCCGCCTTGGACCGCCAGGTAGCGTCGAGGTTGAGAGAGTTTATGTATTCCCAAGAGACGGCGGAAGTGTCTTCTGAAGCTGTTTCGGCGAGTAGGGAATGGAGGAGGTCGAGTTCGAGGACGTTGGGTGATAGGTGCGTGAGGGGGCGATGGGAGGCGGGGGAAGAGGGAAGCAGGCTGAGCAAAGCAGGTATGAGACGGGGAAGTTTTGGTGTAGACGTTGGGTCGCAGAAAGCTGAAGGTGTGGTCAGATTGAGATCCCATTGACAGACAGGTACACCCACTGGGAATGTGCAGACTTTGAGAAGTCTTCAAGATAGACTTGATAGATCCCTCCAGAGGATTTAGGTCGAACACTACCATCTTCGGTTTCTCCTCCTGGATCTTTTTCTCCACCTGACACATATCTTAGCGTTCTCCTTGAGTGATTCCAGAAGACTCACCACATCTTCAGTCAAAGACTCTACGATACCCATATCTGCGACACCAGCTACCAGATCTCCAGCTTTCTCCAACGTGAGACTACACACCGCTGTACTCTTTCCCTCCCTCCCCACCAGCCCATCTGCCCTCATCCCCGAGGACGCCAGTTCCAGCATCAAAATCTTGCCAAAGGGATCTGGCTCTACCGCCTCGGCAGAGGACGGGAGAGAGCCGAATGCAGAGACGAGCTGTACAGAGTGGGGCGGAGAGAGGTTTTGAGCTGCTTCAGCAATATTTCGGCCTACGCCTCCGGGGGAGAGGAACACTGTTCCGGGGGTAGTCGTGCCCGGAGCCAGAGCATGGGGCGAAGTCGACGTGAGGTCAATAGCGGCAGAACCGAATACTAGGGTCGTAGGCCGGGGCAAGGATGCGGGCGGAGCAGGGGTGGGGAGGACGGTCTTGGGTGGTTTGGATGGGGAAGAGGGAGTGGATGAGAGAGAGGAAGGAACGTAGAGGGCAGAGGATGCATCGACCTGACTCTTGGCAAGTTCTGCGACCTTGACTGCGACTTGACTTCCGATTCTGGCATTGTTCTCAATCAATTTGACATCTGCGTCTTATTAGCTCCGACCCATCGACTTGAAGGGAGAGACGTACTGAGACCGAGAGCAGTACCCTGAGTCAATTCTCCAACGCGCTTGAGAAGCCAAGGAGTGACCTCCTTGCCTCGCTTATCTATGCCTTGCTCGATGCTTTCACGAACAGCTTGCTCGACAGCGGTCTGCACAGCAGAGCCAGCCTCGGCATGTTCGTCCGGGATGGGGACGGCGAGGAGGGTGCTCAATGGTGTAGGGAGGGTGAGCGAATGGTCTACAGATCGTATGAGCTAAGGTATTACTTCACGATCGCATGGACCTACGGATAAGATCAGCAGCCGAGCTGACGTCGGGGACAGACCAAGGGCTCTGGATAGAGGTCAGCAACGGGGGTTTGGATCACGTCCGTGACTCACTTGGCAGCCAGAGCTGGGGTGGTAGAATGCTGGGAATTCCTTTCCTCCAAATGTCGCAACACACACACCTTGCGTTTCAAGCACCTCCAAAGTCCTTGGGATATCAAGGATTGACTTTGCCCCAGCACATACCACTGCCATAGGGGTCCTGCCAAGCTCGAGCAGATCCGCTGAGATGTCCATACTGTTCTCTGAGCCGCGGTGCGCTCCTCCAATACCACCGGTGACAAAGACCTTGATGCCGAGGCTGCTGGCAATATACATGGTACCAGCCACAGTGGTTCCTCCGGTCTTCTTGAGAGCGAGGGCAGGGGCGAGATCACGTCGAGAGACTTTGACAGCGCCCTTGCCTTTCTCAGACTCGATATCGGCAATCTGCTCAAGCTGTTTTGCAGTAAGACCGACGTGAATGACGCCGTCAATGATAGCGACTGTAGCAGGGACAGCCGAGTGGGAGCGGATGATAGACTCGAGAGACTGAGCGGTCGAGAGATTGACAGGCGGGGGCATGCCATGGGTGATGATTGTCGACTCGAGGGCGATCACTGGGTCGAGAGAGTGAAGCGCACTTTCAACCTCTTCTGAGATCACAAGCCTGTTCCCCTGCGGGTATGTACACTTAGCTCGCGGTGATTTGACATATGAGCGAAACTTACCCAGAGCTGTTTAGCCGCCGAAAGGCCGACTAGAGACCGCTGTTGAGGCCAAAGTCGAGGGACTGTCCTGGAAACATGACGACGAAGAGGTGAAAGAAGCATCGCTCCACTTCTTGATGGCTTCAGAAAGCGCCAGAGTCGAGGAAGCTAGTGGGAAGCCAACAAGGAAAAATCAAGACAAGATAAAGATCTCGGACATGGGCTGAGCTCGGCGGCCGGAAAAGCGGGGAGTGCCGCTCAGCTGGAAATTTGGTCCATCTTGTGCACCACACCTCCTACTTGATCTCAACAATTGATAGCAGCGAGTCCGCCATGTCCGCCATCGAAGAGAACCCAGTCGTCGACACGCAGGGAAAGAAGCGAAAGAGGACCGGCAAAGAGAGGGAGGAGAGGAAGAAGGCTGCCATCCTGGTACGTGTCAAGTAATGTAATTCGCGCGTTCATCTGCTGATGAGTACGCAGGCCCAACAGCAGGCTGAAGAATTGCAGATGGAGGCCCGGGAAGATGATCCCAAGGAGGAGCAGAAGTCCGAGGAAGCGATTCAGCCTGAGACTGTCGCGGAGACTGCTCGGCCCACTGTCGACCTTGACCAGCTCAGCAAGCGAGTCGTGAGTGCTACCGCCATACAACTGCCTACAACGCGCTAAATAATGTATAGCCCCAAGCACTGAAATCACTCCACCCTGCCTTCAAGCAGGCTAAGACTTTTGAAACCCGTCGATTGATCAAAAAGATCAAATTTCTTCGGTATGCACGACCTTCGAGCCAGAGGTACAAGCAAGCTCACATAATTCACCAGCTCGAAAGAATCCAAAGACAACAAAGAAGAAATCGAGAACCTCGAATCTCAGCTCGCCTTGATACATGGCATTTCCCTCCATTCCCTCGCTCAAACTCATCTCCTGTCCAAACTTCGCAAACACCCCCGCCTCAAACAAACACCCCTCCCTTCTTCCATCACTTCCCAATTCACCCTTCTTCAATCATCGAACGAGGCGGCTGGTTCGACGAGCAATGCGGCAGTCTTGACCGGGAAAGCGGAGAACAGGCTTACCAGTGCAAAGGGTGTGGCGGAGAAGGTGAAGAGTGTTTTGGCTTGGGTCACAGGCGAGGAGGGAGCAAAGCTTGTTGCGGACAAGAAGGGTGTTGCCAAGAGCAAGCCTGTCAAGAAGAACGCCCAAGCTGCCAGTGACTCTGAGGACGACCAAGGGATGTTTGACGAGGGCTTGTCGAGGCAGATTGCCAATGGCTCTGACGAAGAGTCGGACTCTGATGACGAGCTCGCCCAGCAGCACCGGGCGGCTGATGCTGCCGGCTGGGAGTCTGGTTCCGTCCCTGGCGGGGAAGATTCTGACGCCGACTCAGACGACTCTGATGCCATCCCCGTCCGCCCAGCTAAACGCACCAAGGCTTCTTCCCCTCCCGCTAAAGCTCCCAAAGCTCCCAAACCCGCCAAGAAAGAGAAACCTTCCAAGGCGGATCTTGCTTCGTCCGTGTTCCTTCCGTCCCTCGCTGTTGGGTTTACCAGAGGCGATGATGGAGATTCTGATCCTGATCTTGATGATGATCCCAATGGCGTTGCAGGGAGAGAGCAGCCAGTGAGGAAGAACAGGCGTGGACAGAGGGCAAGACAAGCGTGAGTCTTTCATCTACATTTGAGTGAATCTTTCTGACAATCGACGCAGTATCTGGGAAAAGAAGTACGGCAAGGGCGCCAAGCATGTCGTAAGGCAGCGTGAGGAAGAGAAAATCGAGGAAGAGAAGGCTAGGAAGAGAGCTGCGGACAGGGCAAGGCCCAGAGATAGTGGATGGGGCAACAAGGGAGGCGCTTCGGGTTCCGCTGCTCCTGCCCCAGTTTCTGCTGCTCCTCGCGCTGCACCCTCAGCCGCAGCCCCTCAAGCGCAAGCCGGGGGACAGAATTTGCATCCTTCTTGGGAAGCGGCCAAGCTCAGAAAGCAAAAGATGGAGGCTGTCGCAGCTGCCAAACCATCGCAAAAGATCGTCTTCGATTAGCTTGTGCAGTGGTACCGTGCTACATGTATACTGTGATGTTAAGGATGCGGCATTTTGTATAATGCATGGAACTCTATGATGCCCAAAGATTCAAATATGACAACAGGTGGAATGATCTAATAGCTACTTTCTTCTCTCTCTTTACCAACTAACCTCTTAGAGGAGGTTGGAGGGGTAGTGGTACGCCTCGGGAGCAACAAAGTTCTCCTTGATAGACCTCATAGAAACGAATCGGCTAAAGATAGCCATGGAACCAGACTTGTCGTTGGTACCAGAAGCTCGGGCACCACCGAAAGGCTGCTGGCCGACGACGGCACCGGTACACTTGTCGTTGATGTAGAAGTTACCGGCAAGGTTTCGGAGGGCGTGGGCGGAAGAGGCAAGGACGGATCGCTCCTTGGCGAAGACGGAACCGGTGAGGGCGTACTCAGTGGTGGAACCAATGAGCTCGGGCATCTTCTCAAAGTCGGCATCCTCGTAAACGTAGACCTGGTAGTGGGGTCAGTGGCTGCATAAGCATACAGTAATGGAGCGACTCACGGTGACGACGGGACCGAAGATCTCCTGGACCATGGTGACGGACTTGGGGTCCTTGGTGACGATGACAGTGGGCCTGATGAAGTAACCCTTGGAGTTGTCCCCTGCACTGAATCAGCGAATGCCAATCAAGATTGACCCAAAATACTCACAAGAGCCACCAGCAATGACCTCACCACCCTCCTTCTTGGCCTGCTCGATGAGACCGGTGATCTTCTCGAAAGCGGGCTTGCCGATGACGGGACCGGTAAAGTTGTCCCACTCGGTGCAGGGGCCAATCTTGATGTTGTTGGTCTCGGTGATCAACTCATCCTTGAAACCGTTGTTCCAAAGAGAAGCAGGAACGTAGACTCGAGAAAGAGCAGAGCACTTCTGGCCAGAGTACTCGAAACCGGCCCTGATAGCCTGCACGACACCAGACTTGATGTCGGCGGTGGGGTGGTAGAGGTGGAAGTTCTTACCACCAGTCTCACCGACAATTCGGGGGTAGCCACCGTAGAGGTCAAGGTTCTGGGCAATGTCCTTCCAGAGCTTTCGGAAGATCTGGGTGGAACCGGTGAAGTGGAGACCACCAAAGGCCTTGTGGTCGATACACTGCTTGACGACCTCAGGGGGGTTTCCGGGGACGAACTGGATGACGGAAGGAGGGAGACCGGCCTCAAGGAAGATCTTGTGGACGATGTAGTTGGAATAGGTAGCCATGGGGGAAGGCTTCCAGACACAGACGTTGCCGACAATGACGGGAGCACCGACAAGGTTACCACCGATGGCAGTGAAGTTGAAGGGGGTAACGGCAAGAACGAAACCCTCGAGAGGTCGGTACTCGACTCGGCTAATACACCGTCAGTTACTGATTCGTGACATGTTGGGCGATGACTCACTTCCAGACACCGGCAGAGTTCCTGGGGGGCTGCTGCTGGTAGAGCTCCTCAACGTACTTGACGGCGAACCTCAAGAAATCACAGAGCTCAGCGGCGGCGTCGATCTCAGCCTGCCAGGCGTTCTTACCCTGACCAAGCATGGTAGCAGCCATAAGCTCGTACCTGTACTTGCCAGAGATCAAGTCGGCAGCCTTGAGGAAGACGGCGGCCTTGTCGGCCCAGGGGATCTCCTCCCAAGACTGCTTGGCGGCGAGAGAGCCCTCGATGGCCTTCTGGACGAGCTCGGGGGTAGCAGAGTGGTAGGTACAGAGAGGGTTGGCGTGGTCGTGGGGCATGGGCTGGGATCCAATGTCACCAGTCTTGTACTACAGTGGGTGATAAGCGAGCTCCACAAAAGATTTTAACTTTTTACTTACCTCCTCGCCGTTGATGACAATGGGGACCTCGAAAGGGGCCTGCTTGAGCATCTTGTCGACAGCGGCCTGGAGGCCAGCCCTGTCGGCAGAGTTGGCAGGGTAGTCCCTCTGGGGCACGTTCGATCAGCTGGCTGTTTGTCGTTGTTGGAGCCAAGGCAACTCACCATGGGCTCATTGTGGATCTCGGGGACCTTGAAGGAAGCGAGTTGAGAAGACATCTTGTGTTGATTTTCTGAGATGAAAGGAGAAAGAAAAAAGAGATAAGAATTGGATCGGCTCTTATACAGCGGGCGGCGACAGAAGAACACGGCAGAGCCGACGAACTTTTTGGACGCGCCCTGAAACCGTCGGCATTCCCTGCGCGATACGGAAAAGCGGCGTAATCAGCCACCAGGGGTTACTTGTCATGCATCATGGGGCACGCTGCTCTATTGCAAAGTCCAATACATCACTTGATCCTCCTATCAGATGCACAAAGCATATCCTTATCAAAATCGACAGCCGCAATCCTTATCTACAGTTCTACACCGGCTCGGCGCTGATCGCCACATCGGCCCAAATTTTCAACGTCCACCCGCCTTTGCTCCTCTGCTCGTATGTAGAAGGTACAAACAAGTATATGCCCGCTTCCAGCTTGATCTTGCCCGTGGATACCCCACAAAGGGCATCGGCATATGGTCCGGTAGTCGCTACCTGCTCGCCCAAGGCACCTCCTTCGGCGCGTTTGAAGATTGTGAGGTTGATCGGGAGGGGGACAAGAGTGGGAAGGTGGAGGCGTGACCTTGTGATGATCAGCCTTTGGGCCACGACGATTTTGTCGCCACTCACAATACGATACCGGCTTTAGGGAGTATCACTTCAACCTTGGGATTCTTTGCGTAGCCTCCCGTGCTCGGCCTTCCGCCAGCAGTCCCGTCCGACCTACGCCCGATCAGTACTCCACCCAAACACAAGATTGAAACACTAACCACTGTCCGATGACCGTTCGACTGTACATGCCGGCACCTTCAGCAGGTATAGTTGACAACGCAACAGCTGCTGTCGCTTCGAACGTAAAGCTAAAGTTGCCCGTCTGGCCCGGCTCGAATGCAGATATGATCAAGGTATGCGAGCCTGGGGGAAGCTCGGGTACGTCGCAATACGCAACACCATGTGCGTAAGCCCCCGTATCCGCCAGAACCATATCTTGCGACAATCTACAACCCGTCAGCTCATGCTCGCGACGCCTATAGAAGCTTACTCGAACACCCGCTCTTCCTTGCCCCATACCAGCCTCGCATTTAAAGTCGAATCCTTATCGCCTCTGACAATAATCCTTCCCGACGCCTTTTCTCTCCCACGGGTAGGCTGCACCACGACCCTGTATTGGGGATTGATCATATGCGTCGGCCACCCGGGGTGTCCTCCCGCATTCCGACTATCGAGTGACCCAGTGATAGTCTCGCTGAAAGGCATCGTGCGCGAGAGCCGTGTCAGCTCGAGGGAGACTCCTTCTGGGGCGAACGCTCTAAGGGTGAAGCCTGTTTGATATACGCCGCGGTCCCGAGAAGGGACCACAATCAGACTAGAGGAAGGTCGCCGCAGCTGATACCGCACCAGAACATGGTTACCGTTGACGTATGGATTCTGTCAATGTCAGTCAAGTCCTTAGAGTGTCATGACTCACAGTCTGCTCCAGCCTCTCCGAGTGCACAGCTCCCGCCCGCCGCTTCTGACCGGCCCCAAACTCTTCAAACACATGCAGTGCTATATCGTCCAAAGGTCTGTCTCTGCTCACAATGTGCTGAGAAAGCAGCACCCAGACCTCGGGCATACCAGTAGATGAGGAACATTGTGCTTGAAGTCGGTATTGAGGATTGGTGGTTTCAATGTCTATCTCAAAGCTGGAGGTTTGTGGTTTCGCCCAAGACCTGTCCCGATGTCAGTCGTGGTCGCAACGCGAGTCTAGATACGCACCAGTGTCTTGTCGCGATGGAAGGTAGCAGAACGGGTTTCCAATTGAGATGCAGACTTTCAAAGTCGACGCAGACCGCATCCCAAGATAGAGAGAATGAGGTCGCTCCGGGGTCTATGATGTCCAGCAGTCGCTGGTCTCCTTCTTCTCTGAGACCTGCGCAAGAGTCAGCTCGCCCACAGTTTCTTGGATGATAAAAACTCACGGACAACACCATAAGCGTGATGCTTGACCAGACCCTCCCTGACCGATTGTCCAGTCCCCAAACTGACCATGACATTGCCCCTCTCCCAAGCGTCTTTCACTCTTGACCACTCTTTCTCCCTCTGGAACCCGCCCTTGAAGACCGCCCTCTCCGGTATCCACCCGGTAAACTCATATATATCAGAGCTTGGGTTACTTCCCTGTAGGGAGTAGCCACCGTGCACTTTAAAGTAGCCTTTGAGGGCGAGGGGCGTCCACGGGGTGCCTACAGCCGTCGAAGATGAAAGAACATTCAGGTGACATGTGGTGAAAAGAGGTGTCCCGTCGCGTAGAGAATGAGGAAGGAGAGAGTCAAAGACGACCTGAGCATAGTGAGCTTGGACACTTCACGTATACCTTCAAGGCTTACACTTCGCCAAGCGCCGTTCAGCAATAATTTCAGGACATATTTGCCGTTCTCCGAGTGTCGTGGACGGCCGTCAGCTCCTTGTGGATAGAGATTGTTCCATCCAAACTGTAGACTTGCCTCAGTGTCGTTTTATGCTGAAGATAGTGTAGACTCACTGTGGTCTCGAACAATCTATCGTGCTCGACACCCACACCCATAGCTGCCACCACCGAACAATCAGCCACAGGCCCCTGTCTCAAGACCCAGATTCCATCGCTGACTTGATGCTCCCAGCAGTCTTCAGCAATCTCTCTCCACTCTGGATCGAGATCCAGTTGAGCTGCCGCAAGCTCTGGCTGTGTCGCCTCTCGATAGAGGTTGCCGGTATCAAAAGTCGGACTCGGCGTCGACCAGAGGGGGAGGTCTATGCCATTCATCCTGCCTCCCCTGCGGATGACGACACCTTCCTCACCCTCGTCCCCCACTTGAGCCTTGGCAACATGCCCGCCAAGCTGTTCGATTCGTCCCTTGACTTTCTCTGCTCTGTCGAGGACCAGCCTCCACTTCTTCTTTACTCCCTCAACGTCGCCTGGAGGCACGAGTTTGGAGGATAGGAGGTTGCTGTATGATTCTGCGGCGGCTATGTAGGCGGGGAATGCTCGCTGGAGTGTCGGTATAGGTGAGGTAAGGGGAGAGAGAGAGGACAGCGATGCCTCTATTTGAATTGCCTTGGTGGCTGCGTCCTACGGCGATGAGCGATGGAGAACATGCTTGGGGCACGTACTGATGCGAGCTTGATTCCGTCGTGGTATCCCCTGAAGGCCATTGCAGTTGTCGAGCGATGCAACATAAAAGACAGCACGAAGAACGAACGCGTGCATCTACTCCCGGCCGCCGAGCGTGGAGGCCCAAGTGATGACGATGAGCGGGTGCATTTGTTGTTCCCAAGCGTGCTATATAAAACAACGTCCACATCGCCACTTGCATCAACAGTATCCACCATGCCCTCCTGCAGGATCACAAACTGTACCTCCCACCCACTCAACATCAGCCTCAAACAGGTCACCGCGCTCCACTTTGAGAATGGCGTCCAGCCAGGCCAGACGATCAAATTCAAGGCAAGCCCAAATACATAGCCAGAGACGGGCGAGCATCTGACAGTAGCTTTCAGCCTGGGAAAGTGTGGTTCACTGTGGAGGTATGCGCTTCTAAAAGCAGAGTGAAGATTTCATGTTGACCATCATAAAGGCTGTGTTGGACGATGGAACCAAGAAAAGCAGATATTCTGTGCTCAAATCTGCTGCAACGATCGCCATCATCTCAATCGCTGTCGGGGCTGTGGCGGCTACAGCAGGGGCTGCTCTGCTACCAGAAGTCGCAGCTCTAGAGACCGTGGGTAACACAAGCGCAGTATGAACCGTGCTGACGAGGGGTTTAGGTGGCTGCAGCAGGTGCTGTCGGGAGCTACATCGCAAAAGGGGTGACGGCCACGAAGACTGCTCTAGTAGCCAATTCTGGTACAGTGTCGAAGATATGTGAGCCTCACCATCGTCAAAAATAGTCGTATCGATCTGACTACCATCAGCTTCGAGTGCGCTGCCGAAGGCCATCGATAAGCTGTCTGGAGAAGTCGGCGGACTGACAGCATTGCAACGAGAAGGTGAATCAAGTTGGGCTCATTACAGTGGGCGATTCTGATCACCATTCTGCAGTTATGTCTATCGTTGCATCCCCCACTCTCTCTTCGGATGTCCGCCACAAATCCACTGCTCTTCTCCGAAGATTGCACAAATCCTACTCTGACGACAGGGACAAGAGTGCTGCTGGCTCTTCCGAGAGCGGGGACCCTGCTAAACCCTCAGCTACCCTGGCACCCATCACAGACGAGGAAGCAAAGCAGCTAGAAAAGGAGGTCGAGGAGGGTAAGCTTGACGATAAGGTTGAGAACACACCTGTGAGGACGGGTGAAGTGCTGAGGGCGCATGGAATCTACATGAAGGAGAGGAGGCACTTTGAGATCAGGGTGGCGGAGCAGGGCAAGTTGTCGCTGTATGACGTGGCTGAGAAAAAGTACATCACATGAGGTGCTGCGACAATGTCGGTTCTGTATTTGGCAGTTGCTGCTTTGTAGCCTACACATAGAAACACGTTCCCATGTATGTTCTGTAGCGAGATCCTTCGACCATGCGGCCACTTTGCCCAAACTTTGCCACTGCAACTCGGCGCTATATTTGATCCCGCTGCTCGGTGCCCGGGTCCACCCTTTTGCAATTGCGTCTTCATGTTCTGTTTCTTTGACGACGGCAGCGAAAACCCGGAAGAGCACTGGCACATCGGTAGAGGTCACCGCAAAGTGTAGCCAAAAGTGCAGGTGAGTCCTTCTCACTATCTCCCTTATAGCGCTCAGACTTATTCCGCCTTAAGGGTCTGCCAACGAACCCAGGAGTCGTCCCGTGGGCCCTACCACGTATAAAAATTGGCGACGGCGACGATGGCAAGGGCAAGGGTTACGGAGAGCCACATGTCCAGGAAAGAGACATTGTAATGCGCTAGTACAATGCAAGGTGAGTTGTCCATCATCGAGTTTCTTGAAGGATCTGACACTTGCTAGGCCATCGCGATACGTCGACCGGTCCGTGCAGGCAACACGTTAAAAAGCGGCCTATGGTGCACGGTAGCATCAAGAGACCCGACGGCGGTAGTCGGAGTGTGGAGACAACCACTGTATAAAAAATCAGAGTGTGGAGACAACCACTGTGTAAAAAATCAGAGTGTGGAGACAACCACTGTATAAAAAACCTTGCGAGACTGTTGAAGCGGGGTACTTAGAGCGCTTGGTCACGCTGCTATACCGTCAGTCCTAGCCTGGCTACTCTTGATGATCAAGAAGGCTGACCTTTGTCTAGAAACCTTCCAGTCGGACCCGTGCAGCCGACACGTCAAAGATAAATGGCCTTGACCCAACGAATATGGTGTACGGAAGTACTGTAAGGATCAAACTCTGCTCGTGGACTGTGCTCGACTGACGCGTATATAAGGAACCTCGGTTGGAGTGTGGAGACAACCACTGCGTTAAAAAAATCAGGACTTCAGATAATACCATGTATATCTGAACGAGAGCACCCGAGTGGGATGCTGCGATGTGTGTGTCAAATGACCACCATCAGAATCGTCTGAAATAGGGCGTTTCTCCCGAAATCTTAGGCTGTGGGCGACCAAAAGGCTTCTCCACAGTGTATGAAATCGTTCGACTCATAGTCTGGCCTTCATTGGTCACTACTATGATGCGTTAGCCGGCGTTACTCACGGCTTTTGCTGGCATCAGTTCTCCTCTTGTCAACTCGTTTTCCGGTTTGAGGCGTTTGGTGTATCGCCAACTCTTTGACTTCGACATCACCGGCGCTCCTTCGTCTAAAGCAGCGGCGTCTCGGCGTCATTGCGCAGTGCTGGTGTACATCCCCCATCGCAAATGAGCTTCTCTCCCAGCAACCAGAGTTCTACTCGCGCGTCTTTGGTTTTCTGATCTTTGCAAATCACTTCTGCCAGGTGAGAGCATCTTTTGTTGCCAGTGTGATCTCGCGCTGATTCTCAAAAACAGCTCGCGACTGACAGTCGATCTGTGGAGATTGCGATGTGAACGTTGACGTTGGACCTACATACGCAGGCAGAACTCTAAGCAGCTGGCATATGCATCTCGCTTGTTGCCTTGGAATTTATCCCTCTAAACGCTTCAATACAGATCTTGGTCATGATATCAGGCGCAACGGACAATCAATGAGCCAGCCACTCACGGTCTAATTATCGGCAATCACAATCAGAGTTCAGAGAACGTCACTCCCTTCCCACGCTTTGCGCCGCGTATCCAGGTTCCCGCGATTCCCACATATATAAACTCGCTCCCGGCTCCTTCCTTTTCCTTTCTTCTCTGCCGCTGGGGTTTCAAGTCAAGATCAGAAGGACGTAAGTGGTTTGCTTCGTTTCATCAAAGGGAGGATGCTGATACATCCAGCAGGCTCCTGACAAGATCTTGTTCCACCGTGCCGGTGGACTCGGCACCACCTTATCTTTGCCGCCGTTTCATCATGAACGGGATGTCGCAACCATCTTCTGTTGCCCCCAGTCGTCTCACAACGGCTGATCCACGGGACATTCAGTTGTTCTGTCTACTGCCCAGGTCGGCCCTCAGGTAGTAGTTTCCACGTGCTGGACGAGAGTTCAGTGCGCTCCGCAAGTTCATAGAGCTGTAAGTGGCCTCTCTATCCTATCCACTCTGTCGCTAAATCTAACTCTCGTTTCAGTGCGCCCGGACTCTCGAGAGAGAGCCAGGTTCCCGATGCTTGGTTAGCCCCCTTGCATCCACAGTCGTCTCGCGACGGCTTTACAACAGAGTACTTGGTTGCTTTGTTCACTGTCTAATTTAGGCAGCACCCTCGTTGACGTTCAACGCGGGCACGTAAGCGGGAGCTGTAAACGATTCTTCTCTCGTCGTCGGTCGCTTGATCTGACTCTGGTTTTAGTACGATGCGACTCTCGAAATGAGAGTCAGATTTCCTCGGGAGGGGAAGGTATACTGATTGTCAGTAGGCCAACGAACGCCTGACGAATGCCGCTCAGGCGTTTGTGTGAGTCATCATTTTGTACCACACATATATCCTCGAGTTGACTCTTTTTCACAGGTACTCATGGTGTCCATGGGAGAAGGGCACGAATTCCGTGTCCCATCTAGCGCTCAATGAGCGTCACCAGCGAAACGCTGGTCATCGACAGACCTGGCCAGTCCCTCGGTTTTGATAGTCCCACTTGTCTGCCTGGTTTTCGGGAATCCCGGTGCTACCAGCCTTGTGGTGACTTTTCAGTCTCGCCGACTTTATCGGCTGCGCCTCCCTTTTCACTGGTGATCTATCTGCTTGTGGATATGTTCTCGAACGGACACAACACGTGCGGTATCGCAGTTCGCTCTTTATCTGGGGCGTTACCCGAGATCTTGCACGTTGAAAGTGTAAAGAGACAATCTGCAAGTGGATATTTGAAGTGGTGTTACGTCTACGATAGTCATTCTTGTTGTCCATCTCAGTCATCGATCTCTTCCGGCCGATGCTTTTGATCAACAAGCAGGAGCTGCGAGAGAAATATCTGATAGATGTTGATTAGTGAAGAGGGCTGATCACCCTTTCCGATCTTATGCATCGAGATTGACTGTCACTTGTATCGTCCGCATAGCATCGCATGGGCAAAGTAACACCCGACACAGACCGTCATATACATCCCGTTATGAAACATTGGCAGATCGTCTAGAATTCATCGTAACGGAGACCCTTCTTCATCCTACGCAGATCGTTAGTACATGTCGCATAGAGAAGGGAGCTTGAAAGACATACTTGTACTCTGCGGAATGTCAGCGATATGTAACAAAGCCAGACGAAGAAGAACTCACTGTAAGGAACACCGGATCTCAGCCGCTCCTCCGGGGTCCTGGGCCTACCACCCCCATACCCCGGCTGTCCCTGCGCCACCTCCTTCAGCCCTTCAAGATCTCCCACCTTTCCGCCATCCAAGATCCTCTGCGGCGCCGCGTCAGGGTCCACCCTCTTGGGAACGACAGGCTTGGGCGCAGGAGGATCCACTTCATCCCCCGGCTTGAGGTTTTCTTCGCCCTCGGCGAGGGGGGGAATGTCGTCGGCGGGAGGACCTTCCCCGGGGGCGTGGGCGTGGTGGTCTAGAGGGTCGGCAGCGACGTGGTCTTTCTCCAGGTTGGCGTCGTTGCTTAGGCCTTCGAATTTGCGTTCACGGGAATCTTCTTCGTCTTCAATCTCGGCGTGGTCTGGGAAAATGGGATCAGTACACAAGCGGAGCAAGGGGTAAGGTGACATACGTCTGAAATGCTGGATATCTGCGAGACTGTCAGTTCGCGTCGGGATGAGTGAAGGTGGACGGACCTTCGGGGTGAGAGTAGGACTCATCAGTCTGGGTTTCAGGGGTGGAGTGATACAGCTAGGAAGGGTGTCAGCTCATCGTCGGGCATTTCGAGGCGGACGGACCTCTTCGTGATGCAAAAAGCTAGACGTGCATGGTCAGCGCTTGGCATCGTGAATGAGAATGGGACACTCACTATTCAGATTCCTCATCGTAGTGGTCTGTATTATCGCGTTAGTTGAGTCATACACGTCTCGGATGATACCCACGGCCAAGGTCCTTGTACCCATCGAATGACGGTAGTCCGCCTGTACCGCCCAGCATGAATTCCAGGAGCGATATCTTGCCTATGAAACGATTTCAGTACTGGCCCATACGCTGAACAAGACACTGACCATCTTCATCCTTGTCGAGCGCTTCGAGCACTCTTCTGACAATGTTCTTTGCCCGCTCATCGACCATCTCGACCTTGCCGATCTTTTCTTTTATGGAATGATGGCGCAGGCCATAGACTGCTTGTATCTCGGGCACATCCCAGAAGCCGTCCATATCGAGATCATGGAGTTTGAAGAATGACTCGAGGTCGAATGAATCGATGTGGTGCTCGGTGTGCATCTACGAGCGGTCAGTGATGGCGGTCGTGCAGGGGGAGGGAGCGTACATGTCGCTCGGCATAGGAGAGGGCGTGGTCTGCGTCGTCTGCGAGGTCGAAGGAGTGGTCGCCGTGGGCGAGGGCGGTGGTGGCGAGGAGAAGGGGGAATAGCAGCTTGAGCATGGCGGAGATGGAGAAATGGACAAAAGAATACTTCTTCGCGTCAGTCGTTGACTGTCGCGCTCGAGTCCCGCGCGTCATACGTAAGGCACCCCGCAAATGTCGAACGAGACTGAAATGTTGGCCACAACAACATCTATATCATTACAGGAGCATGCGGCTCGACAACCTCGACGACGGCAGCAAGTGAGTGCAGGCTATACAGGACACAGCTCACCCCGCAGGCTCCACGCGGCGTACCATGACGCCCTCCAGACCTCCTACGGCTACTTCAAGGCGCTGCACAACTCTGCCGGCTCGGCATCGTGGAAGCCTGTCTCACTACCAGAATCTGTGGCGAACGCAGGCAGACCCAGCTCCTCCGCCAAAGGTCTTGGGAAGGCCCAAGCGGAAAATGTGGCCGTCCACAGGAGAACCTCAAAGTACGGCGATGTCTATAGGGCTACGGTAGAAGTAGATTGTGGGAGTGATATCAGTGTGGATACATTCAGAGGATGTCTAGTTACCCCAGAAACAAGAGCAATGTGTGAGTCGGTTCTGGATCCTAGCTGGCTGGCGCTCACGGCAGTGCAGGGGACCGCATGGTGGAAGAGGCGACAACTCTGGATATTCTCGACGCCCACACCAGAGTGACCAAGACCAATTACAGACTGGGATGGCCTTCCAGGTATGTGATGATGCCTTTGCATCTATGAGCTCGCGGCTGACTCTACTAGCCCCCGAGACGCTGTGACCATCTCCAAAACCTTCGTAGATTCGCATACGCTCATCGACATTTCCACCTCCCTGCCCCGCTCCAAACACGAACCGGCCTATCTTCGCCCAGCCCCGCCATACGTCCGAGCTCACGTATCACTACTAGCATGGTGTATACAGCTCCCGTCATCACCTGCCGTTCCTGAGGGACCGGCTGAGGGCCAAATCCGAGTGTCGTGCTTTTGGAATTGGAATCCCAAGGGAACGTGGGCGGTGGGCGGGGGGGTGCCGCAGCACTTGCCTTTTCTTGTGGCTGGATTGATCAATTATGTGCGGGATGGGAGCGACAAGGTGCCCGTGCTGTCGGCGTACGGGCCGGACGTCTCTATCGGCTCTGTATCGTACGACACGTCAAGGGTCACGCTCAACGTGCACTATGCCATTGTCAGCACAGCCTCACAGAATGAGGAGACTGAGAGCCTGAGGCGGCAGGTGGAGTTTGGACTGTCTTCGACACAGAGCTGGGATATCCAAATTAGCGTCAAAACTCAACTCGGAAAGGAGTCTTCCTCGACTATATGGACGTCCTTTGTCAGACAAGCGGCCAACGCTTCTCCAGATGCTTCACCTCCCAAACGACTCGTTCTGCGATTCGCCCACTCCCCTCTGGAACCCGACGAAGAGCTTGTGAGGGTAAACGTGTCGATAGAGCGCACCTCTTCTTTGACGGCTGGAGTCCGGATCAACGGTATTCCCGTCGCTGTAGAGCGCGCAGAGTCGGATTCGCATTTCTCGGAGCGCGTGGAAAAGAAAAAGAGGCCGTTGTTGGAGGATACGGCGAGTCTGACGGGAGTGTCATTGCGGACAATGAATACTACGGCGGAGAAGAAGGGACCCAGGGACGACCAGGAGGGAGCGGTAATGAAGGGGAGATCGAGTTTGATCCGAAGAAATTACATATGTCAGTCGATTCGAGCTTGGTTGAATTATCTGACGTGCCACAGATTTCACTTCCCTCCTGCAAGAACCCGAACCCAAATGGAAACCCGTGCTAGACTCGCGTGGAGTCGCTATACATCAGCTGGACTCTATTGACAAGACACTGGTCGTCTATCGAGCAGAGGCTGTGTTTGTGGGTGTCGGTATATGGGATTTGTTTGCTGTTCTTGCTACACCTGGGGCGAGGTCGGTGTGGGACAAGACACATGAAGATGCGACTTTGGTGGAGGATGTCAACGAGTTGACGGATTTATGGCATTTGCAATCAAAAGCCGCATGGCCTGTCTCGTAAGTCCTGTGAAATCAGATGGAAACAAGCTAATGAGAGTAGGGCGAGAGATTCAGTGATGCTCCGAACGACATACAAATCCCCATCTTCCGTTCATCTCTTTGGGTTTTCAATTGAAGATACCAGTCTCTTCCCTTCCATCCCTCCATCTACCGACCCAACCGTCATCCGTACACAGATAGACCTCCAAGGATGGTCTATCGAATCTCTTTCTCCCAATACCACCCAGGTGACATTGCTCGAGCAGAGTGACCCTAGGGGATGGTCCGGTAAGGGAAGCATACCGCAGGTCATGATGAGCACTTTGGCGGGTGTCGGCGAATTCGCAATCAAACACGGCGGCCCGCCTGTTTGTACGAGACTCGGAGGGGCCAGAACGCTGTTGTCGCGATACGACGTCGAAGCCGAGACATTCAAGTTTGAATACCAGCCCGCGAAAGCCCGGCGTTCAGCTTCATCCAGTATCGCCACGTCCTTTTTCCCCACGCCCCCCTCATCATCTCCGATCTCACTGCCTATGGTTAGGGAGAATAGCAGTGACGATGGTTCCCTGCGTTCGGTGAGCGATGATGGGAGTAGAGGAAAGATTGAGTGTGAGATCAGATGTGATACGGATCAGTGGTCGAATTCGTTTGCGATTGTGATCGATCCGCCCCAGCAAAACATCTCGGCGCTTCGCAGGCACAAGCTGTCGCCCAATGCCGGGGGGCTGTGGCTCACTATCGAGCATGACCCGGTGCTGCTTCACGGCGGTAAAGTCGCCATCACTGTGCGGAGGGGCGTCGCCGTGCAAGGGTCAAAGACGCAGGTGATTGTGAATGGAAGTAAAGTCAAGGTCGATGTTGAGGACCTTCCTGAAGCCAAGGTTCAACTCTTGAAAAAGCAGAAGCGGGGACGTCCTACGCGCGCACCTCTCGATCAGCCGCCCGGCCTGAGGCTAAGGAAGAAACCCAGCACAGATCTAGCCGGCGTATCGACAGCCTTTGCCCCTGCCTCGCCCCTGTTACCTTCACCAACCAGTACATGGGGCAAGATGGCTTCCAAGTGGTACACCCTCGCTGCGGAATCCACTCGCTCTGCCATCATACCTGTGCCAGCGTCTTCACCTCTTCCTCAAGTCGGCACAACACCTGTCGAAGCGTCGGTGAATGCTCTGAAACAGCTGTCGCGTATACACACGGACCGGGATGGAGAGTCGACTGCTCCCGATGCTTGGCAGCCCGTCTCGGAACGGGATGGTCTCAAAATTGAGAAACGTATCGTTTCGCACGTCTCTGAGACTTTCCCCGTCTTTAGAGCTGGGCGGATCATTGAGGGGTTCACGGCCGAGGAGGTCAGTGCGTCAGTGGGTAGTCTGCGGGAAGATGAACGATTCGAGAAGCCGACGGTGCTTGAAGAGTATGGGTGGGGAATCAAGACTTCGCATGTTGTCGCCCACACGACTTTTCCTTTCAGAGGACGAAGTCTGTTGGTTGCCAGTGTCGTGGCCAGGATGGCTGAACCTGCTCCTCCTTCACCTTCCATCCATGGTCCCCAGACACCTCTATCGACGATCTTTCACGCCCGCACTTCCAACTTTGACCCCTTGACGACCAACCTCGACGCGGCCAAGTACAACCCCACCTCGCTACCTTCCGGTAATATGATCCTTGAGGGCTGGATCTTGGAGACTATCGACCCATATTCTCACGAGCAGTATGCCATCCCTTCGACGAGGTGCATGTACCTCGCCAGTGTGGACTACTCGTGCAGTATGCCGCTTTCGGTGAACAATGTGCTCAATCAGTCTCTGCCCAGAAGTCTTCTTGCCATTGAATCAATCTTGAAGAATGAGGGTCCGCCTTCGAGGGGGCGAGAGCCCGGGATGGTCGTGCTCGCCCCAGAGCAGAAAGAGAGGCTGGGAAGCCCTGAAAAGGTTGGATGGGGTTTGGAGAATGTGGATGAAGGCCGCATGGGAGTGCAGGAGACGAATGACGGTGACGAGTACTCTTTGAGCGTCGTTCTTCAGGCCGGACCGCCCCGCTCCTCTGCCTCTCCACGGGAAGGCAGTGGGACTCTTAGTCCGCCTTTGAAGCATACAGACTCGAGGTCGAGCGTGAACAGCCGATCTACAGTCATTGACCTTGGGGAGGAGATCAGAAAAGGCCGGAAAGACCTGATGGTCATGGAGGTCGAGATTGGGAGCAAGGCGGTCAAGAACGGGTGTGAGATTGAACTCAACGCCGTGTCTCTCCCCGTGGCTCTTCACTCCACCTCATCAGCATCCGAGCCGGGGACAGATGGTACCACCACACCCACAGGCCTTTCTGCGACTGCAAGCATCGATGGGCTACCCCTGACGTTACCCAACCAACCGCTGGGCCTCCCTTTCAAAGTTTCGGTCATATCTCTGGCGCCTTCTGTACTGCAAGCCGCTTCTCTTGACCCGTCTCTGCCTCCTCGACATCTACTTCGCGTCACTTTACCAACGTCTGGCTTTGACGCTCCTATCATCAATGACCCCTTGACAGGGCCCGGCACTCCTATGCCACGCCCGAGGTGGTTATTGGACCTCATCAATGATGGCGCCGTTGTGAGCTTGAAGCTCAAGGTGACCAAGTCACGGGAAAGCAAGATTCTTGACGGAGAGGCACCAGAAGGAGTTTCGAACAAACCGGTCTACAGCTACCAGCAAGAGGAAGTCGTTGTGCAAGATGAGAAACGAGCCAAACACTTAGGGTTGAGAGATGGTACGCGACCAAATGTACCTCAGCTTGTCGCTGTCCCCTCTGCTGGTGATCGTGACCCGAATGATAAGAGAATTGTGAGGAGGCTGGATAAGCCTCTGGCGGTCCGGGAAGAGTATACCAAGGAAGGGGTCAAGGTTTTACGCGATAAGATGGAGATCAAAGATAAGGACTCGAGGAGAGAGTGTGATGTCGAGGTCGTCCAGGAAGTAAGTACATTGTAGTTCTGATGTCCAGCCTCTGACGTATCTACTTCAGAATCCCCATTCGCCAGAACCCCAATCGGCACTCGCAGAGCAATCTCGGTATTCTTACAACTTTTGGCGATACCCTCGTCTGCCCAGATTTAGCGCGTCCGCGCCAGGCACTGCCAATGGTTCGCCCACAAAGGTGTTTGCATCTCCTCCACCATCTACCGTTGGCGGGTCTGCGGCTGCGGGAGAGGACAAGGCCAAGGCTGTGGTGTTGAGCTCCAATACCAGTCCAAATGGACCTGTTGCCACTGGGACAGAGATACAGCCCTCTGGGTTGCAAGAACAAGCTAACGACGCTTTGCGCCCAGTGACCACCTTGCCAGGTTTGGTCATTGCGTGCATCCTCTGTTTCCTCTTGGGCTCTCTACTTCGCTCGCTTCTGAGTGAAGCGGACTTTGTCATCTATCAGCCGGCAACGACTTTAAGCGAGATGCTGCCTGGTACTCAAGGCGTCGGGGAGCAGTGGAGAGAGCTCAAGAGGTTGGCCGAATGGAAGATAGGGTGGGACAGAGATTTGGTGATTGCCATCGCAAGAAGGGGTTGATCAAGTTCTTATAATATACGTTTCGTCGCATCTTTATCTGTGAAAACTTCTATGTCTGTACAAATATGCATCGGAGTCGTCATGGTCATCAATAATACAGTTTGTTCTACAGCTTCCACTTCAAGGCGCAGGTTGCACAGAAGTGCCTGCGGCAAACTCTTGATACGGCTCCATGACGATCTCCTGCGCCAACTTTGATTTTGGCGTCTTGCCCTTCTTCTTTGGTCCGCCCTTCTTCGAAGCAGGCGTGCTCATAGCACCGATATCCTCGCTCCCCGTATCGCTCTCGTCATCTCCCGGCCCGGGGCTGCCACTCCCTTTATCGAAAGATCTGGAAGGGGTAAGAGCTGGGCGCTCGTCTGTACCAGGGGTAGCCGCTGTTGTGGATGGCTGAGGCGTGGTAGCAGCGGTGCTCTTGGCCTTGACAGGGCGGGCGGGAGTATGGGATTCTCTCTCTTTCTCCAACACTAGAGCCTTCTCAAGTTCCGATGTAGGCCCTGGAGATTTATGAGCCCTACAATCAAACGTCAAAGAGACAAACATACCCCTAGCCCACGACTTGAACTTCAATACTCCACCGCCAATTCCTACGATGCCTTTCTCCTGCCATCCCCAGTTTCTCACCCTCTCCCTTCGCGGAAATGGCCCACTGTCGCCACCATTGATAGGTGCAAAGAAGTTTGTGACCTTTGGGAAAGCGCTGAGGTTGATTCTGGGCGGGACGATGGGGTTGGAGTATACGGGGAATCCCAAGGCTGAAGCGTCTGCTGAGACAAAGGATGGAGACAAAGCTCGAGGTGCGATGGGAGGGTGGTAGATTACAGTCTGGGTTGGTAAGTGAGGGGCTGGCAGAGCTATAATTTGATGAGTGAGTTTGATCCTGCCAGACGCGATCTTACTTACCCAAAGGATCAGGTGATGGCTCGCGACTCGCAACAGGGGCAGAGAAGAAGTGGGTCCCTGTTGGAGTACCGTCTTCCATTTTGGCAGCCAAGGCCCTATAGAGGGTGAGTACAAGCACGTCCGACAATGGATTCTGTACCTACTTCTTCAAACCCTTCTTCCATGCGCGTCCCGGACCAGGAGGGGCATCCGGCGCTTTCTTCTTGTGGTGACTTCGCTTCACCGCAGCCTTCTCTGAGGCCTTTTCAACAGTACTATCCAGTAGACCTCCTATGGCCTCATCCGCTGCTGATTCAGTTGCTGGGGAAGTCCCCCGGGAGGATGTGCCTCGTTCTGGTGGGCCCGTATGGGACGCGCCAGCCACTGAAGGCGTGAGCCAGTCATAGCTCTTCTTGCCTGTCAATGACGGACTTGAGGGAGGAGATGCGTGGTTGAGATGAGAGTGTTGCGGCCCGAAAGTGAGCTTGATGCTCTGTTTTCCCTTGCTCCCAAGTTCATCAGCCACTGTGGAAAGCTTCTTCTTCTTTCGAGGCGGTGAGGTCGCTGATTTGTCTCCCTCGTCTTCCGAGGAGGAGTAATTTGCGCGCTCTGCGACGGACGAATGCTTGTGCTTTGACCTCGGAGTTGGGAGGTTGCTACCCCCTTCTTGTTGACCCATATTTGGTCGGATCTGATATGGTATCAACATTGCCAATAGCTGGGCTTGAACTATACTCACGGTCACCTTCAAGCTACCGTCCTCGGTGGAGGCCGTGGGCCCGCTATTGGGAGGCCCACTGGGGGGAATGTCTGTCTCTTGGTCCATTGGTTGAAAAGTCTCTTCTGATTCCGAGTCTGTGTAGTCGTGGGACGCCATAATTAGAAGAGAAAGGAGGATTGTGGAATTATTGTGTTCTGTACACTACTCGTAGGGCCACCCTCGACTTTTGCGTGTCCCGGGGAACAAGCTCCGCCCCGCCAGCGGCGTTCTCCACTCGGGCCGGCAGCGTCCTTCAACCAACTCAACTTGTGATTGAACTTTCTCACGTTTCAGAGCCTATTGGAGAATGACTATGTCCCATGCATGAAGGCCCTATAGGCTTGCCGAGTGGAAGACGCTGTGAGAGCGAGCGAAGCAAGCGATCTACATCATAACCTACCGCCGACCAACGAATGTGTGTCATCCGCATGGTTAGACGACGAAGTCCGCACGTCTATGGTTGTTTGTAACCCCGTCTGGCTCGCAAGATGTCGTGAATTACTTGTATTGATCCAGGTGAGCCCGTGGAGTCTCATGCTACAGGAGGGTCTTACAATTATAAGCCTTACAAGCTTGACCTTGAGATTCAAAAAGAGACCCAAGACACACTGTGCTCACTTCGCAGTCACGCTCGATCTTTCTGAGTACTGAGTACAGACGAACCCTTATGGACCCCTCGGAAGGATGACTTGACGGCCAGAATCGACCCAGTATGGGACCATCCGGGAACGTACATGCCTTATATCGTGTATCAAAAAAACAACAAAATCTTCGTCAGACCCGATGTCAATTATATTTACCAGCCACCTCCGCCTCCCCCAAAGCCTCCGGGTCCCCCAAAGCCCCCGCCACCATGATGCCCCCCTCCGTGATGCCCTCCGCCTCCCATGCCGGGGCCTCCCATCCCCCCTCCCCCAAACATCCCACCCATCCCGCCGCCGCCCCCTCCGAGCAAGCTGCCAAGACCTCCCATGCCGCCCATGCCGCCACCGCCACCCCCTCCCATGAAGGGCGGCGCTCCCATGTTGTGGCCTCCGAAACTATTATGGTGCTAGGAAACGGTCAGGAGACAATGACAATAAGTAAAAAAAAAAGAGTCACTTACGCCTCCTACCACATTAGATATCAACTTCCCCGCGATCAAAGCCGCACCACCTGCAGCCATACCAGAGCCGAATCCGAACTTGTTCTTCCCGCCCGATGACTGCTGTTGCTGCTGCTGGGGGTAGCCCTGGTTGTAGCCTCCATACTGCTGCTGGCCGTATTGTTGTTGACCGTATTGACCATACTGCTGCTGTTGGTTGTAGCCGTATTGCTGATAGATTGTAAACGTCAGCAACATTCTTCTGCACAAGTAATCGCTCCATTCACATTGTTTTGCTTGCCCATGAGACCAGAGACCATTGAGCCGATACCTCGATCACCGGTCTGGGGCGATTGGCCGTCGGCACCCTGGATCTGTCCCTGTCCCTGCTGCTGGTAGCTCCCAGAGCTGGGGTCGGCGACGCTGCCAGAGTTCAAAAACTTGGCAGCTTCTCCGCCGGACTCGCCCTGGCTGCCACCGATATGGGAAGACTCTTGCAGAGCCTGAGCCTGCTCGGGGTGAACCTGACCCTCAGACAGGCTCGGGTGCGTCCAGCTCGTCGTGGGGGGGTTAGTAGTGGGGTTGACGTAGAAGAAGGTCTGGTAATTTGGGTCGAACTGACGGATCCTACAGAAAAGGTCAGTAAAAACCATGAGACTCGAGAGAATACACACCAGGGGGCGGGAAGGTCGCCTTGGTCGCCTTGGGGTGCTGGGGAAGCCATTATGATGTGTGTGATTATGACTTGTTTCCTTGAGGCTGATTGTACAAGTTGAAGAGAAAGGTTTGAATCTGAGAAGTATCCCGTTCATGCCTGCTGCGCACTCTGCTAAGGGTCTAATTACTTCTCTGACGTAACACGATGCTTGCGGCAAGACGGCCGCTACCGGCGGCCGACAAGATGCGCGGACTGCGCCGCCGTCGACACAGCTTGCCACGGCACCAACACGGCACACCATCAATCAAGTCAAGAAAAAAGCAACAGACTGGCCAGCATAAGTCCTGCGATACCGATAGTGAGTCCATGCATGACCTCGTCGCGCCCGACGTATACCCAAGAAGCTGCAGCCACTCTATTATAGTCCTATATACGATCCGGCATCTTTCTTCTCACTCTTCTTCTGATCATAAACTCTGCAATGCCCTACGTGGTCTTGTAAGTACCTATTTAGGTGACCGAGAGGAGAGGACTTACATATACAAACGCGTCAATGAGCCCTACTGAGAGTACCATCCAATTCGATATGATGCTGAGCACAGGGCTGGCTTCTCCTTTCACCATATTGTAGATCAACCTGTAGAGCGATGCCGAAAACACAAACATGTACTGTTGGTAATCGGTCAGGCTGTATATGGACTTAGACATATTAAAGACTTACAGCGATAGGAAAGTACAGCATCAGGAGACTTGCTTGGCGATTGAAGTAACTCGCCGCAGACCTTTGCCCCCCAGCTCCCGAAAACGACCCCGACCGACCCTCGTCCAATCTGGGCGCCTGAGTCTCTGCGAAGAACTCTTCCATCGTTTGTTCTTTCTCCACGATCTCCACCTCCTCCTCCTTGGAGATTTTCCCTTCGCTATCGACACTTTCCTCCACGATGTTGGATTCATAGCGTCCCAGAGATATGATGGGACTGAGAGCGTTCCCCTTGATATTGGGCGGTGCAAGGAATTTGACACTAGATGCACTAGATCTCCGACGACCGCCATTGTACAGCAGCTCGGCAGTGAATGGCTCGCCAGGAGTGACAGCAGTGCTCTGGGATATGTCGGAAGACAGAGATCCCAAACGCGACGAGGAGGGATTCGGGCTGATACCAGCAAAAGGATCTCTCAGATGCGAAGTCGGGGAAGAAAGGATAGAAGCAGGCCGGCTTGGTCCCCCATGTTCATGCGACATGAACGACAGCCCATCGTTGTAGGACATTGAATGAGGCGGTGCCTGTGGAGGCGCATCCATGGTGAGAGGGTTGTAGTTGCCCACTTGGATGAATTCGAGAGCTTCCCAGGGGGCTTCGGGAATTACCTCTTTGACCTGATGGTTTGACTCGAGCCCGAACGAGCTGAGTCTTTTTAATCGAGCTAACGGTCGAAGGACGTGGCTGCCTCTCTTACTGGGGGGAGCTCGTTCGGTCTCGACCCCTAGTCTGGACCCGGTAGCGGATGAGAGTTGGATAGTGTCTGGTCGCCGAAGGAATCTGAATAGTCGGGAGTAGAGGATGATGATGAGGATGAAAACGAGGGCTCTGGGTAGGAATTGGCAGAGATTTCTGTCCAAATCGGGAGAGTGAGATTTTGTGCCGTAGTAACAGAGTGTCCCAGTGTTGACAAAGCCTACTTTGGCATACCAAACTGGCGGCGAGTCAGCTTATATGTGAAATGTGTACGGGGGTCAAAGACGCACCACCGGCGTGCAGTATTGAAAGACTCCATATAGCCGGAGCTATCAGCCAGGAGTAACGTTCTACCATCATGGTAATGCGTGAAAGAGGATGTCGCTTGGACCAAAAAAGGTCAGACAAGCAAAGGGGGCAAGGAGAAGGATGATCCACTCACCAGGAGCAGAAAAGTAGCGATGGCAATGGCCAAAGTCCACAAATGCTGCGTGAAAAGGATTGTCGTAAGGACGAATCCCAATGCGTTCTGCATGATCTCAGCTTGGTTTCATGACAATCGTATATCACTCACACATCCAGCAGTGCCGGTAGCGATTTTCTTGTTCAGTATGAACATGATGTCTGACGGTAGGATTGCCAAACTATAAAGTTCCCGTGTCAGTGGGGCTACTCTTCCTCGGGCAAAGCCACCACTCACCCAATGGCCAGATCACTGATGATCATCCCCATCAACAATCTGACTCTCAGCTTTCCCGTACCTTGCTTCCACAGTAGTGTGAGTAGATACGTTGCTGATACCAGGGTGGTTGCAGAAATCACTGTACCACCCCAGGCATTGATGAGAGTGTATTTCGCCATGTCACAGTTGAGCGGCCCAGATGAGCGCGCTCGTTACTCAGGATTCGAGGATAGATGGAGGAAGGCGGGGTTACGATATTATAATCGGTGCTTGGCGAGGGATGAGCGATGGTGCGGGGGGATCGATGGATGTCGGGCCAAGCGGCAGGTGGCGCGGTGGCTCTCTTTCTCTCCTTCTCTCACGACCTTTTCTTCTCGAGCACTCTTATTCACTGTCGTATGTGTTGTGTTGACGACTGGTATGTGCCAGGCATATTATGTCACACCGGTTTCTTGACTCCCGTCTTCCGTTACAGGTGATGCTTCTGCCTTGTCCAGTGTCTCGGGTTTTCGTCTAAGGCGTGAGGCGGCGAGGATGAAGTACGTGATAAGGCGGGATGAGAGGGGATGGGTTCGACGGACACGTGGGTATTATAGAAGAATGTGAGTAGAAGAGAATTTACAGAACAAGAAATGAATAAACAAAAGAGGAGTATGAATCGCGAAGAAAAGCGCACAGATTAATCTCCCCCGATCGGCTGCTCCTCGGCGACTGCTGTCCGTCGCCAACTGCAAAATAAGCCGTAGCTCGGCCGTCTCCGTCGCTTGTTCACATTTGATGGGTGTGTGCGATCTAGTAGTACCCTTGCATGCCATTGCACATTGATCTCAGACTGCAGCTCATGCATGGACGCCAGTTTGTCTGAGCAAGGTAAATCCCGAAGTGTTTGCCGGGGAGATGCCGGCTTCGTTTCCTCCGCCAGACAAGCGGGTTTACGATGGTTTACGCAAGAAATACATTGCAGCCTCACGGCATGATCGTAAGGCTGAGTCTTGCTCAAAGTCAAAAGCAGGGCTGCGAGCTGCGAGGTACTGACACACCCAAGCAGCGGCATCTCTCTTTGGATTGCCAGCATCAACATGGTGGGGCTCAAAGGAGGTTGTCACACGGCCCTGCAAATCACTGCTTAAATTTGGGCTAATCACCCTGCCTTTGTTTATCAGATTTGACTGCTTATATTTGCTTCCGTCGAAATACTCGATTATGTAAAGCACCGCAAGGAGCGGGCATCCCCGCCCCGCTCAAGAACTCTTTCTCGCTTCCTCTCAGAGCAATCTCAGAGTATTGTCAGCACCTCAGCTATCGCCTATCCGATCATCAACATCCCCCAGTATGCTTACAGCAGTCAACACTCGGGCTTTAATCCGCCCTTCCCTCTCCGCCTGTCTGTCCACCTCCGCCTCTAGCTCGTCAGCCGCCGCACCCCCGACTCGCCCAAGACGGCGGAGTGAACGTAGCGAAGGGTCTTCTGTTGGTGTAAATCTCGTGGCTCCGTACGCGTATTTACATTGTCACGAAATCAAAAGCTGACATGCAAGCTCAGTCCTGACCCAGTCTCCAATATTCGCCCTATAATCTACGCCTCCAAACCTGCAACTCGCCCCTCTGCCAACTCGCCATATTCTGCTTCAGAATTCCCGACAGGAAACTATGGCGATGCGAGACTTGACAACATGGAATTAGAATGGCGTTTACGGAGGGAAAGGGTTGACTTGGCGAACCATAGATTCTGGGTGAGGCTATATGGGTTGCGTGTCACAACCTGCTGACCGTATTCCAGGCGTCAACAAACCAGTCATTTACTGCCCAACAAGAGCATCGCTTATCCCTACTCCCGCCCGCATCCAATCCTCCTTCAGCCGAAGACATTCGCCTCCGCGAAGACTGCCTCACCCAATTCTACGCCGACTGGCAAATAGCCAATCAGGACAGACAAATACGATGGGTGAAGGAATGGTGGAGAGAAATCTGGGAGGGACTAAAGATCCAAGCAAAATTGTATGTGATGAAAGGAGTGAAGAGGGGATGAGGGTGGCATATGGGTCATGATCGTCAGGAATGTACTATATATGTAGGGTATGTAATGCTGGGTATGGGCTATGTCAGGTATTATAAGGAGGGAGGAAGTGCAAGATTCCTTTCCCTGTGGAGTCTCTCCTTCTCGGCCTTTGCACTGGCCTTGGTCTTCTTCTTATCTTCGGCTTTGTCTATCGCGCCACGAGCGGACTTGGCTCCATTCTTCGCAGCACACAGCCAACTCGACACCTGTCCAGCAGTCAAGGAGCTGGCACTAACCTCTCTGCCGTTTATCTGGACCATTTCAGCATTGCTAGATTCGTCTTGCTTCGACAGGCTCAAAAACATCTTGAGGGCTTTTGCGCTGACAGGCTTTTGACGCCATGCAGCGTACCGGGAAAGGCTGTGGCGCGGATAAGCACCCGCACATATGTTGAAGGAGAATGCTCACCCTAGTGATCTTTCTCTCCCCATTATCTTCTCTGCATACTTGTCTCCCACTTGGAACGCCTGTTCCAAATCTATACCGAAGCCTATCTTTCTTGGAGGCAGCCAAGGCGAGTTCTTCTTGCCTGGAACAATGAGTTCTACCGGCATTGGCTGTTTGTATGTGATACAGAAGGGAAACCTTTGATCCGGATCGGGAGTCACTGCCAGCTGTCCAATTCCTAAGTCGAGGGTCAGTCTGATAGAACAAGAGACAAGTGTTGACGCACCGAGTAGCTCGAGGACGTATCTATTCTTGCCACATGGGACCCAGGCATTCTGGGTCACCTTTTGTAGGACCTCTCGAGTATCGGACCCAAGTTTGAATGGATCGTTGATATCCACATACGAGATCTTGAAATCTTTCACCCCTCGCTTTGAACGTTCTTGAGGTCTCTCGACCTTGAAGCCCAGAGGGGCGTCTTCAGTCTTGGTATGACGCTTTTCCCGTTTGTCTTCGACATCAACGTCTTCAGGTGAGAGTCCAAGAAGGTTGGGTGTAACCACCAAACCGTTGGTTTTGCTTACACCGTCTATGACATCAATGATGTAGCAATCCGACTTTCCAGTCTCTGGGGAGAGTCGGAGGCCACGTCCGACCTGTTGGTGTATGAGCGAGCTGCCACATCAAGGAGCAGTCGACGTACCATTTGTACTAGCAAGTTTTTGCTTTTAGTAGGTCTGGCGAGGATGACACAATCGATCTATTCACCATCAGCACCCCATCCACTAGTAGTTGAACGGCTTACCTCGGGAATGTCGGTTCCCTCAGTCAAGACTTCACAATTGACCAAGATTGGAAACTCGCCAGCCCCAAACCCGGCGACAGTCGCTTTGCGTATATCGGCTCTCGAGTTGGAAGAGACGGACCGGGCGTCTATACCCGCATCTCGGAACCTCTGCGTCACGTTGTCCACATGCGTCAGATCCACACAAAATATCAAAGTAGACCTTCTTTCCCTTGCCCGAGTCAGATACGTCGCAAGGAGGAGATCGTTGATCTCTGGTGTGTCGACTTTTCTCGCCAGAGAAGAGCTTTTGAAATCGCCCTGCTGATTGAGCTCGACATCATCCAATTGCAGGTTCGCCTTGACGGTAGTCATCTTTGCGGGAGCCAGCCAGCCGTCTTTGAGCATGGCGCTGATCTCGCGATGAAAGACAATCTCTTCAAAGGCAGCGCTCAGGGCCATCTGGTCGTTTCGAGAAAAAGTGGCGGAGAAACCAATGATGGGTGTTTTGTTGCCGTGTGTCAGGGAAGTATGGGGTTCGACGGTAGATGGGAGAGTGACGTCTTGGTTGAAGTAGTGGAGGAGCTTCAGGTATCTATAGAATAGATCAGAAGAGTTCCAGGTAGCATGATACTGTGCTTACGAGTGTGCTGCTGCATGATGAGCTTCGTCTACAATGACAAGCTTGAAATTGGCCGGATTGAACTTTGACAGTCTTTCCGTCTTGTTCAGTGTTTGGTAGGTAGCGACAGTACTACATATCCATTAGCACAGGTCACCATAGCAGATCCAGACTTACACATCTGCCAGACCAGTGGCCGAGCGTCGAGCCTGCTCTACTTCCACCGTCCATCCCGGCCCCAGCAACCGTTTCGCCGCAGCCTCAGCCTGCTCTGCCAGTTCCACACTGCTGACCACGATCAACGTCTGCTTTCGCTTTCCCTCTCCGTCTTCGACTCTAGCTTTACCCTTCCCTTTGGATCTGTAGAAGGGCACTTGGGGTATAAGAGACATAAACATGGTCGTCTTTCCACTGCCTGTCGGCGAAGAGACGCCTATACGCCGTAGACCTCTTTCGAGAGCTGAAAGGCAAGAGGAGATGGCGTGTTCTTGGTATGGTCGGAGGACTAGGCTTGAGCTAGAGGAGTCTGCGCCGTCTGGGAGGGGTTGTTCTTCTTCAGCGGAGGGTGGTTCGGGGTATAATTGGACGCCGATTCTAGGACTAGCTGATGAAGTGGAGTTGGCCCTGCGCAACGGGAGTGGATGTATTGGAGGCCGGACTTGGTGTGCCAGCAGTCGCCGGAGTAGCACATAACCCACTGGTCTTAGTGAGGCCATCTTGAAGCGAGGGTGGCTGTTGAGGAGAAGTGGAAGAAATGACATTTGCTTTTGCGGAGATCCGCGACGCGATTAGAGACCAAAGTTATCAATTTGTTGTTGTTTTTGACATTCGACACTTTCCACCTCTGCAAGGCTCCCCTACGTTCTCAAAAAGGGCCATGGCCAAATCCAGGCCTAAATTTTACGCTGTACGCGCCGGAAGGATTCCAGGGGTCTATAATACCTGGGCGGAATGTGAACAGCAGGTTAGTCGGTTGACATCAACCTACGCGACGCGACTTGCTACAGAGAAGCTGACTCTCGGGAAAACTGCGTAGACGAAAGGATTTCCAGGCGCCAAGCATCGGTCATTCTTGACACGTGAAGAAGCTCAGGTGAGTCTTGTATACGACGAGGGGTGCTTTGCTGATAGAAGCATAGGCGTGGTATGAAGCTCCCCAGGCGGGGCCGCAGCCCATATTCGAGACAGACGCCAATGTTACCCTGGCAGAGCTTGCCATGGACGTCTCTGAACATTACCAACCGGCTTATCTAAAGGTCTATGACGGTCCCGCACCAGATGCGACTTCTGGAGTCAAGCGTGAAAGAGAGGACGACTCTCTCGGCGGACGAGAATCCAAGTCGGCGAAACGTGAAACCCAAGACCCCAGCGAGACCGACCCTACCGACCCTATCTTCGTCATTGTTGACAACGACGGCGATGAAAACTTGCAGAAAACCCCGGCCGGAGATGCGAAAGAAGAACACCAACCCCCCGGCGAACCCGTCTTGTCCCCTCAACAATCCAAGATCCTCCACATGATCATGGGGGGCGAGAACGTCTTTTTCACCGGTTCTGCGGGTACCGGTAAATCAGTCTTGCTCCGTGCCATTATCAAGATGTTTCGGGAGAAGGAGAAGGAGGTTGATAGCAAGATTGCGAGTCAGGGTTTGAGCGAACTGTTGGAAAATCTGAATGCTCCTGGTATGGTTCCGAGCAGGTGGAAGTTGGCCGTGACTGCGAGTACCGGCATGGCGGGAGTGTAAGTCGAGTGCCATAGAGTGTACATTTGTTGACTCGTGACTAGCAATGTTGGGGGCTCAACAGTGCATTCATGGGCCGGTGTCGGGCTGGCTAAAGAAAACGCAAACGATCTGTATCACAAGGTCCAGAAGTCAAAGATGTCGAGAAACAGGTGGCTGTCAACAGGCGCCCTGATCATCGATGAAAGCAAGTATAGACCTTCACTTGGTAGACGAGGCTGACTTGTACAGTCTCCATGATTGATGGCGACTTGCTCGACAAACTCGACTACATCGGCCAGATGATCCGCAAAGACCCCAGACCTTTCGGCGGCATCCAGTGCATCTTTACCGGCGACTTTTTCCAACTCCCACCCGTCCGAGCTATGCGCTTCGCCTTTGAAGCCAAATGCTGGTCCCACCTCTTTAGCCCGCGTAATATCAAATCCCTCACCCGCGTGTATCGTCAGGCGGATACAAAGTTTATTGATATCCTCGAGTCCATGCGCCGCGGTATCGTCACGGACGAGAATATGAAGTTGCTGCAATCCCTCTCACGGGTTGTCGAGTATCCAGACGGTATCGAGCCTGTCACCTTGTTTTCGCTCAAAGCAGACGTGGACCGTACCAACGTCTCGAAGCTGAATGCTCTTCCGGGGGATGCAGTGACGTATGAAGCGTGGGATGCCCCGGGGAAGAATGCTGGTGGCTATGAACTAACTCAGGAGCAAGCTGTCAAGCAGCTCAACAATTCGACCATCTGGCCGGAAAAGCTGCCGGTCAAGATTGGTGCGCAGGTCATGCTTTGTACCGTACGTCCCACTCTATTCTCCAAGATGTCGGCTGACGGTGCTATAGAACCTTGGCGATGGGATGCTTGTCAACGGATCAACAGGTACCGTAGTCGAACTCATCACCATCCGCGAAGCCTTGGTCAAAGGCTACTACTTTCCCCGTCCTAAAGACCAGGGATTCAATCTGGACGTCCCGTACCCCGTCGTAGCGTTTGCTCAGCCAAAGTATGTCACCAAAAAGATTCCAGAGAGGACTATCATTGCTGGCATGTCTGTGGAGTGTATCAATGCCATGTACGTATGCGTTATGAGAGAGGGCGATGGAAGAGCTGATGGGTGTGTAGTGGTGGGGTGGAAGCTACGAGGCATCAGGTGCCGTTGATGCTTGCTTGGGCGCTGACTATTCATAAGAGCCAGTACGCATGACCATCTTGACATGTTGAACCATACTGACATCGTTACAGAGGCCAGACTCTCGAAAGAGTCAAGGTTGATGTTGGGAGCGCCTTTGCTGAAGGTATGTCATGAGCCTTGGATATAGGGTTGGGCTCATCGTTCCATGTAGGCCAGGTGTATGTGGCAATATCCCGAGCGGTCAGTCTGGAAACACTAGAAATACGAAATCTACTTCGACACAAGTACGTCCCATCCCACCCAATGTAGTCCTCGCTCATAAGCCTTGTAGGATCAAAGTATCGCCCAAAGTCGTCAACTGGGCTGCACCGCTGGAGGCGGCGCAGAAGGAGCAAGAGATGATTGATGAGGCGGAGGAGGTTGCCAGGTCGGCTCATGAAGCTTAATGGAGGCAGGACTTTGGGGACATTCGTGATTCGCATTCATTCTGTACAGAGTACGTATATAGATGTCACAATGTAACAGATGTAGAGTACAGCTTCAAATCTACCCCTCCATCCTGAATACTTCTTCAGCGTTGGTCCACCATCCTGGACCACTCTCGGAGCCCGTGGCGCCGGGCACAAAGCTCTCTTGCATTCCATCTGTCAGCTGCCACCACCGCTTGGTAACTTCATTCTCTGCAATGCCCCGCATGTCTGCTTCATAGTCTTTGCCGATGTAGCGCATGTGGGCAATCAGGAGGTTGTGGGGCTCAAAGTAGTGTATCGAGTAGTCTAACAGAGTGTCAGAATGCCAACCGAGTATGTGATTGAGCGCTTACCGACAACGTGCGCTTGCCTCAATGCCCCGAGCACTTCAGGCCAAACATTCGCATGCACCTATATAATCAGTCAGCCCTGCCACGTTGAATCAACCACTTACCTCTTTGTACTCGTCCAACCTCTCTGGTCTGACCTTGACGACCTGACATATCCTCTTGCCTTGGTCCGTCTTGGGCAGCTCGGGGAATGGCAGAGCGGTGCTCATTGTTCGCGCTACGAATCTGGGTGAGAGGGAAGAGATGGATCTTCTCAGCATGTCTCTGGGAGATGGGTTTGTTACGCACCAGTTGCTCGCACATATATGCAGCAGCAGCGCGCCGGCATCTCTTCGCGCCGGCTGCCGTGGCGAGATCCGTGATCGGTGTGCCTGGCATCAGCTGCCGATCGTCTGCGCGTCGCTGTGCCGAGATTTGCCACCCGGCTGCCGAAATCTTTCAATAAAAGGCTTCACTTCGCTCTCCTCTCCTTCACCTCGTCGGCGGGCAACATACAAAATGCCGCCGCTGTTCACCTCCACCTCCCTCACAACCCTCCTGCGCTCAGTCGCCGGTGCAGCAAAACGCATCCAGCCACACGCCATGGCCCGCGCACCCCACCGTACCATCACCCACATCAACAAGGCCCGCAACGCTGTCCACAAGCTCGCCCACCAGACTTTTCCCAGCCTCGCCACACCCTCCCACCAGCTATACCAGCCCACAACCATCCGCGCTGGCGCAAGGTTTGCTTCTACCCAGGGCCCCTCTGTCGCTAAATCGGCTCGTCCATTCGGTGCGGTCGGTCGAGGTCTCCAGGCCGGCAAACGTCCTCACTGGGGCCACGGCAGGTTTATCCCCTCCAATGTAGGGCTTGGGACAGCTCGAGGCTTTGCTTCCGGCCCCGCCAGTGGCATCCACGCTCAAGTCCCCATGGGCCTGAGAGCCTTTGCGAGCCTGTTGGACGACGACTGTAAAGTCAACAAGACCCTTCCCCGGGCTAGCCGATACTCTCCCTACACTCGCAAGGCCGGGCGTCACACCCGAAAGACGTGCAAGTCGATCGACTCTTCTTTCATTGCCGACTTGCACCACTACTTTCCTCTCATCACCGTCTCTGTCGAGGAGAGCGAGATTCCTCTTCCTCCGACTCCCGAGACCTTGACCACTGCCGACAAGACCACCGTCCTCTCCCTCCCCCTCTCTCCTTCCCTCGAAGCCTTGCTCCACCCCACTTCAGAGCTCACCTACTCTGAGACGTCGGTCGGGGTGCACATCCTCGCGCGACTCACCACCGGCATCCTACCGATCCACTCTGCCTTCTCCCTCCATTCTTCCACCCGCATTCTCCCTTTGCTCAACAAGCTCGAAAGCCTCGGCGTGCTCGAATTCCACCCCGGCTCGCCTCTCGTCCATGCCGAAGTTTTGCGCGATGCCGATGGCCAGCCAGACATTCTTCGTTTGGTATTCCAAGACCGAAGTGTCGGGGACGTGCGCGAGCTGTTGGGGGAGAGTCTGCGAAAGCACGAGGAGGGCGAATGGTGGGCGCTTTGGGAGGAGAGGAAGGAAGTGGTAGAGTTGAGTCAGGGGGAGCGGAAGGAGATGATGGAGCAGTGGAGCGAGCAGAGCGAAGAGAGAGAGGTCGATGAGCTCGTCATGCCCACACTCGACGTGTCTGCCCTCGAAAACCCGACCTCACCTTCTTCTGACGGTATCTCTACACCCTTGTCGGGCGACCTTTCTGTCACTTCCTCCCTCTTCTCCCACCTGGGCGATTCAGAGGACTGGTCCATTCCCCCGTCTTCGGTCGAAGGGTCGGAAGTAGAGTCTGCGTATGCTGGGAGTGATAGCTGGGGAAGTGTCAACATTAGTGTAGTAGGGAGTGAGAGTGAGAGTAGTGAGGAGGGAGGTGTTTCTGTTTGGTGGGCTGGTGCGGGGGAAGGTTTTGGTTTTGTAGCTCAGCCGTGGTAGTGTAAGATCAGCGTTCGTCAGCGATTGGTCATGCAGTATACGTCGCATAGACAAGTATTTCTTGCACTTTCCGGTCTCCAAACCAAGCACCTTTGAGATATCACGCAAGAGTATCGAGCCCGATGTTGCATACAAGATCGCCGCGAAGCCTGGTTATAAGTTTGATTCATGATCTACTTTCTACGCTTCTTACCGCCTCCAGACTTGGCAGCCGGTGCTGACGGCTGAGGACTTTGAGGAGTGGCAGCAGGCTTGACAGCCTTTGCTGGTTTCTCCTCCTCGGGCCCTGCGAGCAAGCTCGAGATACTTGTATCTGATCAGCACCAACTCAAGGACCCCCCAGAGAAATAAACTCACGCGCCAGCCCAGTCACCATTCTGGAACCCGGCCATCTTCTTCCTCGTCTCTGCCATCTCCTTTGACAGATCCGGATCAGAGCTTTCCATACTCGCCTTCAGAAAACCCCATCAGCTCCTTCCTCTTTCACTTTCTCACCGAACTGAAAGAAGGAAGGTCAGACTTACAACAAGCTTCGGCATACCATACATCATAACCCCACTGAACAGCATCATCAACACCATAGGGTTCTTCAACATGCCCAAAATGTTCATCCCGCCTTTCGGCACAAAGTAACTTTCTTTACCGAGCGCTTCGAGCACGATGGGGTAGGTCAAAGAAGGGGAAGAAGGGGGCAGGGCTTGGCGGGCGGGGTTGGCGGATTGGATGTGGAGGGATGGGGGGCCGTCTTCGGCGATAGGAGGGATGGGGGGTGAGATTGTTACCCAGAGCTTTTTTGCGGAATGTCAGCAGAATTATCAAGAAAAGGGTAGAGGGATGGGACGGACGGGTTGGACGACGTAACCTGGTATCAGCGTTTCCACATGATGGATCCCTTCGGGAACATCGAATCTAAAGTACTATCAGAATGAAGCATGAGGCATGAAGAAAGAATGAGGGGGCGTACATTTCGAATGAGCCGTCTTGCTTGACCAAGACGCGGTCGAGGCCGTGATCGAGGGATACGGAGCTTCCGATTGGGAGAGACTCCACTGTAGGTGGGTCAGATCGATGCGCTGAGATGGAGAGGAGGGGATGTACCTGGAAGGACATCATTGAAGGCGATATTGCCCTTGATCGAAGCCGCTGATACAAGCGCAAGCAGCGGCCTGCGGGAAGGGTCAACGATGCACAAATGTTCAGAGGCGATACTTACAGCAGCGATAGTACAGACTGAACCAACATGGCGAAGTGGGAGGTAGAGAAGATGGGATGAGAGGCGAATGAAAGAGGAGATGAACGGGGTGGAGGCAAAAGTGTACGCGTGGAAGCCGCGCCATCATCTCTTTCATTCAACTACCAGAGGAGTTCAGGATGACCATGGCAAAGTATCTCTTTGCTACTTTCGACGTGACAACGCAGGGTAAGTCCTCGCACTACTCCAATACCAACAAAATTGACAGCTCTCAGTATTCTACCGGTCTCCCCTCTCCTTCGGTATCGTCAACCTCAAGCCCCTTCTCCCTGGTCGTACGTCCCTTCTCCCTCTTTCATTCGAGGCGCCCCCGACTCACATCTAGTCAGATGTTCTGATATGCCCGAAAAGAGTCGTTCCCAGGCTTGCAGACCTCAATACAGAGGAAGTGTCTGATCTCTTTCAAAGCGTGCAGCATGTCGGTAAAGTGCTCGAGCAAGTCTACAAAGCCCAAGCTCTGACTGTCTCTTTGCAAGTAAGTCAACATCCCCTACACGACTTCATAATGCTGATGGCAAGATAGGACGGCGCAGTAGCAGGCCAGTCTGTGCCCCACGTCCATGTCCATATCATGCCCAGGCATCCCACGGATTATAACGGCGATAACGACCAAATCTACCCTCTCCTCGAACAATCTGAAGCCAATCTCCAAGGCCATCTCGCTCAGTCACAAGTACCGCAGGTTAATGGAAAGACGGAGGCAAAGGCGAGAGAGGGTAGATGGGCATGTGATGAAGATAGAAAGCCGAGGACGATGGGAGAGATGGAGAGGGAGGCAAAGTGGCTCGCAAGCTTCTTTTGAGCAATGAGATGATGGGAGGATATATCCCGTGGTAACTTTCGTTACAGACTAGTGAGTGGCCTTTGGTTCTTATGGCAGCATCTTTGATAGCGATATTCAGGATGCAATCTGTATGTTGTACGTTGATACCATGCATGTGCATACACCTACAACTAAAAGCTACGCTCGGCTCTTACACACCACGATTGAACCATACCCTATTAAGCCCTGCCATCATAGACAATAGCCGCCCAACTGAACACCCAAGCACCCGCATAGATCGGGAACCTCCAATAGTGCTTGCTCTCCCAGCGCTGTACCAGCTCCTTGCCTTCCCCATCTTTGACCGGCTCCGCCCCATCATTGAGCGCAAACAGCCTCTTGTTGATAGGCATCAAGCCGAGAGCAAAAGTAGCAGGCACGACGAGGATGGAAGTGATCCCAGAGATCAGAGCGAGCTTGGAGATGATGGGAGATGGGTGGATGTAAGATGAGGTAAAGTTCAGGACCATAGAAGCGACTGATGCTCCGATGAAGCCTACCTGCATTTTGTCTTGGTCATTTTGGCTTTCAGTACGGGGAGCAATGTACTCACATGAGCCCTGTCGTAGTAGGCATTCCAAGCTTTGACGCGGGTCTTGTCGTCAATGGGGATAGACCCCAAGCGGCCATTGAGGAGGGGTACGGTGCCCCAGGTCTCATCGGCAAGGCCACTGAAAAAGACGTAGGCGGTGGTGAGGCCTCCGAAAGCTAGTGTGATACTGGCAGGAGGGAGGGCGATGAGGGACGTGCTTGAGGAAGAGGACATGGTGAATTTGAGGAAAAGGGGATGGCGACTAGTGGACCTTATATAGGCTGGCGAGCTGGACTCTACGATTACGAGTCTACATGGCAGAGATACGAACAGTGCCGGCGATGAGCCCACCGGCAGATCCCGGAACACCGAATGTTCGGACAAACCCCGAAGCCACGGTCAAATATCTTTTCGTCTTTTTCTGCTGACTGCCATGACTCAAGTATGCATAGGATGAAATCTGCTGTATTGGCACTCCAAAGCATACTTGGCTTTTCATTGGATTTGGCGAGACCATCTTCGCATCAAGCAGATCAGACACCGGCTTCATATTGTCCTCGGCGAACTTGGGAGACGACACCCGTTGTTGACTTTGAATGACGGACAGTGTGCGGCACAGAGGGCGAGTTCAGATTGAAGATATTAGTGGTGCTACAGAGCGTCGAGCTGACTGTCTGAAATAAGAGCTACAGCGGCTTAGTCTGACGTTTCAGCCAGGATGACGTTTTCGTATTAACTATACCACGATCAACTAACTTGCCAGATTGCTCCTACTTTCAGGCAAGACTTTAAGCACCGTCTCCGGTAGCCTCAAGTAGCCCGCTGACAATGTCTCGCGTCTGTGTGTATAGTGATATGTGATGTCGGCATGGCTCTGGGAGCCAGTGACGCGAAGAGTGAGCGGCAAGTACGATGCCGCTATGTATCTGCTGCTTATCTTCTTTTAACGGTTCGATTTTGCATTCCAATGGACTTGTTTCCTCATTAACTTTCGCACGTACAATTACAGGCTGCCTAAAACCCTTAACTAATATAGACCAAAGACCACCAAAAGAAACCATACCTCGACTGGCCATCACGAACTAATAGATGAAATGCTTCTTTGTCAACGGCAAAGTAGTCGCTGGCGGTACATCGCACAAGACTCCATCTGCCATCACCTGATAAGTCTCGGGATCCACTGTCTCACAATCAGCACGTGTCATGAGCGGACATTGTGAGGCTTACCAGTCATCTTGGGTTTGTGGTCGTTCAGCTTCATATCCTTTTTACCAATGTCTCGACATTTCTTGACTGCTTCAGTCCTCTTCTTGATGTCATACTTTTGCACGATGCCTGCAAGCTCATCAGTAGGTGTACGAGAAAGCTTGATGTGCGACTCACCCTTCTCAATCGACGCCTGACTGACCCAAACGATCGAGTTGAGCGCCGCTGCCCTCGGCTGCGATCCCCACATGGGCCTCCCAAACACTGGCTGCACCGTTGGAATCGACGCATTCGCATCACCCATCTGTGCCCACGCAATCACACCGCCCTTCAGCACCATCTCCGGTCTTGCCCCAAAGTTTTCTGCTTTCCAGATGGACAGATCTGCGAGCTGGCCGACGGCCACGGAACCGATGAGATGCGACATGCCGTGTGTGATGGCGGGGTTGACAGTGTACTTGGCAATGTAGCGCTTGACACGGTTGTTGTCGCGAGTCTCTTCATCGCCGGGAAGAGGGCCGCGGACAGACTTCATCTTGGCGGCAGTACGCCATGTTCGAGCGATGACTTCGCCAATTCGGCCCATAGCCTGGGAGTCAGACGAGATCATGGAGATGGCACCAGTGTCTTGGAGGACGTCCTCGGCAGCCACAGTCTCGGCTCGGATACGAGAGTCAGCAAAGGCGATATCCTCAGGAATAGATTTGTCGAGATGGTGGCAGACCATCAACATCTGTATCTCATCAGCATGGTCATCGAGCATTGCAGACAAAAAACTCACGTCAAGGTGCTCGTCCAGAGTGTTGACGGCATAAGGTCGAGTGGGATTGGTAGAACTGGGTAGGACGTTTTCGTGCTCACACACCACAATGATGTCGGGGGCGTGACCACCACCAGCGCCTTCAGTGTGGTATGTATGGATGGTCCTGCCCTTGAAAGCAGCCAGAGTGCTCTCGACATAACCACTCTCGTTGAGCGTGTCTGTGTGAATGTTGACCTGGTCTTTCGTCAGCAGCAGTATGATGTACAAACCGCAGTGTTCACTCACTTGCACATCATATTCGTCACCAATAGTCAAAGCCCTATCAATAGCCTCTGGCGTCGATCCCCAGTCCTCGTGCAACTTCAACCCACAAGCTCCCGCCTCGACGATATCCTTCAATGCATGGACACCCGCGTCATTGCCTTTGCCGGTAAAGCCAAAGTTGAGCGGGATAGTGTCGGTAGCGGTAATCATGTTTTGCATGTAGAAGGCGGAGGAGGTGCAGGTGGTGGCGTTGCTTCCGTCTGCAGGGCCTGTACCGCCGCCAACGAGGGTCGTAATTCCAGAAGCCAGAGCCTAATATCATGAGCACATGAGGGTACAAGAGGAATTACAGACCCACCTCGTTACAAAGCTGAGGGCAAATGTAGTGGACGTGGACGTCGATTGCACCGGCAGTAATGATGAGCTTTTCTCCGGCGATGACTTCGGTGCTAGAGCCGAAGATCATGCCTTCGGTGACACCGTCCATGATATCTGGGTTACCAGCCTTTCCGATACCCACGATGATACCATTCTTGATACCGATATCGGCCTGCGTATCTACGTCAGTAAATTGGTTTTGCATCAAATGAGAGACTTGCCTTATAGATACCACTCCAGTCGATGATCAATGCATTGGTGATCAGCAGGTCCAGCACCTCAGAGTCATGCCTATCGGACGCCTGCCCTTGACCATCACGGAGCACCTTTCCACCCCCAAACTTGCACTCGTCGCCGTAGATAGTAAAGTCCTTTTCGACCTCGACCCAAAGGTCCATGTCGCCGAGTTTGACCTTGTCACCGGTGGTTGGGCCAAACATTGACGCGTACTGCCACGATATGAGCTTACAAACTCGAGAGAGAGTGAGGGCGACTTACCACCTCTCGGTCCATATGAACAACGGGGCCTTGCTCCACCTTTTCTTGCTTCTTGTGCCCGAATCCACCCTTCTCCACCAGATCTCGAACACTTGTGTCTCTCAACCCTTCCTCAAACTGCCCACTCCCCAACCCACTTCCGCCATACAGAAGCTTCTTTCCCCCGACCTCCACCATCCCCACCGTCTTCTTCTCCCCAGGTTCGAAACGCACTGCTGTGCCTGCTGGGATATCAAGTCTCAAGCCGTATGACAAAAGACGGTCAAAGACCAGGGAAGGGTTGGTTTCGAGGAAGGGATAGTGGGAGCCGACTTGTATGGGTCTGTCTCCCGCGTTCTTGACTTCAAGAAGGAGTCTGCGGCGAGAGACATTGAGGGCCACTGGTTTCTTGAGGCATATGAGGGCTCCAGGGATGGGTTCGGTGGATTTTGGTGGTGGTGGGAAAAGGTCGGAAGACGGGATCGGCAGGAAGGAGCCGTAGAGCGCATTGTTCACTGAGTTGCATCAGCCTCATTGTCGCAATACTCCTCTAGAGATACTCACAGTCTCCATCGTCTGAAGCAATGGGGTCATGCACTGTAACCAGAAAGACGCCGTCTGGGAAAGTGCCCTCCACCTGGATATCATGGATAGCCTCGGCAACGCCCTCCATGACATGCCTTCTCCCGAGCATCTTCTTGCCAATATCCATGAGCTCTGCGACCGAGTGCTTGCCATCTCTGATGAACTCGTGGAGCTGAGAGGCGATGAGTGCGACTGTCTCTGCGCGGTTGAGGACGAGGCCGCGGGCGATGCGGCGTTGTGCGAGGGCGCCGAGGGTGGTGAGGATGAGTTTGTCCTGGGATGGTCAGAGGGGTCGTTGTGGGGGGCACTCACCTGTTCACGCGGGAGGAGATGCATGGCGGCGGTGGGAAGAGAAAGCAGGATGGATTTCTGAAGAGGAGGCTGATAACGCGCGTACCTGGAATCTCATTGGCTGCCCTTATCAGTAGCCGTGCGACGCGACTGACTTTGTTTTGTAGAGGTGACAAATACATAGATAGCCTACATGGATCATATCTGATCGTCTCAATAACCAAGTCCCAACAACGTGTCATTATCAATCTCCCCTTCCCACATATCCGAGCTTTGCTGAGAAGCCTTCTCTATAAGAGATTCTCCATTCTCCGCTGGTGCACCCGACGAAGCCGGCCTTCGATTCTCCTTGTTCTCGTCATCCTCCTTATTTGTAGATTTGACTTTCTTTTTCCCCAAAAGCCTCTTGACCCTCTCCCTCTTCTTCGGCGCTCCCTTCCTCAGTTCCTCCAGTAACTTCTTTGCCTGCCGATCCCCTTCTCTGAACTTGGTGTTTCCATACTGGGCGCTCTCCTCCCTCGTCCTCGCCGCGTCGTCATACGCGTCTCTATCAAATGAACGACATTGGTTGTCATCCATGATGAGAAAGATGGAAGCTTCGGGAACAAGAACATTGGCGATAAAGTCGGCCGCGGATAGGGGACTGATGGGGAGGATGAGGTCGTCTGTGATGTCCGAGCCCGGACGGGCGGGGGGGACGCAGGGGGAGAGATAATTCCATTGCTGAAGTTTCTGAAAGTGGTCGGTCATGATGACTCGGCCCAATTCTCCGTAGCTACAGATGTCAGCTGGCTTCTGCTAGCATTGAAGATGTGGCTCACTATCCCGGCTTGACAGCCAACAACCGCTCAGCCTTACTCTGATGCATGATCCCGCCCCACCTCATTTTGCCCACACTCTCAATTTCCCTTTTCACCTCTAAAAACATCTCCGACCGGCTCGGGTCTTTTACAATCTTTTCAATCTCTGCCCACACCCATCCCTCCTCCAGCCGCCTATCCAGGTTTTTGAAATCGATCGTTTCGGGATAGCCAGCTTGGATGCCTAGCGGAATGATGGTAGCTTCGGCGCGATGCAGAGTGCAAAACTCGATGGCTTGTTGCCAGTGAAGATCGCGCGCATTGGGATTTCTGGTGGTGGGAGCTGGCTTGGAAAGTTTATCGAGTCTTGCTTTGAGATTCTCGATATGCTCCGTGGGGTTGAAGGGGAGGGGCTCGTCGCAATACTAGACAGAGGTCAGCATGTAGTACGGCAAGGGTTTGATTCTACATACAGGACAAGGGTTTTTCTTATTCACATGCCGTACTGGCAGATGGTCAGCAAAGTCAGATACACATGCCAGCTACACTTACAGATCCATTCACGCTGAGCGTCCGTATAATCTCCGTCCAACCAATCATCATCATCCTCCTCTTCCATCGTCGTATCAAGATTGAATGATCTGACTAATGTCAGTTCCTTTTCTCAATACGAGTGGCAAGTGCTCACGGTCCATCGAGAAAATCGTCATCAAATTCTTCCAAATCATCATGCACGTCCATATTTTCCAACATCTTGAAGAATGAATGTCCTTTATCATTCTCATCGACAACCTTCTTGGCGTTTCCTGCAGCCTTCTTTTGCTGTTGCTCCTTCTTTCTTGCCTCTCCTTTCTTGGCTCCGTCATGTGCGCGTAACTGTCTGTCGTTGGCACGCTGCTGCGCTTTGATCTGCATTTGTTTGCGCAATAGCTCTTTGCTTGCTTCGTCGAGCTCTTCTTCCGAGCTTGCATCATCGTCAGAGACGATGGTGATTTTACCACCAGTAGATTTCTGACTGAACATTTGACGTTGTCGAGGTGGGGAGGGTCTGGGCTTGGGTTTTGGTTTTGGTTTGGGTTTGGGTGCGTTCTTGTCGGGGGGGAGGGCTGTGGATCTGGTCCGGCTTGTGGCGGCGAATGGATTCTTAGATGTGGCTCGAGATAACGGTTCCGACGGCACAGACTCCAAACTCTTCTCCCTCTCTTCTCGTACACCTTGTCTGGCAAGCTTTCCAGTCCCATTATCCATCATCCTCTTCTTTTTCTTCTTCTTTGAATTGTCCCTGTAATAATCGTCGTCGTCATCACTGTACCCAGGAGCAGCGACTCTCTCGGAACTGCCTCTCTTCCTAACGCGGCTAGCCCCCGAGGATTGCCCAGGAGAAGACTCTTCATCAGAATCTGGGATCAAGACTTGCTCGCTGTGTGCTGAAGCGAGGGAGCGCTGAGAAGACGGCCGGGGGAGGGAAGAGGGAGGAGCACGGGAGGAGCGATAGATGTCGTGCTTATGGGAGGGAGGGGTGTTGCCCAGAGCCAATTCGTCGTCGGAGTTGTCATCGTCTTCGTTCACAGTATCGTACTCGGACGAAGGAGCTTGTTTGGCAGTTGAACGTTTGGCATGCCGGGTTCTGGCAGGACTGATGAGGGCGATGCAATCGTACTCTTCCCTGCCTTTGCCCTTGCCTTTGCTCTTTGGTTTGTCGGGGATCACAACGGGAGACGCCCTGCTTTTGGCCTTCTGTCTCTCGGTCGGGTTCGACGACGAAAGAGATGGCTGACCCGCCTCAAAGGCATGGAGTTTGTCGCGCGTTGCAAAGATGCTCGCAAACACATCATCAGCCGCACTCTTCTTATTGCTGGGAGCATTCTTCTCCTTCTCCCCCATCTTGTCCTTCCTCCTCTTCTCTTCCCTCTCGATCCCTGCATTTCTCCGCTTTCTCTCTTCTGCCCTCTCAATCTCCCTGTCCCTCCGTTGCATCTCTGAACTCTCCAAGCCCGGACTCGTAGTGTTGCTGCGCTGGGATGCGCTGGTCGCAAACGGCTTGTTCAGAGGTGACGAATCATCCAACAACTCTTTTGCGAAATCCTTTGGAGGTGCTCTGGCCCGTGAACTCGTTTGAAGAGCCGACGGGGAAGCTCGAGGCGAGTCGTCCTGAACAGCGTCCCTGTCAAGGCGACGTTTAGCGGCGATGGCTGCCGATGTTTCCTGGGAGCTGCCCTGAGATCCAGAAGAAAGCGCGTTCCGCTTCTTCTTTGGGACAAACATTGAAGGTGTCGGGACAGCTCTGGCAGAGCTCTTGCCGTGAAGCGCAGGCGCTGCGTGGCGCTGGTCGATGCGCGCTCGTTGCTGTCTGGCGTACTCTTCCCTGTCCCTGGTGCCATCAGGAGACGAGCGTATGTCGAAGATGTTGCCGTGGTTGACCTCGGCGCCCTCCATGGTGTTGTGGGTGGAATTATGAGAGAATCAACTTTTGTACGCGACACCTCTCATGTCTTTGTGCGACGCGTAAGAAGGGGGTTAATAACCTGCGCGTGATAATTAAGGCCCCGCAGATCTGATTCCGCTCCTCCATAATGCAGTCATTCCATCCATTTATCAACTCATTCAACTCCCCGCCGCCTCCGGAGATAATTCACCCATGTGCGTCGCCTGTAATCTCCCCCCTCCCCACTGCTCATGCCCCTCAGCGTCATGAAGGCCCGCGCCCCCAGCGTCAAGCTCGGAGTGTTCTTTTCCGGAGGAGAAGCAGAGGACGGCGAACTACCGGACGAAACCCCCAGGAAAGTCTCGACGTCTTCCTCAAGAAAGACCGAGATGTGGCTCCCTCCTCCCCATGAGGGAATCGAGGGCAATGAGGGAGTCGAGGGCAGTGCCGGTAGGCGGTCGCCTTACAGCAGTCCTCCAGGTAGAGGAGGAAACGGAGCTCGACATCCGCCCAGGTCGCCTCCTAGGGAGCACCCTTACAGAGAAGCTTCAACAGTTAAAGCCTTGCCGAACGAGGTCTACAGTACTGCAGGTGGGCCATCGTCGAGGAAGGCGCCACCACCTCCATCCACACATAACCTCCCCGCAAAACCTTCAACAATTGTGACGGATCGACTGCCTGCCTCGATCTCTCCAGAGAAACAGGCTCCTCGACATTCGTCCAACGGAATTCCCCGTCGCCCTTCAACGAGTCTTTCAGAGTCTGGTAGAAATCACGATTTGCCGCCAGCCCCCGCTACCTATGGCGAACCACATAGGAGGCCACATTCGCCTCCATTGCCTCCACGACTTGAATCAAAGGCTGAACCATCTGGACCGCCCCTGAGGGAATGGGATCAGGGCAAGGTAGATCACGGGCACAGTCGAGGGCCCGAGGATTGGGATAGGCCCCGGTATCCAAACAGAAGTGAGAGGGATGGCTGGGGGGATGGCCGGAATGATAGGCGCGAGCGTGATCGCGAAAGTGATGGTCGCGCCCCCTACAATAGGGACTATCGCGATGACCGTGGCTATAGACGCCACGATCCGCGAGACTATGATCGGAATTGGCATCAGTCGAGACGGCGGACCCGAAGTCCTGATTACCACGGCCCTCCGGACAGCCACCCACACCGAAGGCAGCCATATCGTCCTCTATCACGTTCCCGATCACCCCCAGAGAAACATGTCTCCAATTACAGCATGGTGCCATCCTCCAACTACGACGTGCCACCGCCGTATGGTGCGGAAGAATCAAAGTACTCGAAAGATGAAGCTCCAGAGAAGGACGAGTCTGCCTCAAAGTTCCGGCCCATCACGTTGAAGAGAGAAAAAGTCCGTCGCTCCGACGATACTCGCGCTGCTTCAACTGCGTCCCATACTGCTGAATCAGCACGTCCACCGACACCTGATGCCCCTCCCCCTCCACCCCTATCCCCTCCGCCTGCCACCCCTCCAGCCCCGCCGACTGTGCCCCACGCGCCGCTGTTACACCAAGACAAGACGCGCCCACCATCGCCTGAGCGCGAGGAAGGCGAGTATGTTGAGCCGCCGCGCGATAAGAATCATAAGGAGAAGGGCAGGGATAGGAGGAGGGATCATGAGCCAGAAAGATTTGGAATGAGGACGGTCAAGGAGGAGGAGGAGGCGTATGGAAGAGTGTTTGTGGGATCGTCAACCTTGATGGGATACGAGACGGGTAGGAAGTTGGGAGAAGGGACGTTTGGGTGAGTTTTATAATGTTCTTCTTTGATCCCAACTAATCATTGGCAGTGTGGTCACGCAAGCAACAGAGAGGAGCACTGGACGAGAAGTGGCTTTGAAGAAGATTACCACGCATAATACCAGGGATGGGGTGAGCTTTTGTGTACATGTCTTGATGAGCCCATCTCACACTCTCTAGGCGCATATCACCACGTTGCGAGAGATCAAGATCTTGAAAAGTCTTAACCATCCTAATGTGGTCCCTCTCATCGATATGGTCATGAGTCGAGGTCGGTCATCTCTATACTTGTGGCGAGCACAACTGACCTTGCGATTCAGGTAATCCCCAAAACAGAAAAGTCAACACCGAGATGTTTATGGTGTTTCCCTATATGGACCACGATCTCTGCGGTCTTCTGGGCAACCCCGATTTTCAAAAACGCCCCAGTGTCCACAAAAGCCTCATGAAGCAGCTCCTCGAAGGCATGGCATTCATCCACGCCAACAACATCATCCACCGTGATATCAAGACCGCCAACATCCTCGTGAATAAACATTATCAGGTCATGATTGCAGACTTTGGTCTGGCGAGGCCTTGGACGAAGGAGGCGGATATGCCACCGCATCTCGCGAGAGAGTATACCAATATGGTGGTGACGAGATGGTATCGTGCGCCGGAACTGCTCTTGGGAGCTACCCGCTATACCCCTGCTGTCGATCTTTGGTCAATAGGCTGCGTACTGGGAGAACTGTACATGAAGCGCCCGCTCTTGCCTGGTGGCGGTGATAGAGAACAGTTGGCGATGATTGTTGCTAAATGCGGACCGTTGAGCCAAGAGACATGGCCAGGATGGAGGAGTCTACCTGGGTTTGTCGATGCGCCAGGGCACGATTGGGAGCGAACACCGAGGGAGAGGCATATTGCGGAAGACGTTACAGCTTATGGGTGAGTTTCACTGTCTAGCTGGATTGGCGGTGACTGACAAGCGCAACAGGTTGGATAGGGCGGGAGCAAACTTGCTTGGAAAGCTGTTGACGCTAAACCCAAGTCAAAGACCAACGGCAAGTGAGGCATTGGATCACCCTTGGTTCTGGATAGAACCTCTACCCATCAATCCAAAAACGTGAGCATCTTTTCCATTGACTGGGCTTAATTGACAATGTAAAAAGGGAGGCTCCACTGAGACTCGAATCTTCACACGAAATGTCGGCCTGGCATCACAAGCAGCCCGCTGCGCCCGCTCAACCTCCGCCCCAACCTGTCATGCCCCCGCGCGTCGGATTCTCTCACGCCCCACAAGCCAATCCTTATGCCAATAATCCTTACGCCGCACCACCATTGGCACCAGTCCAACAATCGCTCAATAACTATCCTCATCAGTCGCAGCACCAGCCTGCTCCCAACCCCTATCAACCGCTTACGGGTCATGTCCCGAATCAGTCTCAACCTGGGCATAATGCATATCGCCCTCGGCCTGCATATGCGCAACAGCAAGCGCAACAAGGCTACTCGCAGGCACAGCCTTCTATACAACCTCTTGCCACAGGCTATGGTGCCGGACCGCCTGTGAGCTCAAACTTGAGTGGTGCTGCACATGCGGCGATGGGGTATGGTAATGGAGGAGGGTATGGTGGTGGTCAGTCAGGGGGTTACGATGGTGCAGTGCAGGGCGGTTACGGTCAGCCTTCCCTGGCGCCGCCACCACCGAACAGCTTTCCTGCCCCCCCGCCATCAGGGATGCGGGCTCCCCCGGGTAGTCTTCCGAAGCGACCAACCGGCCCACCTCCCGGGTTCTCCTTGGCCGGAGGAGGGGGTGGTGCCCCCCGGAACAGGCCACCTCAAAATCAGAATTTCGGGAATGGCGGCGGAGGTAACGCGCGTAATGGTGGCAGCTATGGTTACCAGGCGCAGCCTGGCCATATGAAACGAGAGCATTCGGACGAACAATTCAATGCCAACAAGCGGCACAAGCCGGATATGACGACGGGGGGCGGAGGGGGCGGTCTGCCATACTAGAGTGATGGACATTAGAAGATGTGGAAGGGTTCCAGAAGGGGCGGCTGGATAATTATACAATATAGCATTTCATCTCGACGAGAAACATCTTGCATAGTGCAGAATGTCTTTGTACTACCTAGAGCTATAGCAGTTGCGAAATGTACGTTATCTTATAGTGTCATCTTCCAATGACATGGGCACCCCGCTGCTTGCACCCTCATAGGTGCATCCTCTGCATAGTCCGTGGGTTGCTGCCTATGACCTGCCGTTAGATGAAGGAGTCTGGGGAAATATTTTGCACAAAGAAAGATCTGGCATCCGCATCACCGTGTGTCAAAGATCTGCAAGATCTGGTCGTCAAGCATAACCACATACTGGCGACAAGCAACGACAGGGGGTTATTACCTCGTCTCGGTGCTCGGTTTGTTTGTGTGAAAGATTCAGTCAAGTCTTGTCGACGGGTGACCTCTCAGTAGGCACAGCGGTGGTTGCTGCTTGTATCATGATGCTGCACATCCTGTTCATGAACAGGCGGCCATAAGCTGCAGACCAGCACGGGCAGCACGGGAAGCAGGCCTCATGTATCACTTCATGCATATAATCGATGAAGAGCATACCTCTCGAGCTACACTTACCGGTATCGCAATCGTTTTCAGATCTGTGGCTTCGGATGACGACTTCTCTTGCTGAAACTCGGGTGCCTCTCTCTTCGTGCAAGCACCAGCATCTGGCATACACTCGGAAGCTTTTTACCATCATATGCTGCGGCTTTCGAATACGCCAGGATTACAGCCAGCAATAGCAATTGGGATGATGTATCGGTGATGACGCCTGACGGTAGAAGAGCGGACGGAGAAAGACGTTGCTGCACCGCCACATGCCCTAGCGTACACCTCTTCCCTCGCTCGTCGTCTCACTTGGTGAACCCTACTTCCAGTGCATCGGCATACGAGCCGGCGATCTAAACCCGCTGGCCGTTGGAAAGATGGAGGGACGCATGCAGCCACAGCGGATCGACGGGGTCGAGGGATACAGCGGTGCCAAGGGGTTTGGCCGGCGAGGGAATGCCGGCAGCGGAGATTAGGAACAGGAAAACAACTGCAAGCCGAAAGATGAGAAAGATTCATATCTCTCCCTCTTCTGCATCTCTTCTTCCATTCTATATCCTATATCAATCAACGTAGCCCCCTCTACCGGCCAATACAAACACAGACATGGCCGACGCCAGCGACCCAGGTGAGTTATCGAACTGGCCTTGGGGATTGGAGGCACGCATCGCTTGTGCGCATTTGGACCCGTCATAGATCAGGGAGGCTGCTTCGGATCTTCTGGGGCACACGCTGGCTATGCTGGCAAGCGAGGGCAGCGTGCAGTATCTTTTATCACAAATTCACAATGAGGCGAGAAGAGCGGACAAGGGCAAAAAGAAAGCTTTGTTTCACATTCACGCTCCGTGTAAACAACTCGTCCTAAATCGGCATCCTCCTTTTCTTTTGTCTCTTTGCGCTCATTTCCTCTCTTCTCTACTCTAAACTCTACCACGACACTGGCTGACCATGTCTGCCCCTGTCTCTGCCTCCGCCTCGACCTCCGCCTCTGCTGTCCGATTATCAGCTGCTGCCTCCTCAGCTGTCGGCACCACCTCCGCCCCGGCCTCATCAGCTGCGGCCTCATCTCAAGCAGCTTCCTCCCAAGCCCAGAGTAGCCAAGCTGCCTCCTCCGCCCAATCATCAGCCGCCCCTACCAGCAGCGCCGAGCCTTCCACTTCTGAAGCCGCTTCGTCAAGCGCCCAATCGAGCGCCGCGCCTTCGACCGTCACATCTTCAAACACTCCTTCGACGTCCAGCTCCGTTGAGCCTTCGACAAGCTCGTCCGAAGCGCTTCCTTCCACCTCCTCTTCAGTAGAGCCCTCGACAACAACGAGCCAGCAAGAAACCTCTTCTTCTGAGGCTTTGCCGAGCACGTCCTCGGATTCGTCCTCCTCGTCTGAAGCGCAGCCGAGCTCTCAGACTTCTAGCGCCGCCCAACAAAGCACCGCCACCGCTACATCAACAGCGGCACAGTCTTCCTCGAGTGATGCAGCATCAAGCAGCTCGCCCACATCCACTACTGCTCACTCGACGAGCTATGTGTAAGCCGCGCAGGTTTTAGGTATTTGCAAAAGCTGACGCCTCCTTTGTATAGCTACGTAACTGTGACAGACTCGAATGGATCCACGCGAGTGACCTCGACTTCTGTCGCGACTGGGGCTGCCGATGCAAGCAGCAGCAAAGGCGGATCTAGTCAGTACAAAACTTTATCGTCTGAAATAAGAGCTGACGTGTATACAGACACCGGTGCCATCGTCGGTGGTGTTATCGGTGGTCTTGCCGGTCTCGCCATTCTTCTCGCCCTGCTTTGGTTCTTCATCATCAGAAAGAGGCGCCGCAACCACCAAGCGTTTGACGAAAAGACTGTATGTCGGGTCCACTTTGCGGAACGAGCGTAAAACTGACATCATTCGCAGTTTGATCCTTCCCACGTCCGTCACTCTGTCAACGACCCTATCGATCTCATCGACCCTGCTGCTCCCGCTGCCGGCGGTGCCGGAGCTCAGGTCGACCCTTTCCCCTACCAGCATCCCTCGTCTCCCGAACAGCACTACTCGCCCGAACAGTCATACGATCCTTACGGCCACCCGTCCATGGCCTTCCCCGACGCTCGAAACTACATGAACACTGGTGGCTATGATGCTTACGGTGGTGATGCTGCTTATGCTGGTTATGCTGGTGCCGGTGCCGGTGCTGCTGCTGCCGGCGCGTACAACTATGGCAACAGCGCGTACTCTTCCAGTGACCAACACTCTTCGTCCGGCCCTGTCAGCCCCAACATGCAGTCTTCTGCCGCTTTCGCCAAGCAGCGCGAGGCTGCTGCCGAGCGTCGAGAGAGCCGCAACAGTCTTGGCGCTGGCGCCAGTGGTGCTGGGCAGCAGGAGGTGTTGGGAAGCCCGAGGAGCGGAGATGATACCGAGCTTCCGAGGCGACAAAGTGGCTTCAGCGACAGCAGGGCGTCAGTCTATCAGCATACGGATTTGAGATCGGTGGAGGACGAAGGAGAGCACCTGGATGAGATTCCTCCCAAGTAAGTCGTTTCTCTACGATTGTCGTGACTTGAGCTGATGTACGAGCGCAGCTATAACGATGTTCCCAACAGAGGTCGACCAATCTAGTGCTACGGTCGTTTCCTCTTTTCCTTTGTCTGCCTTTGGGAGTTTTGCGGTCTCTCTATCCTTCGTTTTCTCCTATAATCCCTCTTTCATCCCCTTCTTGACGCTTTGTGACGAGTACTCGATGAACGATAGCGGTGCTACAGATATATCATTTCTTGCCTTCGTCATACATGGACGTTCAAATGTATCGCTATATCACTTGCACATATCTTCAAGGTGGGGACGCAGGTCGGAGTAAAGACATGGTGACGCAAAGGTAACATGGTGCTACATGGCAAGCGATATAAACAAAGTCGGTACAACAACCACAAACATGATGAAAAGCCATGAGATAATCTTATAAAAGTCTGAACATGGGATATAAATAAGAGCAGAAATCAAAGACCCAGAGGTCGTGCTATAGAACATTTTACTTTCTCCTGATGGTATGGTACTCGTAATCTACTCAGGGCTCGTACCGCGGTAAGAACACCCCTTGGACGCTTCCACTCCTACTTGAAGCCACCGAATGAGATACGCCGTCCCTCTCTCCCCTTTCTCCATCCTCGAGTTTTGCCCCAATGCCTGATATGGAAGCACTTCCGGTTTCTCCCCTCGCTCCCGTTTCCCGAAATGGTACCGAGTCGGTAGACCATGGCGAGTCCTGGCTGACGGTAGAAGGCGAGATGGTCTAGTCAGAATTGCAAGACTCTGGCGAAAGATCATGCATGGCCTTCGTCCTCTTCCTCGATGGGCGGTGGCGCTGACGGCGCACTGTCCAGTTCTGGAAACATTTGCTCATCTTCCATGGGCGGGGCAGAGGGCGCCAAAGACTCGATCTCACCCTCCAACGCAGGTGGGGCCGAAGGTATCTCGGGTGAGGACTCTGTCGGGGGTGCAGAGGGCGCCGAAGGACTCGGCCCGTCCAGGTTGTGGAACTGCGCCAGTCTTCTACTGAGCATGGGCGGTGCCGGGAAAGCAGTCGAAGGCTGAGAAGGCTGGTCGTAGAGATCATCATCTTCATCAAGGACAGCGGGTATCTCAAAGCCCTGTTCGTCGAGCATGACTTCAGGCGCTGAAGGTCCCCTCTCATCTGCTTCTTGCGCTGCAGGAGGTGCCGATGCACCCATCCTCAGCCTTTCGAGCACCCATTTATCATCTGTCGCCACATGCGCTCTCCTTGACTCCTCCCGGTCATCTCCCAACGCCTCGGCCTGATCTTCATCGACATCCACCACCCTCGCTTTGCCATCACTCCTTGATGCCACGGCAAGGGCGCGCTCGCCATCTTCGGTAGCCGGGGCGGGATAGTAGCCAGGTGCTTGTGTCTTTTCAACATGAGTAGGACCTGCTTCATCAAGAGCCCGTGAGGAGGAAGGATGTGAAAGAACAACAGATGCTGAGGCGGCAGGGATGGAGCGAACCGATGCGGGGCGATAGGCCGGCGGGAAGTAGGGTGTGGGTGACGTGAGAGGGTGGAAATGTGCTTCAGTTGGTGGTGCGGGCGTTTCGACGGGAGGCGGGGTAGAATGGGAAGAAGGCGCTGGTGAAGGCGCACGAGATGGGCTGACGATTGGTACGTCTGCCTCAGCGCTGGGCGATGGTTCTTCCACAATCGTCCGGTCAATCTCCACATCGCTGTTCTCCTCCTCGAGCACCTCTGTCGTTCCCTTGCCCTTCTCTTTCCGTGGACCCTTTCTTCTTCTCACCACCGCCAACCTGGCATTCCACCCCCGGACCTTTCCACTCGCAAACTCCATCTGTCCCTCTCGCTTCTTCTTGGCCTTGTGTTTCGCCTCCATCTCTGCGAGCTTTTCTTTGAATACGGCTTCGGCGGCGCTGCCGTTGATGTCGTTTTCGTTAAGCCCCGCAGCGGCGAGGGCTTTCCGACGTATACGTTCTTTTGCACGTTTTTGTTTGCGGTGCCGCTTTTTGCGACCGAGTACGTAGCTGTGAAAGAATGAGTCAGAGTGTCTCGGGCGAGATACGCGGGAACGCACAAGATGATGAGAGCAGTGATGAGCAGCGCCATGATGACACTAGCCACAGAAATGAGTGGGACTTTGTATAAACTCGTTCGATTGGACGATGTGCCCCAGCTGCACACAGAGTCAGCAAGCCGCACACTTGACACGAGAGACGTGCACTGACCCGTTAGGCAGTGCTTCCTCGACAGCATAGGAAGGCTTTGCAGTTTGAGTAGTCTGACTATCCGTGACTGTACCGTCTCCGTCGCCATCTGCTAGAATTGCGCCACCTGACGGCGGCTAAGAAGAGTCAGCTTGGTGATTGATGAGGATAACACAGAAGACGCACCGCTACTTTTCGCCCGTAAAGATACCATCCTCCATCGGCCCTTGTCCACGTCCCGTCTTCCAGTTGCGTCAACAGATACGGAAGAGCAGTCTCGTCCACAAGGACAACATCCGTCGGCAGCTTGGTGGGCGTTTGCATATTCTCGGGGTAGATCACACGCCGATCAAGTGCCCCCAAAGGCGGTGTCGTTGCCTTCGACCCGCCTGATACCGTTCTCGTCGCGTGCAGGCCGGTTCTCGAAGTGGGTACCGACGGCGGGGGGGCGTGCGCGGGGGCGGCGGCGACGGGATAGAGGAAGGGGAGGAGAAAGGCGGGGAGGAGGGTGAGTGGGGAGGCGGGGGGAGGTGGTCGCCGTCTTCGGGGGTCGCGCCGTGCTAGTGTCTTTGGTTGTTTGGCACCATCGTGTCTCGCCACAGTGGGCTGCCGCCGTGTGGGTTCATAGGGGGTGTAGGGGGCGTCGCGTAGGCGGGAAGGACCAGCCTGGCAGTGGTCTGGGGGCTGGGAAGGGGGATCTCCGATGCCCCCCTCTCTCCTCCAGGGATCTGCTTTGTTCATCTCATGAGAGGTTTTTTCCTTGTCGGGGGGTGTCGTGGGCGGGGAGCGGCGGGGGGTGGGGGATATGGACTGAGGGGAGACGGATGGAAATAAAAGAGGAGATGGGAAAGAGATGTCGCTGGGAGATTTGAACGTCAATCGGGCAGAGGTGCTATTATTACCACCACCAAGGACACTCAAAACCCTGCCCTGTCTCTGCTCCGTCAGATGCTGCAAATACAGCATCCATGCATACCAGTGCCCCTGCCCACCGCGACCATCCCGCTGCATGCATGCATACATAGCGCTGCTGCCCCATGCATCTCTATCCTCGCCCGTTGCCACCAACGCTCTATACAAATTTGCTCCCGGCCCCGTCGGAACGTCTCTCGTCACTCCCGTAAACCGTCTCTGTCCACTTTTAGCACTGCTTCTGTATTTGGCTCTCCCTCCCTTCATGTGCATACATCATCCCTGCCACAATCACGGTCGAGAGCTCCCCTCTGCCCCGCGCTGGCCCCTCTCTGTCTGACTTCACAGGCACACTCTCGGGACGTCTCCGTGTCCAAAAAGGGCAAATATTTTGGCTTTACTACCCGCCCGGCGCGGTACACGTCGACGAGTGTTATTGGTCTATGAGGTCGTAGCCTGGGTAGCAGACACGAGTAGATATAACATATAAGGGCGCACATTCGCTCACGATACCCACCAAGCAGTATTCAGCAGTTGCATATAAATGAAAAGTAGCCCATGGAGAATTGGCGACGGGTTCACCGAGCCGAAACCGAGCGGAGGAGATCGCTGAACAACGTGTCTGCCATGGCCATTCAATCATCATTACATCCCTGGTCCACAAGCTTGGCTTGAATATCCATTGCCATGCCGCGAATCCTCCTACATGCGTATCTGCACAAGATTGCAGTGCATCCACCGTCGACCCATGCGTGCACAATGTACACTTTACCGGTATAAGCACCGCGTCGCTCAACGTTGTCTCACATCATCGGAAAATCGGTCCATATTCGGGAATGTACGACTTTCTACTTCCACCTTCATAATCATGCTTCTATACCTCTCTTGCATGTTTACGTGGCATATACGGTATATTATACCTAGGGCTTGGCCGCATCCCAAACCTTCCCCATGAACGCCCTCTTGAACTGCTTCTTGCCCGCCTCGCTGATCTCTTCCACCTCCGCCTCACTCAACGGCTCCTTCTCCCGAATGGCATCCAGCTGGGTCGTCTGTCGTGTCTTGTTCGCACTCGTAGTCACCACCACCCCCTTGGACTTTTGTGCTGCCCAGTTCAACAAAACTTGGGAGGTTTCGTACCCCTTCTCGGTCGCAATACGGGATACGACCGGGTCGACCGGACCCCCGGGTGCCTTGGTCAGAGGTGTGAGCGGGCCGTAGCACTCGATAGTGATATTTTCAGAGGAACAAAGGTCAAGAAGACGGGTCATGTTGGCAGCATGATAGTCGTACGGGTGAAACTCAATCTATAGCCTTTCCGTCAGCCACCTCTTTGTCGAGCATGGAGACACACGCACTTGGTTCACGGCAGGGACGACTTTCCACGTCTTTTGGATCTCGAGGAGATCTTCTTCGCGAAAGTTGCTAACGCCGATAGACTTGGTGAGTCCGGAAGCTTGGAGGTCTTCCATGATGGCCCATGCTTCGCTCAACGTGTAGTCGGGGGAGAAGAGCTAATCGAGTTGTTGGCTTTGCTTTCACATGGCCGTGTGGGCTTACTAAAGGGGAGTGCAAGAGATCTTGCGGTGTGTCAGTACCTTGCATCGTGCATCGTCTTGGTCACTCACAAAGATCAACATGGTCAATTCCCATATCTGCCAGCAGCCTCTCCAAGATCTCTTTCGGATTCTTCGTACCGAACTTGCCTCCACCACCTGTTCCTCTTATCAGCTCACCAGCGCCAGCTCCAGAGTATCATGCTTACACTTCTGAAGGATATAAAGATCCTCCCTCTTCCCATCCCACTGCTTCAGAGCATCCTTGACAGACGAGCCGTTGGCGTACATCTCCGCACAGTCGATATACGTGTATCCCGTCTGAAGGGCGGATAGGAGGTGGGAGGTACATTCCTTGCCATAGTGTGCCGTACCTATCTCCTTGTCAGTATCAGAGGTCTCAGATCTAGAGCAAGAGTAACTAACCGAGACCGAATCCGATTCGAGGAATCTTGGTGCCGTCGTTGAGAGTCACTTGTGGGACAGACATATTGATGATCAGGAGTCTTGAAGGGGAGTGAATGTTTTCGATCAAAAGTCTGAGATAACTCTGAGAGATGCAAAGAGATATTGAAAGGAGCTAATACGTAGACGAAGCTATATCATGATACCATCTATCCCGGGGACCCGACATGACGACGAGCGAGATTGGTCCAGCGACTACCTCCACCACGGTCAAAGCCGACTGATGACACCATTGCGCCTATCTCCTCTATCTTTTTGGCATCGTCAGCTTGTTGACAGGAAAGTCGTACGTCGCCGGGGGAAGAGATATGCTTGTCGGCGCAACCGTCTGTGCGCGGAAAACTGAGATCGCGGTGATTGACAAAAGTCCTTTGCGGTGTATGCTTATCGAATCTCCGAATCTTCAACCTTGAGGTGGTCCAAGAACATGAAACATCTCGTACACAATTGCAGTGGTCCCCCCCAATCCTATATTATGCATAGACCCGACATGCCTGTCTCGTTCTGCGTCCGTGAACTTGCCGTCGCCGCGTCCCTTTGAGCCGGTGTTCATGTCGAGCACGTTCCAACCTATCCTTTCAGCCCAGCTCAACCCACCATCCCATGCATACCCTGCTCAGCCCCGTCTCCCAGAGCTGCCTAGATCCACAACACGCTACTGAAAAGTCAGATGTGCAAGGCAGGCGGGCACCTCCGCGCTACGTAATTCCGTGGAGGTGTTGATTCGAGATCTCGCGCGGTGAAGCACGTTTCTCGTCATTCTCCCTTATATCCCTTCTGTTTACACTTCTGCCGCCGTCTCTCCTCCGCTCCCCCCCTCTGCCTGTATCTCGCTCCCTCCCATCTACCCGCCATCGCCCCCAGGTCGCCATTGCCACAAACGAGGCTTAGCGCGTTTCTCTCAGCGCTCGCCGAATAACATCCCACCTCCTCTCATTCGTGCATTCGCACCCCGGCGCGAACACCCACTTCCGACCGACACACCACGTTGCGTTTGCAGCAAGGTAGACACGGCACGAGCTGCCCAGTAGACGCCGATGCCGGACCAACATGAGCTTGACGCTCACCACCCATCTCCCCGGTCGTCTGCTGCTACTATCGTCGAATCACAAGCTGGGCCCAGCCAAAGCCGCTCGTCCAGCAAAGACTCTCAACGCTCAGATAGGGATGAAAGACCATGCCCCGATAAGCTCTCTGCTCCTCCCCAGCCACTCCCATCAGTGCCGAGAGGACCGTCGTCTCCTACGACAGAACTGTCACCACTAGGCCAGTCGGCATTGACGCCGCACCTAGACATCTGTAAATACCCCACGCAACAGCTGCTGAAACTGCTGGCGGGGCTGCTGCAGCATATCGCAACGTCTAATGACGAGTTGCGCGCAGAGTCGGAGGAGGAGCAAGGCGAGAGCGAGAGTGAGAGGGGCGGAGAGAAAGATGAAGAGCTAGAGAGGGAACAGGTCGCAGGAGGACACAAGAGATCACATTCTCGGGCATCAGCAAAGTCGGTGCTGCCGGGCTCTTCGCCTACGACCGCCCTGTTTGACGGTACGCCGACCCCTTCTTCCCATTCCCGCTCGACTTCCACAATGTCCTCCTCCTCGCGCCAGACCACCTACCCACTCTCCCAATTCCCCCTCTTCTCCGCATCCACATCATCTCTCTCCCATCCCTCTGCTCTCCTTGCCTTTCATGCCAGGCATGTACCTTCCATCACTATCGAGGCGTACCTGTTGCGGATATTAAAGTACTGTCCAACCACCAATGAAGTCTTTCTCGGGGTGCTGGTGTATTTCGACAGGATGACAAAGCTCGGGACTGTAGATGGAATAGGAGGCGAAGGCGTGAGAGTGGGCAAAAAGGGCAAGGGGTTTGCCATTGACAGTTTCAATGTGCATCGGTTGGTGATTGCTGGAGTCACTGTCGCGAGCAAATTCTTTTCAGGTATGTCCACACATCGACTTTTGTGTCTAGTGCTGACATGTTTAGCAGACGTGTTTTACACAAACTCTAGATATGCCAAAGTAGGCGGACTTCCACCGACGGAACTGAATTCGCTCGAGCTGCAATTCCTACTCCTCAACGACTTTCGCCTGCGTGTATCCGTCGACGAGATGCAACGGTACGGGGACCGGTTATTGGCCTATGCTGAAGAGGCGGGACAGGATATCGGAGAAGTGGGGGTGGAACGGAGGAAAAGCTTGCCGGACGGGGAAGAAGGGTTGGGGTATGGACGGAGAGAAGCGTCGGCGAGGGGTGAAAGAAGAGCCGCTGTTATCGGGGATGCGCAAAGCGCCTCCATAGACTCGCCGACGACGACGACTACCGACACTGCCTCCCAATCCCAATCCCAAGCGCCCCTTCCTCCCAACGTAGCTTCCTCCTCGTCAAGCCAAGTTCCGGGGCCTGCCACTGCCCCCGTATCGCCCCGGGCCAAATCGGCCTCCCTCGATACGTATACTTCCAACCCGAGCCGGACACAGCCCGCGCCTCAATCGCAGACACAACCACAACTGCCTACCCGCCCGAGCGAATCGTCGCCCCCAAGCGCTTCGTCCTCTGGCGTTTCTGTCTCTGATGGTTCAACGGTGCCGGTGCCGAGGGCAGGGAAGGAAGTGGGTGAAGTCTCGGCGGGGATCAAGAGAGAGTGGGGACGGGGTGATGAGAGTGTAGCGGCCGTAGGAGGGAGGATGACGAGTCCGATGAGGGACTGATTGCAGCTGCTTGCGTGATGGTAGAAAAGGAGTGAATGGGCAGCTTATAATGCTTTATACACTGCATCGACATAACATAGACGTTACGATTTCTTGGTATTGCGGCATGGGTTCTTCACGTGGACTGTAGTAGACATGTATCAGTTGTCGTGACCTTGCAGCCCCGGGCAGGACAAGGGGGGACGAATGGCTGACATGAGCGGGCTGATTTGATTTGATGCCCTGCAGGACTCAGGTACAGATCGACAAGGTGTCTTTTGTTTTGCCAGGAACCGCATCTACTCTCCAGCTTTTCATTGTTTCCTGCCGCCCCTGTCCGCTCGTGACTGCTGTATCCGGGGAACAATACGAAGAGGTTGTGCAAAACGGGGACGCCCACGCTGCCTCTGCGGATACACCCCTGCGCTAATAGCACGCGCTCTATTGTCCCCTGTCTGTCCACCTCGCCTGACAAAGAACTCCGACAGTACCTGAGGTTTCATATCTTTTAACCGTCTCGTGAGTCGCCGGCTTATAACGCGAGATTGGTATTGATATCTCTTTTCCATCCTCTTCTCAACCCTTCACCCCTGCCTCGCCCCCTTCGCCTTCGCTCTCTCCCTCCTCCTCCGCCTCCCTCCCTCCCTCCCTCCCTCCCTCCCGCCAGCCCCAGCACAAGACAAGCTCTTCGTGCAGATATCTAGTCGACCCCTCGAGCTTATTGTACTCGCTCCCCAATAGAATCCGACAATCCTCTCCTCGTGGCACACCACGCTTCCATCAGTCATCACACACACCCCACGACATTCCCGTCAGGCAGACTGTATCCGCCACCAAGTGTGTCATTCCTCTTCTCTTCTTGCAAAGCATTCTTGCTCATACCCCATAGTCTAGTAACTAGTATCATACCATGCCCTCTCCTCCGCGCACCCCCTCCCCCACCTCGCCCATGGTGCAGCTCACCCACCCCACGCCGCCCACCTCGTTTGCCGCCCACCGACTGGCCATGAAGTCTGCCGAGGCTGTGCCCCGGCTCTCTGACTTTGGCTCCATGCCTCACGGCCACTCTCACCATGGTCACGGCCACGGCCACGTCAAGCGTCCGAGCATCTCCTCTGCCAGCGACCCTATCGTCGACCCTTCCAGAAGGGTGAGCTTCTCCAGCGAGGCCATTGGCGAAGAGCCCAAGTCGCCCGTGTACCAGATTCCGCAGCGTTCGAGCAACCGCAACTCTCTCTCGCTTACTTCCGAGAAGGAGCTTGCATCTGTGCACGAAGACTACGCCACTGCCCCCTCTGCGGGGCACAAGCCAGGTATCAAGCCCCGCCCGGTCTCCTTCCAGGGGCCGCTTCCTGTCTCTTCCGACACGGGTTTCGCCACTACTCCCGCGGGGAAAGGCCTCACCATTTCGCCTTCCCTCGCCCGCAGTACGAGCACAACCACGCCATTTGGGTCTATCTGGTCGGCAAGTGCCACTTTGCCCAGTAACAATGGCTGGATCACGCCCGCTCTGAACAGCGCCAAGACGACTATTGGGTCTGGTACCACTGCCGGCCCTGGCAGTCAGACCCCGGCCAGCGGTGGGGGTGCGGCTCAGGTGGCCAAGGCTCGCGGTTTGGCAGTGGCGATTGTGAAGGAGGACGGTGGTGTTGTGCCGGTCACGCCCACCCTCGGCAGCGCCGGGCTCAGGTCGCCTGGGCTGAAGAGTCCAGAGCTCAAGTTGATGCGTGTGGCAGAATCTTCCACGCCTGGTCTGGGTAGTGGTAAGCTCGACACTGGTAAGAGTATGGGCAAGAAAGAAAGTGAGTCACTCTTTGAATGTATTGGTACGAAGCTGACAGGCAATAGTCATTCTCTGCAAGTTTTACCATACCCCCGGCCTCACTTGTACTTCTCGCCCATGCCGCTTCGTCCACTCCCTCACCACTCTCAAATCTCCCTCCTTCGACATCTCCCATTACACCATGCTTTCCCCCACTCGCCCAGCCGACCCTACCTCTGGCACGTTTGCACACGCCCAGGCTCAGCTTGCTTCGCCTACAGGTAACGGCCCGGCAAAGCAGCTCAAGGTGACGGCGGACGGCGTGGACCTGGAGGGAGTAGAGATGGGAGAGAGGGTGGTTGTGGAGGATGAGAATGGGGAGGAGGTGACTGGACAAGTCTTTTTGATGTCTGGAGGCGGCAAGGGTGCTGGTGGCAAGGGTCGAGACAAGTACAAGAGTAAGTTGTAGTTGTTGGTCAACAGTCCAATGCTAATATACAATAGCTGTTCCGTGCAAGGACTTTGCTGCCACCGGTCAATGCCCATACGGGGACTATTGTTCTTTCCTCCACGACGAGGAACCTCGCTCCGAGCCGGCAGCTGAACAATCCCAATCTACACCCACCCCTGCGTCTCTCGACGCGTGGTCCAAGGCTATCCCCAAAGCTCGACTCGTCCCCTCCGTCAAGGTCGACCCCCAAGCCATCGAGAAGGCGCATACCAACGGGCTTTCTGCATTTGCGGGGCCGTTCCACAAGCCACCTTTCTTGGTGGACCAGCATGGAGACCTCTTGGCTACCAGCCGCGCTTCGTCCCCTGGAGGCGTGCTCACGCCGCAGGCTCAGACGCCACCAGCGCTCGCGAGCGAGCCTGCTTCTGTCCCCATGGCTTCTGCCTCCTCGGCACCCCCTCAAGCTAATGCTTGGAACCAGGGGCCGCCCATGTCGGTCAAAAAGGTCCGCAGCTTGAAGAAGGTGACCATCTCCAACCACCGCCGGGAGCTTTCCGTCAATGTCGACGCCCCGCTCACCACGCCGACCTCTGTAAACCGCCTCGTGCCTCCCGTCTCTGCTGCCTCCATATGGACAGAGAGCGACCCAGCTACGCCATTTGACCCATATGTGCAAAGACAAAAGATTATGGAGATGGAGGCCGAGGCGAGGAGATTGGGCTTGAACCAGCCAAAGGTCATGCCTAGGAGTGGGCTCGGGAATCTGGCATATGACGCTGCTCCTCAGCAACAGCAGCAACCACAAGTCCACTCGTCTACCGAGCCGTCTTATCTCCCCTTTGCCGCCCCTACCTACCCCTGGGGCATGCCCATGTCCCCAGTGACTTCCAACGGTCAAGAGCCGTCTGGTCCCGAGGTTGATGGAGGTTTGGGAGTGATGTGGACGCCGGCTGGGTGGGCTGTGCAGGATGCTGCTATGAAGAATGCGTTAAGGAGTGCCGAGGTCAAGATGAGGCACAAGGATGCCAAGAGGAGAAAGCCCAAGAACTATTACAGGAGTAGGTCTATGAGCTTATTGAACGAATGGCATGCTAACTCGAAGCAGCTCGACCCTGCAAGTTCTTTGCTGAAGGGCACTGTCCCCATGGCGCCGAGTGCACCTTCCTGCACATCATCCCCGCCTCCTCTCCCGAGCCACCTTCCTCCTCCGACAGCGACTCTGTCGAAGCGCGCTCCAGGACACCCCAGCAGCACCAAAAGTACAAGACCCTTCCCTGCAAGTTTTTCAACTCTTCTGCGGGTTGCGTCAATGGGGACGACTGTGCATTCTTGCACACGCGAGTGGTGCCCGACTCGGTACAGCTCGTCGAGAGGCCGAGGCCTTGGAGGACGAAGCCTTGTCGGCACTACCAGTTGGGCAGGTGTATGCTGGGTGATGCGTGCCACTTTGCACACGTAGAGGATCCTGCGTGGGTCGCTTCTGGTGCTGGAAGACCTCGAGGGTTTGGTAGTCCCAGTGGCATGCCTTCCGACGTTGCTCAATTGACCGAAGAGTCGGTCGAGCAGACGCTTGAAAAGATCAGGGACATGAGGTTGAAGGAGGATGATGAAGATGAGGAGGATGATGACATTCAGTTTGTGACCCACGCCTTGAGCCCCTCCAGCTCTGGCTACCACCTTGTCGCGTAAAGACGTGTCATAGCATGTTGAGTATTATACAGTATCTCGTTCTTCTCTTTGGAGGGAGGTGAATATATATAGAGGTGTTCTTTTCTTTCTTGAATATATAACAGTTGTTAATTTTGGTCATTCTTATCATATATGTCAATCATCATGCATGTGCTTGCGAAAGACGGCGGCGGACGCGATGACGAGACGAAAAGGGGGGCCAAACAACAGGGCGGCAGGGTCCGGCACGGCTCGGAAGAGGGAATTTCCGGTTTAGGCAAGTATAGTTCAGGAGGCCTGAGCGTGACTGCCCTTGCAACAACAAGCCCTTGCATCTCCATCTCCTTTCTCTTTCTTCTTTCTTCTTCGTCACAATACATCCATCCGCCCTTCCACGCCCACAGACGACCCCCAACGCCGACCTGCCCACATTCATTTGCACCCCACGATCCTTAGCTGCCAAAAACAACAAAAACCCCTGTCAACAACCCCCTTTTCAACCAATCAAATCCCGTATCAACCACACAATGCTTGCCGCTGTTGCCATCGCTGTTCTCCCCTTCCTCTCTGGTGCGTCGGGATGCTCGAAAGAACGCGTGGACAGGGCTGACGAGCACTTTCTCAATTCGTTCGGACTTCCTTTCATGCCCCTTGTCACCTGCCTGATCCCTGTCCCTCAACCACCCACTCCGCCACTCCCCTTGATCGTACGCTACCAGGCGCCTTCGCCATTGACGGCTGCACCCGTAACGCCACCGTCGTCCAAGGTGACACCTGCGACTCTATCTGTGAGTCTCTTTGCGCGTCGGGCATGGGGGCCTTGGCGATGGCTTGGATACACCGCTAGGACGATGGCTGATTCGTTCGACGCGTCTTCCTTATTGTTTCATCCTGCTTCCCCACGTGCACGTTTACCCTCGACCCTATATCCATTCGCACACACGTCCCTGCATACATGTTCCTGATTCGCCGTGGTCCCAACGCGTAGCCCGCCAGTACGGTGTCTCCACCTACCAGCTCGCCCTCGTCAACGACGCCGAGATTGACGAGAACTGTGACAACCTCGAGCCCGACCAGACTGTCTGCCTCGGTGTCGAGGGCCAGGACTGCACCAAGGTGTACACTGTCGTCGCCAACGAGTGAGTCGCTATGATGTATGCGGTGGCCAGTGAGCTGATGGGCACATCTAGCACCTGTGCGTGGGTCCAGGAGATGTACGGTATCTCCAACGAGACCCTCTACGCCAACAACCCCCAGATCGACGCTGCTTGTGAGAACATTTACATCGGCGAGGTCCTCTGTGTCGACACCGACGCCTTTGAGTACCCCGACTACAACTCTACCCTCTACGACGTGGGTCTTGACACGGTCTGTGGCGATAGTGGCTGACATTGGGTGAACAGTCTCTTGCGTACACTTACCTCCCTTACTGCGATGAGCAGTAATTGTCTCGCATACGAGCCTTGTTCAAACTCCCACTCTCCTCCTCTATCTAGGCGATCCATCTGTCAAAAGTAATCCTAATCCCACACCTCCCTATCCTATCTTGTTTGTCATGCTTGCAACAATGTAGCCATTGTGCGGCAATACTCTATATATCCAATCTTCTCAGTATACCCCATTTGCCCCGATCTGCCTCAACGTGTCTAATAATCATTTGGTTTCGACGTTTCGGATTGTTCATATGTGGAGACTGTGGGGGGATGAAGCCCGCGAGCTGTCAGGTACACGACACGGTTTATGCATCCTCATCTTGATGCTTTGTGGCAGCCGAGTCTGATTGAAACCATACAGCGCACTACATTGCACTATCGTCTTCGGAGGTCCAAAGTAGAGCCCCAACAAGCGCCTGGTACTTGGTCAGACATTCTGCCCAAGCCCCTCGGAATACGGACACGCAGCAAACGACTATGATATGCAGATGGGTGGACCACACAATGCAAGAGACAAGCCGCGCCGAGATTTTGACCCCGCGCGCGCGACAGTCGGGGATAAGGGAGCGGCGGTGTCCGCCGAAATGAATTGGTCCCGTCGTTGCTGGAGCTGTTTTCTCCGTGTGGTTTTGCGAGCTTCTCTTTATCCTTCAAACTATACAAAATGACTTTCAAACGACGAGGCGGTGGCCGCAACAAGAAGGGAAGGGGTCACGTCAAGAACGTCCGATGCTCCAACTGCTCCCGATGTGTTCCTAAGGTGGGTCACATCGCCAACTCGATATTCGACAACAAGATGAGGAGGATGAAGGATGGTGGATAGAGTCAAGGAGGGGCGGAGAAGGAAGGGAGAATGGAGGGGAACTATGGAGAAAGAGAACAGGGTGCTGACTGTTCTTCCCCTACAGGACAAGGCTATCAAGCGTTTCACCGTCAAGAACATGGTCGAGGCTGCCGCCGTCCGAGACCTTTCCGAGGCCTCCGTCTACCAGGAGTACGCTCTCCCCAAGCTCTACATCCGTCTCGCCTACTGTATTTCTTGCGCCATCCACGCCAAGAGTGAGTCGTCTTCGACAGTCGTATCTATGGTCCAATACTAATCCTGCTATAGTCGTCCGAGTCCGATCTGCCAAGCCTGGTGCGATCAACTCTAGGAAGAACAGGGCTCCCCCTCCCCGTGCCATCTTCAAGGACGGCAAGGTGCGTCGCTTTTACCTATTCACAGCAAGACCATGACTGATTGATTCTTAGAGGGTCAACCCTGCTGTCGCTGCTGCCATGGCTGCCAAGACTGCTCAGGCTTAAACAGGCTAGGGTGTAGGATTGGAAGTCTTGTATCATTTGCATGAAGCGATTTGCGGACCATCGATATGTGGACGATTGGGATTGGGGAAAACCGGAAGGGGACGTGCGCAAGAGGATTGCAAGCTGCAATAAGGTGCTCCCGGTGCTCTACCTCTACGAAGGCTTGCTCTTGCCCATCGACGCATTGTTCGACCATGTACACTGGCACCGACCCAACTTGCTCTGCGATCAATTCTGCTAACGTCAGGTTTCGTTACATGTCATGACTACAAGACTACAATGCTGCCTCTACCGTCTTCAAATGCGCCATCGAACACCCGCCCTTCTCAAACACCTTGACCGACCTGTATTTCCTCTTCTCGCCACACCCGGGCGCATTGCACATGCGCTCGTCCTTTTTTGGTTCGACAGACGGCGCGCCCATGTCCAGCCATCTTTCTTGTCCCGTGGGTACCGCAATACTCATGACGACTGCACCCTCCTTGCCCATCTTGCTTGTCCACCTCACCATACCCTCTGGAGGCGCCTGGATACGCCTGCTGGGTGAAGGGTTGCCAGTAGAGGGATCAATGTCGTCGTCAATCTTTGCGCGAGAGCGAGATGTCTGGGCACGGAGCAGACGGTTGATGGTCTCGTCCTGTACATACTCATTAGCTGGAGGTCGTGGATACATGTACACGAGTCGCATACTTGTTCATCTTGGAGCCTTTGTTCGATCTGGCGACGCCGTCTTCTCGACGCCTCTTCCTTTCTCTCGATCTTTTCTTGCTCGGTCAACTGTAGAGCGCGCGTTGACCGGGCTGGCGTATCGTCAGTACACTGCGTACATGCAAATGTGAAACCTACCTTCTTCGAGCACGAGCAAATGGTCCTGCAGATCGCTGTTGCCCTTTGCCCGTTGTCGCGCCGTCATCTTGCTCGGGCTGCTACTCGGATGTCTCCTCTCGTCGTCCTCGTATCCTTCCTCGTCCAACAGCTGATCCTCTTCAAGGTCATCCTGCTCTCCTTCCCCGTCACCCTCCTCCTCCGTATCCAGCGTCTCTTCTCTAGACTTTCTCTTCTTCGAAGCAGCCTTCTTCTGCGGTGACAGCGACCTCGATGGCAACTTGATCCGAGTCCCGCTGGGCCCAGAGGCAGCCGGCGCTTGCCCCTTGACCGTGAGTTTGATGCGAAGCGGATTGACAGGCGCAGGCTCGTCGACCTCCATACTCTCATCCCCCTCCTCCTCCAACTCGTCCTCTTCACTCTCCTCTTCCACAGCACCATCATCATCGTCCTCTGAATGCTCCGCATACGTCACCCGCTTCTCTGCCCCGGCGCCTCGTGTAGCTCGGGCGGGCGCTTTGGCAGGTGGTGCCCTTGCCCGTCTCGGGGCTGGGGCGGGGGCAGGGGGCGGTGAGGCGGAGGGCTCGGCTGAGGAGGCTGATTCGGAGTCGACGACACGCTTTGAGCGGCGTGCGGCGGAGGATATGGGGGCTGTCTTGGGTGCCATAGTGCTGCCACTTGGATTGTCGTTCGACACAGTTCATCGGGCAACCATCAGAGAACCATCCTGCTATCAACGTCTCGTAATTACATCTTAACTTGCAACATACCTACGTAAATACTCGGGTAATGCCAGGACGCGCGCTTAATCCACCCCTGGAATCTCTCCATCATCCCGAGAAATGGACAGACAATTGTGCCATGCGATGAGTCAAGGTCCTTCTGAGCGGGGCAAGGAGGTGGGCAGCTCATGTGCTTCCTATGTATGCTACGACAGCTTCGGGCGTATATAAGACACCCTCCACGGACGTCCTCACCTCTTTCCAACAGCAATAATCTATTCACAATGATTCAGATCCTCCCCTTCCTCGTCACTCTCTTGCCTCTCCTCGGGATGGCGACTGCCACCCCTATCAACGCCCGGGACGATACCCCAACTACCACAATTTCTGCAAGCGCCCCCATCCGCTCCGGTACCGTCTACTACGACGACCTGGATTCCGACTATGGTCGAAGGATTCACCGTGAGCCTGTGTCTGATAACGAGTGTGTGGTTCGTTCTGGGCTAAGCTAGACTTCTCTGAATGTTAGCCGACAGTCGCGGTGATCTTTGTGTGGCTGTTGCAGGCGGCTATGCGGCCTACGGCGCTTCTGTCAACATGCAAGTGTCTCCGTCTTCTCACCTCTGCTCTGATTGACACCGCCTTCTTCAGCGCCTACTGTCAGCCCGATAACACTACATGGTCTGACCTCATGGCATGGAATGTCACCCGCGATGACCCCCCGGGTCAGACCTCCCTCCAAACCAAGCTCGACGTCATGTGTCTCTCTGCCGGGGCCAATCCCACCAACGGTGGACCAGTGCACCTCCAGGCGTGTGGTGATGAGGGGCAGAAATGGCACTTTGCCGAGTATAATGCGATTGAGCTCGCTGGGACTGGTAAGCTGTTCATGTTTTGATGGTTTGAGAGAAGTGCTCATGTGGTTTGGCAGATTTCTGTCTCGACGTCAAGGAAGGCTCGGGGCCCATCAATCAGAACCCTTACAGCATCATCGAGGAGCTGCAGATATGGGAGTGTAGTGACAACAACGATAACCAGTACTTCTTTCAGCTGTAGGCCCATAAGGATAAGTAGTATATCAAGTTTGATCGTGGCATTCACGGACTATACATCACACATTTCGATGGCCCTCGGGCTCTTTCCTCTCTTTCACCACGTATGACAAGATCAATAATCCCAAGATGAATATATTTTATACGCTATGCGAATCGTTGGGTTATCTGCTGCTGTCACTGTCATTTGCATCATGGCAGCCAGACAAATAGGTTGTGTCATATTGACAGGGGAATGCTGACGCGATTTTTCAGTCGTGCGATGACAGAGGAGATACTTTGTACAGTCGAGGTGATGTGGCATGCCTGCCAAGTAGCTCCCTTGCCTCATGTCCGCAATACCATCTCTGCCTCGGCTCATGATACTAGGCCCATATATGCATTGGGCTGGGATAATTGCTTGATGCTAGGTACAACCAACAAGAAATTGAAAAAGACTACTACACATGTTACTCTTCCTGCCCTCTAACTCTACGCGTTCGACGTCTCTAGCTTCGGCTTCTTCGCTTCTTGGCCCCCACTCTGTCCCTGTCCTCCTACGACCCCGTTCGATCCCGTACTATTCGTATTACTAGCTACACCATTACTCTGTATCGTCCCTCCGTTCGCCCCATTCTCTTCCAACTTTCTCTTCACGCCCGCCGTCGCCCCAGGAGCAGGAAGGCTCTCTGGGGGTGTAGGTCTCGCTGCAGGCGCCCCATTGCTTGGTGGCTTTGCTCCTGGAGTGACACCTTGCCCCTGCACGGGCCTTGGACCCGGCGGACCTTGACCCGGCTTCGCCGCAGCCCCCGGTGCTCCCGGTGCCCCCGGCGGACCGCCCGCCTTCTTCTTCTCTGGCAAAGGCGGTATCACCCCCGTCATCCAAATCTCATTCGCCACCCTCAAATCAATATGCACCCCCATCACCTTGATATACTTTAACAGCTTGCTCGCATTGGGGCCAACGATATTGACATCGCCTTTGACGTTTGCAACTGCAGCAATCATGCCAATGACTTTGGTGAGGGAAGTGCCTGGCGGAGCGGGGCCGGTGACTTTGACAGGAGGGTTGCCACCCGGTTTGGGCGCTGGTGCTGAGGATGAAGTAGGAGCGGTAGGAAGTTGGGCGGGTCTGGATGGAGCCGCTCCGGCTGTAGGAGGGGGACGCTGTTGGCCGACAGGAGGTGCGACAGGCTTTGCAGCCTGGGGAGCAAGTGAAGGTCGGGCCACGCCTGGAACAACACCGTTCGACGGACGCACGACGCCTGCAGCAGGGTTACCCATAGGTTTCCCTCCCACAGCTCCCGTAGGCGGACCAGGCTTAGACGCTGGCGTCGGCCGTTTGTTGCGCTTGTTGACGATCCAACTGCTCAACACATCTACAGCCCCCGCCGCGCCCAGCGACGTCAGACTGGCGAGAATCCCGCTTGTCAGATAACCGAACGTATCTCGGTCCAACACCAATGTTGTGCCATCGCATACGAACGGCAGAGGCTGGCCGGAAGAGTCGGTGGCAGAGATGACGGATGTTGCCCGCAGAGCAGGCGTGATGGGCTGCATGACCACCACGATCGGTGCTTTGGGCTGAAGGACACCCTTGGCGTTGGCACTGATTGGTTGAGCGGCGGATGGTGCTTGAGAGACGGGCGCCGAAGGTTGTGGTCTCACGATAGGTTTAGCCATTGGCGGCATAGCCCTCGCCAGAGTGGGGTGTTGAAGACTCTGTTGATGGGGTCTTGGCTGACGGCTCGCCTCAATCGCTGCCTCTCTCTGCTTCTTTGCCCTCTCTTCCGCCCTGATCCGCTCCTTCTCGCGCCTACTCTCCACATTCTTATCCTTGCTCGCATTCTTCATCGCATCCTTCTTTTGCTTTTCCACAAACAACGGTCCCTCCAATGGATCAATAATCCACACGGAGCCCTTGGACTCGGGGTCGTCTTCGGGGATACGAGGGACCTTGAGGAACGCCTTGTTGAGAGACAGGTTATGTCTGATAGAATTCTGCCATCCTGAATCGACATTCAGCCGAAACCACTCCCACTCGCCCGCTACCCAATTACACACTTCTCCCAACGTTCCTCGACCTCTCGGCAGGCAGCTGAGAGCTTTGTAGATGATTGTAGCAAACGTGGCAGTCGGCTTGAGTGGAGGAGGGCCGATGAAGGGTTTACCGTCCAAGCCCAGTATAGGCCCGGGTGGTGGACGAGGCCCAGCACCGGACGGAGGGATCGGGACGTTTACGATGATATGTCCCGGCCTTCCGGGCGTTTCGTTCAGCTCTGTGAGGTAGAATGGCAGATGGGGTTGGGGAGAAGTGTTGACAGGAGCTGGAGGGACGCGAGACATGTTGCCAAGTGGAGGTCTCGGCATCCCTTGGGAAGGGGGTCTGACTTGAGACATGGGCTGCCCCGGGCGTACAGATTGACCGGGCATGCCTTGGGACATGGGGCCCACGGGACGTACCCCGGGTTGGATGGGAGGACGAGCCGCCTGCTGACTTGGGGGACGCGAGCCTGATTGTGCTTGTCCGGGCATACGAAGACCCTGAGGAGGTCGAGCAGGCTGAGGTGCAGGGGCTGTGGGAGGAGGAGTGGGAGTAGGCGTAGATGCGAGTGCAGCTGCAAGAGTCGGGACGGGAGGAGGGGCGGCAGGTGCTGTCGCTGGTGTGGGACCTCTAGCCGCAGGAGAAGGGGAGCGTTTCGAGATCTTGAGCTCAGCAGGTACTGGCTTGTTCTTCTTCTTCGATTCCTTCTTCTGCGGCGTAGGCTTATCGTCTCCAACGACAGAAGCAGATTCGACTTCGGGCTTTGAGGACTTCTTCGGCTTGCTCTTGGAAGGCGTCGCGGATTTACTCTCGGGCGGTGGCACTGAAGCTGAAGTCTCCTTCTCGTCAATCTCCATAGCCGCTTCCCTCGCCTTCTTCTTCGACTTGCTCTCCTTTTTGGACGCCGTCGCTGCTTTAGCCTTTGCCGCCTTGGCAGGTTGTTTCCCAGCCTTGGTACTCGTTTCCGAGCCACGCCTCTCCGGGACTGAAGCTGCCGCCTTGATCGAAGCCTGCTTCTTGACACTAGATGTTTGTTTCTTGGTCTTCTTGAGAGGCTTCTCGGGTTCACTCTCGATTGACGAGAGGTCCGAATCATCCGCCCCGGAGATGACCGTCGGCTTTTTGAGCTTCAGCTTGACTGTCTGCCGAGGTTTCGGCGCCTCCTCATAGACATCCTCGTCATCATCGTCTTCTTCCAGTTCCTCGACGTCGTCCTCGTCGCTTTCTTCTTGCTCTTCTTCAACAGCATCTTCATCGTCCCACTCGCCCTCGTCATCAGGCTGCTCTTCCTGATGATCACTCTCATCCTCGCTGTCTGCCTCACTCCACGTACCCCACGTATTCTCCCCTTCGAATCCGAGCCCAAGGCCATACCCATCTGCCGCAGCAAACGCATTGAATGCGGGGGGTTGTCTGGCTGCCATCGCAGCGGCAGACGCAGGCCCAGGGCCGGCTTCGGCAAAGAACTCTTGATAACCGACTTCGTCGGCGGGCAAGTTGTAAGGGTAGGGGAGATTCTCAACATTCTCGGGGACGGGATTGTTGTAATAGTCATAGTTGGGGGACTCTGCGTGGGCGGGAGGGAGGACGAAGGAGAAGATACGGGTCGCGATCTGGATTTGCGAGCTGCAGGACAATCAGCACAGTCGCAAACACTAGAGATTATACTGACCCTTGAGTAAGAGGGACGATGGAGCCTTTCACAAAATACCTATCATCTATCCACGCCCCATTCCTTCCTAATATCTCTAGGCAAAACCTGCCCAGATCCGCACTATACTCGATCTTGGCATGATTTCTAGAGACCGACTTGAGTGGCCCCAGATCGACATCGACATGTTTGATCTTGTCCGCTTTGGGTGGTGGTGGCGGAGGCGGTGGCGGGGGGAGCGAATCGTCAAGGCCGGGTTCGAGCTTGACCGCAGGGTCCAGCGAGGCATCCGCAGATTGGATCGGTCCGTCCATCTGCGACACATCGATATCCTCATTCTGCACCGCCTCCGCCAGTTCCACCAGAGGCCCATAGTCCTCCATCTGCACCTCTCCCCCCTGCTCTGGATTCATATCGGGCGTGTCCTTTGCATCGTCTATCGCCCCCACGAGATCGGCGACTTCCCCGAGCTTTGACCGTGAAGTACTGGGCGATAGCGGTCCTGCTTCGGGGGGCTGGTTCGTGGGGGGCGAGGGAAAGTCGGCAACAGGGGGTGTACGGAGGATGCTCGAGGTGAATACCGGGGGAGATGGTTGGTTGGGATCTAGAGGCGGATTTGTCGGTACACTCGGGTTTGTGATGGCGGGCGGGGGGACTGGCGCCGTCCGTTCCTACACGAATATGTCAACTCGACTACAGCGATGCTTGATGCTGGACCTACACAGTTCCTCCCGATGACGACGGTCAGCGTCCTGACATAGTAGGAGAAGCCTGTGAGCTCGTCGCCGAACTGGAGCTTGTAGTAGGCGGGGGTGGGGTCTGTCTTGGATGTGTCGACGGGGAGGGCGGCGAGGGAGGGGGCGGGGGGCTGCCAGTGGTGGTCGGCGGCGGACATGGCGTCCTGGCAGTCCTGGCGATGCAGCGGTGGTCAAAACAACGTTTAATGCTGAAATTTTCACATCAACAGCGGCCGCGTTCCGAGCATGCGTTATCCCTTTTGGGGCGAAAAGCTGTCTTCCCCGTGCCTGGCTCCTTCAACGCCACGCATCCTCCATGCTCCCTGCATCTTGCAACTGCTGGGCTCGAGTGGTATGTTGAAGGCCATCAGGGGATGAGTGGAGTGAGCACTACTTTGACCACTATGCATTGCTTGCCACTGCCCGGCCCTTACCGTTCAACGCTTTGGGCTGTGCCTGGTTATCATCTACCGGAGTCGTCCGGATGCGGCTCACGTTTGTCTTCTGGCTTTGCTTGAGTGTGGGCTATCTGTCTGCCTATCAGAGATGCAACATGGGAGAAATTCTCACTTTGTCCAGAAGCGATGTATGCGGCCGCTCGAGGGAGGCCTGCCTTTGACACTGACAGGGGCTCTAAAGCTCATTCGCAACAAGTCTCGTAATACATACACAGCTCCAGAAATGGCAACGACTTGGTTCATGACAAACTTGTGCGAGGTAGATTGTATTGA